AGATAATATATATATATATATTATCTTTCCAAATATCGGGTGACTACGTTCAAAATTTCGTATTTCAAAATCTATTCTATTTTTCAATACAAAAATTCGACGATGAAATCCAATCTATCCTCCTCCCTACTCCTTCCTAAAATATACTAAATAAATCTTAACCCTTAAGATCCAAGAATTCGAAAATGAAATTACCCCCTTTCCCCTGTATATAAGTAAAACTATTTCGAAATTAAGATCTCCTCCTCCTTCGAAGGGAGGAAGCGTTTCACGCCGGATTTCAAACACGTGATCCCAACGTAATCGATAGCGAAAACACGTGTACACGTACGCATCTGAACGCGTGCACCACTGGAGGGGGCGGGCGAAGAGAGAAAGGAGGAGGATAAAATAAAGGAAATGGAAGGAGAGGAGGAATCGGTACCGTAAGGCATCTCGAAATCGTTTCACCGGATCAAAATTTCAGGGACCTCGAGTGGCCACGAAACCCCAGAGGAAATTATTTCTCGAAGGCCACTTACCGAGGCGCTCACGAAGAAGTAATCGGACAGAAAATACGGAGCCGCGGACCGATAATGGTTGGTCGTGAACAACGCGGCCCCCGGGCTCCCTATCCTCCTCCTCCTCCCCCCTTTCCTCTCTTTCTCTCTCTCTCTCACTCTTCTCTCCAGAGGGTCCAGAAACAACAACGGGCCCCGTACGCAACACGGGCACAGCGGGGATCCTTTATCAATCGTCGTTTTCTCGACTCTCTCTCGTTCGATCACGGCTACTTTTGATCACTTTCTCACGTCGCGGAACCCGGAACGAAAGGGTGGTCGATGATCACAGGGATTAAACCGCGGAATCGAGCGTCGAATCGCGTGAAAAATCGTAATTAAACGAGAAACGCTTAAACCGCGATCTCTCCGATTCGATCTGGGATCCAGATTTTCGGTTCAATGATCCGTGGTTACGCGCGAGATTGAGGATTTTCAATGGCGTTTAACCTTGTGATTTTTTAATAAGGGAGGATTTGGAAATCAAGTTGGGGATTTCAGTTATTCTGCAAAGGAAATATAGGGCGATAATTTAGAATTATCGGTAGATCGGTAAAATTTTTCTAAGATGAAATAAGAAATATTTCTGTTTCGATTAAGATTGCAAGATTGGTAAATTGATTTATTCTCATTCTTTTTTAGAATCGAATGAAGAAATTGAAGAAAAATATCTTGCTCCAGATACAATGGAAGAACTCTTGTCGTATTATATTCCTTATTGTAATATAATTAAACGTGAAAGGGAGTCGATGAAAGGCAATGCAATTTTATTTTCCTCGTCGACAAGGATGACTTCGAGCTTCGACAAACTTACAACGTCACCCTAAAGACACCACGCTGAGATACAATATATTAAAATTGACAATGAGAATACAATATCCAAGGATTCAATTAACCGAAACCGAATACGCCTCGTTATTAATTACAATCCCCCTAACTGCGAACAAAAACCGATCGACAGATTTGAAAGAATCATGAGAATTCAATTTGTAGGAACCTTGTCCTTATCTGATCTAAAGTGATCGGAAAGATATCGATGTTTTTGATAATATTCAAATAATTCGATACCAAATACTCAACAGAATGTATCATACCAATGTTTCGAGCATTTGGCATCAACTACTTTACTTTACACTAAATCAAACCAAAAATCGTTTGAAAAGTCATAAAATCTCAGTAACCTCGGCTTTCGTTTCTTTTTTTTCCTTCCATAGATCGGTATATAGCTCGACAAAAAAAACAGATATAAATGGAGCTAGTGAAATGGATACGACACCACGACACGGAAACCCCGCAAAAATTTCACAAGAATTTCGATACCTGTTTCTTTCTTCCAGAAATCGACGATTTAACGAAGTGAGCATAACATATACGACTATAACCAGAGTAACCGAGATAGATATACACAGATATACGTGGAACCCCCAATCCGCTCGTATAACCTTTAAGAGGCCTGGAATCGGTGTGGAACACGCGTTTCGCAGGTATTCACGCAATCAGCCTCCACTTCCGCGATAGTCGTAACTCGTAGAAACGATCTCGGGGAGAGGGCCGCCGCGAGAAACGCAGTAAAAGGTCAAATTCCTTCGATTCGAGGCTCTCCTCGTCAAATTACGAGACGAAGAACCGTGCGACCGAGGGGCAAAGAAAGGTTGGATTGCGTATGCATTCGTTATTTGCGGTTATACGGGGAGAGGGAGAGGGGGGAGGGGGAGGAGGGAGGGGGGACAACACCGAGGAGCGGGAGAGATAGTGGGCGCGAGAGAGAGAGGGGTGAGGTGGACGAGCTGGTGGTTGGACAGAGAGGCAAAGTGGCGGAGAATAAACCGATACAGAGATACCGCATCCAGGCGAAAGCCGACAAGCCAACAACTCTGGAAAGGGCCCTGCGCCTGTTGGGGTGCCGCGAGAAGACGGCTGGAATGCACCGAGAACAGGTCGCAAGGCTGCCGACATTCCGAAATTTGCAACGGCCTCGGGAACGTGTCCCATTGTACCGTGTACAAAATTGCCCCGACTTTTGGCTGAAAAGGGGGGGGAGGGGAGGAGGGGGGAGGGAGGGAGGGGAGATAAAAAAAAAAGGAAATACGTTCCCTTCACCGAAACTCATACCTCAAATTCGCGCGAATCTTTCTCTTATTTTCTTATTCCATTTTATATTATGCATTTGAGATTTTATGTTAACGTTGGGCAAATATTCTTTCGGTTCGTTTTCGCATAGATTGAGATTTTCTCGATTTGACGTGTCTTTCGCGAAAAATTATAAATTTATATACATAAGGATTATATAATTGAGATGTTCGAAAGAAATTCATAACCAGATTCGCGATAGAATTTCATCAATTTTGTAATGGCAATATTCTTTCCACCATTGAATTTGATATTTTGAATTTGTTGAATTTGTAACTTTTTAAATCTACTTAAATTCTAATAATCTTCTAGCTAATAATATTAATTAATCAACAAGTGATAAATTTATATCGTAGATCATTAATCATAAATTTATATTGAATGAAATAATCAAGTGATTTGCGTGATTCATAAAAATCACTTGATTTCTAAGATTTTATTTCTTTTATCATCAAACTCATAACTTCTACGATACAAATTTCTTCAATGATAATAGTTCAATTGTGTAAAAAGGCTGATAGAATTCAACTACCAGACAAGAAACTATTATAAATTGAAATTATATTACTATGCCTTATGTTGCCTTTTGAATTGATTGATCACATTGAAGTTTAAGAAGAAAATTTGCCAAGAAATTTAAGAAAATACCGTAAAATAATAAACAAACTTGATTAAATTTTTATTCCCATCCCATGTATAAAAAGAATAACTTGTTTAAAATATTTTAGTTTTCTAAACTTCAATGTTCCTAATCAATATACATTTTATATATTTTATAAAGCAACGAGATAAACGAAATAAAATTATCCGATGAACACAATACTTGGTAAATATTTTCCGATAAAAATATATAAAGGTAAAATCAATATCAATCGTGTGAAACGCAACGTGCAATTTTCCTGGCGTCATTAATGGAAACCAGAAATGCCGCTCGTCGTTCATTGTATCGGCTATACGTTTTCTCGTAACCACAAAAAGCATCTATATCTATTCAAAGTCTTCTTTTTCCCTCTCTTCCAATCGATTCCGGCGTAAAAAGTAAGAAGAAATACGAGGCGAGGATAGAAAAACCGGATAATCGTCGATGAATCCAAGAAACTTGAGAGAACCAGACGAGACAAAGACAATAAATGTTGTCTTATCGAACGGACTTTAAACGGAGAACGGTTCCGCGATATTAACATACGCATATATGTTATAACGTTGCGATGCTGGTATTTCAACGGTACCGTACGATCCGTAGCGTAAATTGGTTTTTAACGCTTTTATTTTTCTACCACCCCCACCCATTTCTCTGGGGACCCCGCATTTACGAGGCAATTTTGCTCATCGACGAGCGCGCCGGACCCTGTTATAAATAAAAACCACGGCAGAAGGAAGAAAACTATAGTATAAAGATTCTTGTTCTTCTTCTTTTAACGTCCCTTGTATCGCGTGTCACGTATTTATGTCTCGTACTTTTTCGGGAATTCGTTTGTAAATTACGATTCAATCGAAACACGAGTTGGTCTTTGGATGATGGAAAATAAGAGAAATCTCAAAGATTTGAAGATATGTTTTATTTTCCTTTATTTAAAAGAAAAAAGTTTAACGACCTGTAACATCGAAGAAAATGATTTTATGATTATCGACCTTCGGTCTATTTAAAAAGATACGCTTTGAATAGCCTTATCCGATTGATCAAGATTAACCTTGAAAAACTCTCAACGCCTCCGCCAATAGTAATTTCTTCTATCTTCATCAATCTTGAATTCCGCTTATGTTTCATTTTTTTTTTTAATCCAATGTTAAATTAAACATTTTATATGTATTTTTTTTATATATTAAAAATGAATTTTTATTAGAAAAGAAAATAAGTTTCATATCATATTCTCGTATGCCGATCGTAATAATATAAATAGAATCTAATTGTAAGATAATCGCCTACAAAGTCACGTACAAACGAATTGTACAGTTTCATGAGAAACGAACCGCTATATGGACACGACGAAAACTGAAAAGAGATGTTGGTACGGTATCTGCTGAAAACCGTTCATTCCGCGGACTAATCGCGTTCATCTTACATAATATCAACAGGACTTTCGTCCTTCTGCCTGGTCCGGATCATACCAAAAATTCGAACAAGAAAGACAAAATGCCGGTTCGCGATGAATCGAGTACGCACGCGTAAAACTGAGACGAAGATAGATACGCAACGAACGAAAGATAAAGATGAAGAAGAAGAAAGAAGAAGAAAAAGAGAGAGAATGTATGAGCAAGTGAGAAAGACACACGCAAAGGAGAAAAAGAGAGAAAAAGAGAAAGATAGAGAGTCCATCAAGCAAAACTCACCCTGTTGCATTCCAGAGCCTCCGCGCTGTGCTCCTCCTTCTGCTTGAAGCAGCTGCTGCACTTGCTCTTGTTGAATATGTTCGGCGCGAACTTCCTGCACTCGGCGCCGGTGCCACGGACGCCCGCCGTGCCGCCCGACATCGCGACACGTGCGAATTAACCGCGACGACCGGACAGCAGCATCGTTCGTCTTTCACTCCCTTTTTTATTTGTCACTGTCGTACACCGCTGTTCGAGAAGCGAGAACGCATTGATTTCGCCCAATCGATTAATATACTTCGTAAACTTTGATATAATTCCTTAACACCACCAAATAATTTGATTTATACACGATTTCGTTTATAAAAATGCGCTACGAAACGACTCAGTCTCCGCAATTACTCTTCGTGTGTCCGTTACGTTAACGGATCGAATTAACAGGATTTCGTATTCTTGTTTCGTATGAAGATCGACATTTATCGAGCAATCGATCGACGTTTCCGGTTATAATCGCAATCGATTTCGTTCGTACCATGTGACCAGCTTCGTGATCGAAGATCGATTGTATATCGAAGCGTCGCTCGCTATTCTCGAAAAGAAATATGCGTAGATAGGAGCCAATGTATATAAATAATATATTTGTAATGGTCGTAACCGGAAAAAACTTCGATTCGTTTCTCTGCTTGTTGTTTACATACGTTCTACGAGAAATATACGTGCTCAACTTCGTTTAAATTTCGTAATATATACAAACGAGGTGCGTCTCGTACTTGTATGTTTACAATGCCTTTATGTCACGCGGTAACAACACGCGTACCGTTGTCGACATTGACTCAATTCCACGAAACGGTTGTCCAAATGCTACGTAGCAGGTGACTATTCTTCGAACTTGTTGACAATATTTGAATACCGTACGCTCTTCGAAACGAACACGTGGATTATATGCGATACTTCGAATCACGAATCTATTATTAGACACAATGGCATGCACCTCAATTAATATGTCACAGCACCGTTTGCCGATTTATCGATTGTTCGATGAATCGAACGTTAATCGCACGTAGATGCGATTATTCGATTCACAAAGAATCACTTCTTTTAATCGCTAAAGATTCGTCTTGGATATATAGAGATGTGGCTACGATACAATTATTCGACTGCCACAGTTCACGATATACCGATAGTAGCACCACGAGCACCACGATCTTTACGCACGCCTAAATATATTGATTGTCACTGTGATAATCCTATGATACGATTTGAAATACTACACACGCGATTATTTCGGCAACGACCACGATGACGACGATACTTGAGCACACTTACGGCACATCGCGTTGTGCTCTCCATGACAGAACGCTCCCGCGGACGTCCATCTGCGATCTGGCCCGTTTAACTCGGCCTCTATGCCACCGGCAGCGCTCACTCTCGCTCGATCGACCGTAGCACGCCTCTTGTATACGATACTACGCCAGCGCCAAACTAGTTCCTTCTTCTACTGGAATATAGCGCCGGCGTAAGAATTTCAATTAATTTTGCGTTTCTCTTTTATCCATTTTTTTATTATTATGCAATAATAATTGTATATCTTCATTATCTAATTTTTTTTTTAATGAATTGATTGTTCAACGAACATACATATTATTCCTCCAAAAAAAATAATTAATATTTATTCACAATTTATTTAAATTTTATTAAATTTTTGATCTTTCAATAAATATTATAAAATAAATTTGTAAATAAATATTTTTAATAAATATTATAAAAATCAGCAGAATTAAATATGATTAATTAAGTAATAAATAATTGTATAATAAATATTAATTTTTTACACAAGATATATTTTATATTATAGAAAATATATAATATAATATAATATAATATAATATAATATGAATATAATATGAATATAATACAAAAAATTTTTAAATATTATATATAATATGAAAATATATGATAATAATTGAATATGATAATAATATGAAAATATATGAGTAATAATTCTTTTTAATATTATTTTTTAATATAACACATAATGTAATATAATAAACATATCAATTTAAAACAGAAAAAATAAAATTATAATTGATTTAAGATTAATATTTGTTTAGTTTTAAAATATAAAATTACGTAAAAATATATTTAAAAAAGATGTAGCTGATATAATCAATTAAAAAATTTGCATATAAATATAAAATGACAAAAGTAAAAAATATTCTTCTGATTGTATTATATAATAATTATAAATGCAAATAATATAATCTTAATCTTTCTTTCTTTTTAAACATAATCAAGTAATGGGATATTTTCTACATTATGAAAAAACACATTTGAATAAATTCAAGATGCAATCTACGACTTGACTCATGCGAATGCTTAAATTGAATCAGCTGATTTTTACATCCGGTTCGATATTCAAGATTTCTTTTCCGGTTCATCCAGACCAGCGTTCCAGTGTTTGGAAGACTGACTGTAAAGATGGTAGATGAAGCTGGTGACAGGTTCGTAGGCTAAATTATTTTCGGCTTTTTATACGAAATCTAATACTGATGACTAGTATTAATATATATATTCTAATGTAATATAATGATATAATACATATCTTGAAATAAAATTAACCTTATATCCATTCCCTGGAATTCTAAAGATTAATCTTTCATAATCTCTGCTAAATGTCCATGAATGTTTTACTAACCCGTTTTCCATTTCAAGACAAAATTGAAAATAATTTCATATTAAAAATACATTATTTTTAAATATTATATTCATTTTTTTCATAAATTTTTTTTATCTCCTGTCAATTTCACTAAGATTTTTCAATCATTAAAATGTATATTAATTTGACAAATTTAATTATTACATTTCAATAAATTATTTATATATATATTTATATATATAACAAGAATAAAATTGTTGTTTCTGTTACAAGCATGTTTGTATTCAAACAAATAGAATGCTGATTAACTCTAATCAACATCTTATATAACACATAGAAGAATTAATTTATGATCATAAAGATCATAGCTTAAAAATGTTAATTATATAAATGATATGTAAACATATAAATGATATATACACATATATATATAGATATATATATATATATATATGCATATATATATATATTAAATTTTTAAATATATTTATTTATTTTTAAAAGATATGAATAAACTATTAAGTTTTTAAAATAATATATAATATTTAAAAATATTAATAATATTAAAATAATTTTAAAATATTAATAATATTAAAATTATCATTTTTATAAAATACTATTCTGTAATTAAATATAAATTTTTTATATTTTTTATATTTTTTTATAGGGATGATTCCTCTAATGTTGCCATCATCAAGGAAGTATACGATAATGAAAATGCACATGAAACATTTGAATATGAATTAGAAAGAGCATTAGAATCTGAATGCAGTTTAATTGTTATTGAACCATCAAAATTAGGTGATGAAACCTCTAGATGGATAGCAGTAGGAAATTGTCTTCATAAGACTGCAACATTGTGTGGTCTTGCTGCCATAACTACAGGTTTTTAAAATTTATATTTTATTTTACATATATATAAATATCACTGTTTATTTAAAATATATTTTATGTATATTTTATAGGTTTGATTTGGGGTGATCAGCCCTATATTTGTGGTCCATTAGGTTTTATATCAGTAATATCTTGTGGACTTTATACTGTTTCTTGGCAATTTGATCCTTGTTGCCAATATCAAGTAGAGACTGACACAAGCAAGCTACCACATGTAGAATTGTTAGCTGTTTTAGGACCATCATCTCCAACATTTCTTGTAAGGAAAGATGATACAAGAAGAAGAATTCTACATACAACTATCACATTGGTAGCTCTCAGCATCAGTGCCTGGAGAGTTTATCAAGCATTTAAGTGAAATGTTTTTCTGTCAAGAAAGTAAGAATCTGAGTTGTAAAAAAAGAGTAAGGTAGGCCATACGATACATTGAAATGATCGTAATAAGGCCTAGCATAAAAATCGGTGAATTATAATTTTATGTATATTAGTGGGGATTGTTGAGTCACACAAGCCTATTTTTGTTTAATGTTTATATTTCTTTTATGTTTTGACACTACCTCACAGGTGAATGCTGATTTTACAATAAAAGGAAAAATATAAAAAAAAAAAAAAAAAAATTAAAAAAAGTTTGTTCTAAGAACATTTTCAATGTAAAACATGTTTCTTATGACTCCACATTGTTACTCTATGATCTCCATCTTGTTAATTATATCACAGTTAATATTAATGCAAAAAAGACATGGTCATTTTCACACATCATCTAAGTGATACAAATACTGACATAAGTGTTCTTAGATTTATGCAAAATTACAACCATACACCTGGAAAGTTGGATTTAGAGAGAACTATATATTTTTAGATTGTAAATAAAGTAGATAGAATACATTGCATATGATGTATTAAAGAGAATGTTGCCTAGATTTTCTCACCCAGTGATGTAGCCCATTATAAGAAACATACTAATAATTATAAATAACATTTGCAAGAATATGTATCACTTTAATTTGTTTGGCAAAAATCTTGATCAGCATAATACACAGAACTTTCGTTGATTATATAAGATTCTTATCATGCTATATATATACAAATGAGATATCAAAAATAAACGTCACAAACATTCCTCTAAATAAATGATAATAACAAATGTTGCATAATATAATGTGAGAAAATTTTAAAGAAATTTTAAGTAAAATAGTATATTAAGAAATTCTTGCAATTACTTGTACATATAAAAATATAGTAACATCTACAATTATTATTACAACTATATAACAGATATAACATACATTGTTATTTACACCATATATAAGAAAATTTATTAAATTGATTAAATTTATAAAATAAATACTGTATATTTTTTTTTAATATAAAAAATTAAAATTTATTTCAATTTGCACGTTTTCTAATATTTGTTTTTTAAGTTTATATATTATAGATCTCGTATACAGTAAAAATATCGCACGCACACATAATATATAACAATTTAAAATATTTTATGTCGAAAGAAAAAATTTATTTTTGCATGTTTTTCGTTAATAAATTTAAAAAAAAATTTATCAATTATTCAAGTAAAATTATATGTATATCGTTTATATTTTATGCATAATATAAACAAACACTCATTATCATTATATTCAGATAAAAAAAATGTGTGTTTTTGTATATTTCTTTTTAATTACATTAACGTCAATTAGTCTTTATAATAAGAATATAAAAAATTAAATTAAAAAATTTACAGGATATATTATTGACAAATAATAAAAGCTTGAATAAGTGTTGAAAATCCTGCCATGACAGCAATGTTTGTATCAATTACTGTACATTATATATCATATTTTAAATGTCTCAATTATTAGCCAAATATTTGTTATAATACAACTGATTATCCAGTTGTACATACACAAAAGGATATGCAATAAAAAATATATTATATGGATAATGATTTGATGGATGGTATGTTAAGTAAATTCATTATTCTGTGTCATTTACAACTTAAAAAGTCTCTGTTTCTCTACATTTATCAAGCATTTATTTTTCTACTCAAAATTTATGCTAATATCTTTATTTTAAAACTTTTATTATATTTAAAATTCAATATTATATTATAAAATTTAATAATTGACTTTTTAGGTTTTATATGACACTTAACACATAATGTGCTTGTCTCAATTCCATTAAAACTTATGTAGTATTAAAATGTATATAATGTAAACATATTCCACTATTGAGTGGTATAATAATAAAATATAATTTGGATATAATTTTGTTCAATAGATTTTTATAAAATTATTTTCCTTTCATAAATAGCATTTAATATAAAATAGAATTTATTCTAATTCATATTTCGTTTTAATTACAATGAAATAATAACAAAAAATAGTATAAATACAAAGATAAAAACAAAATACTTTGTATAAAAAAGAACTAATAAATAATTAAATTACAGTTTACCCTGTTTGTAATAATCATACATTAAATATTATCATTCTTTTTCCTTTGTCTTTTTAGCTCGTTTCTGCATTATCCAAAAATATAATGATGGACATAATGTGCGTAAATACATTGCAGCTTTTGGAATGAATGGTGTTATTAAAATATCTTTTTCTTCTTTTAATACTGCTTTTAAAATACGGTCTGCTACATATTTTGGGTAGTATCCTTCTTGTATTGTTTTATCCATTACTGTAACAACATTGATTATTACTATAATATTGATAATTTTTCTAATAAGATTTAATAATAAAATAAGTTTCTTAATTACAAACCTCCATAAATTTGTCCATTTCCTGTTAATGCATTCAAAGAAAGAGAAGTCTTTATGTAACCAGGACTAACAATTGTAATTTTTATATTCTGATCATGTAATTCTGCTCTACAGCAATCACACCAAGCTTGTAATGCATATTTAGAAGCTGCATATGCAGATCTGTTAGAATTATACAAATTAAAATTTAAAGAAAAATAAGTTTTAAATATAAATATAAAATATTCCAACCTGTATGGAATTGAAATCTTGCCTTGTATACTACTAATACATACTATATGACCTGACTGTTGTTTTATCATATATGGAAGAATAACTATAAGATTATATATTTTTTAATGTAAGTTAAATAAGTTTCATATATTAATATTAAATGATTACCTTTTGCTAAAGCAATTTGAGCAAAGTAATTTGTAAGCATTACTTTTATATCTACATCCATATTAGTATTAATAATTTCACCTCTATAAGAAATACCAGCATTATTAATTAAAATATCAATTCTTCCATGAATATCTATTATTTTTGTAATTTCAGTTTGTAAACTATTTATATTAGTTATATCTACTGGTAAAATTACTGGAGGATAAGTTGGTATTGTCTAAAATAAAGTTAAATGATCAATAACAAATTTAAAAAAATATTATTGTAAAAAAAATATAAACATACAACATGAGTATTCATTAAAGTATTTTTCACTCTATCCAATTCTTCTTTTCGTCTAGAAATCAAAATAATTTTACAACCACAAGCATAAAAAACATGTGCTAATGCCTCTCCTAATCCAGAACTGGCTCCAGTTATTATTACAACCTAAAATTTAAATTAAAATAATATTATGAAATTTATAAAATATGAATTCATATCATATGATATAATTTACTTTTCCATTGAGTGTTTTTTTTCTTCTTTTTTGTTGCATTATATCAAGAAAATGATATATCAACCATGGAATAGTAATTGGAAATCCAAATAATTTAAATAACCACCATATAAGATGCCAACTTTTTAAGGATTCTTCCGTCATATTTGCAAGTATTTTTATGAAATCAACTTTATGAAATATAACTAAGACGATATAACTATACGAAATTAAAGTAATAATATATTACATCAGAGAATGTATATTATATGTACATGTTATAATTAAAATTTAACCTTTAATCTTTAAACCTTTCAAGCAAATACATAATAAACATAATATTAAGAATTTATCCACATTATATCATAGATAAAATATAATATAGATTTAACATTTAATTCACTTTTTGGGCTAAGATAATCACAAAATTTATTTAGACATTATCGATGGAATATTCTCATTCATAAAATTATGAAGTTTTAAACAAATTTTTAATTTAAATTTTGAATAATTATTATCCTAATAATTTAGGAATTATTTTAAGAATCTTGAAATTAATAAAAGAATAAATAAAAGAAAAGTTATATTTATAATTTTATAGATAATGATTTATTTAATTTAATTATTAAATCGAAAATGAAAAATGTAATTCCTATATTGATCTTAATAAATTGCGGAGAACATAAAAGATTTTTTTTAAGATCGATATTTCAAAATAAGAGACATGAAATTCCATAAGATGTTATATCTATTGTATATTTTATCTATGATTATACATTTTGTAATAATAATTTCTTATCAATTAAATACATAAAAATTATAAGATGTTATTTAAATAATTTTGAAAAATTATTTTATTACTTTCTATAATTCAATAAATTATTTGATAAATATAACAAAATAAAATACATAAAAGTGTTTTTAGACAATTTTTTTGTTTTAGATCTATATTATTATTAATATTAAAAAAGAATTTTGATTTGTGATTTAATATTATAATTAATGATATTTATAAAAATATCTTCAATTTTATATATAATTTTTAACTTGATATCACTTTCTAAAAAACAATCTTTGAAAAATGATATCAATTATTGGATTTTACTATACATAAGGAAATGACTACGCAAGATTACATCTATATCTAATGATTTAGAATAATTGATTTTTTTATTGAATTTTAATGAATAATTTATAACAATTATAAATATTTTAAAATATATTAGAGTACTGCGGCATTTTAACAAGAACGAAAATACAAAATGAAATATTCAAATATTTATTTAAATATCAAGATGCGGCGCTACGTTTGATGCTTATTTGTGATTGGTCGAAATAAACGCGCCCATGTCAGCTGTATGACACAGAGCCGCCAGTCGTCCGTCGTGGACGCGGATTCGTGCAAATGGCGTCACTGCCAGTATGAGCGAGCGTATGCCGTGTAATAACGCGTACGGGCCTCGTCCGGGCGCGGCGCCGCGCGGCCCAGCCTGACGGCGAGCGTGAGTGTGACAATATTGGTCGAGATTAAAGAAAAATTAATACAAGGGAATCATTAAATTTCGTCGTCAAGTTGCAACAGTGTGTACGTATCAACGACGAGTGGTGACACGCAGTGAGAAGAGGTGAGTGAGATAGGAAAAAAAATCGACAATAAAAACTGTGATCCTTGCAAGAAGTGCTGTGTTATGCATTCATGTTCATAATTCGAAATGAGCATAGCTGATTAAATAATATACATTGCAGATATATTCTTAATCATCGATAAATTTTTTCAAATGAACGAATGACGAATTTATTTTGTAGACTTTTGTCTACTTCATCCCAAGAAGATTTTATTTGCTATAAAATATAAACGCGTGATACGATTTTTATTGCAATAAGATAAAGACAACATTTCGATTTTTGAATGACTTTTAAAGCAATCTAAATGAATAGAATGAAAGGAAATAAGTAAAATGTACGCGCAATAATTTCCTTGTTCGATTTAACCATACATTATGACAGGTGCCATGCGTGTATCATTGCCAAATCTATTGTGATATTTTAAAATACTATATTGCTCTGTGTATATTTTCACAGAGAGACAAAATATTAAAAATTTCTACTGTTTAAATTTATTTTTCTATTGTTAAAAAGTCCCATATGATTTACATTTTATCATTTAATTTATTAAATTTGCAATTAAGTTTATAGTCTATTTATCATTTACAATGATTAAAAATTTTCTTATCATTTTTCGTGGAAGGTTCTATAATGTTGTTATTCTGACAATCTATTTGAATATGCTGTTGTTATCGCGTAATCAGAACGGCCATGTTTCTCCAAGCTAAAAAACACGTTTCTCGTAGCCACGCGCACGTGTAGGCGAAGCAGAATGTTTTTGTTTGCGCCGTGACGAGTTCCTAAATACGACTGATGATTGCATAAGAGATCGAGGTGTGCCCATTTGAAAAGAGCATTTGAAAAGAGCATATTTTGGCGTCTTATAAAAATGCTAAACTCATTTCTATCTTCGATACTGGCAACTTATAAATCATAGAGATTAGAAAATAAAAAGATATTATACATATATGTTGCTTTTTCATGTATAAAGGCAAGTATTTAAACAAATAAAATTGCAATGGCACATCTGATAAAATATAACATATAATATTTTACGATTATGTCACAATGTAATATGTTATCCTCGCATACGATCGTACATTTTCTACTCTTCTAATTTATCGATAGAGATAGATTATCGATAGAGTTTATAGTTGTAGAAATTTTCACAATAAGAAAACTTGAAATAACTATATTAGTAAAAATAATATTTCATTTTCTATTAATATAACATAATTTTTAAAACCACGAGGAAAGGAAAAAACCTTCGTATATGAACGGATAAAACGGTTAACCTTACGATACGAAGTGACATCGGGGTGAAAGAGCATTAACACTTTTAAGATAATAATGTCGTGAAATATTAAAATCATTTATTAAATAGAATTGTTGCAAAGAAAATCCGTTTCGATAAACATACTTGCGTAATATTACGAAAAATACTGTGAATAATGTTAGTCGAATTACTATCATCGTTAAAATAACTTTGAAACTTATCAGTTAACTGATATTTTGTTCTTCTCTCCGAAAAATAGTAAGTAAATCTTGTACACGTGGAATTATAATTATATAAATCTGGTATGTTCTGCTAAATAATATCAATTAAATTTCAATACATTTATAAAGATATATCATCAGTTGTTATATCGGTAAAAAAATCTATCTCTGAAACCGGTTATGTAGTGGATTAACCTGTAATTTACGATATCGAATTCCGACTATTCATTGCTTATTAGAAATGGATTTCGATTTCCGTTAGACATTTTCGTAACGTGTATCTCAGTGAAGGTTTCCATGTACTTTTATTATTAGACGTATCTACACGCATTGCATATTAAAACCAACGAACGTGCGTCACAAGTTAACTTTTACAAATTGTTTTAAAGAATTATTCATATCAGTCGTTAACACAGTAGAAATTTTCGAATGTTTTGAATTGATCAGTTTGTACGTTAAGAAAATATGTATTAAGTTTATTCAGTTCTTTTGCAACATTTGTAACTAAATACATATGTCAGTTTGCTGTTACCACTCAGCATGTTAATTAATTCTGTCATTGGAACCTAACCTCGAGAACTTTCTAATATTCATTGGTTCTATTGGTTGCTTTCTTATTTATAGAGAAAATTAATATGTAAAAAATAAAAAATTCAAAAATTATCGTTTCTATGTAATAATGTTATATAAAAATATATGAATCGGTTATAATTTTTCTTCCTATATTTATTAAATATTATTTTCTTGCAGTCACTAGGAATAGTTTTCGTCTCTCTCTGTGAATAATAATTAATTTTTATAAAATGTGTCGCATTTAATTTTAGATAGAAAATATCCGCAGCATTTTGAGAAAGTCACTGACCATTGAGGATTCTGGCGCGCGATCACGTTTTCATGGAAACGAACCGAAATGTCTTTAACGATCTTCGGTCGTTCAACCGAGTATAAAAGTTGTTTACATGCTCTGAATTTGCGCGTCAACGAAGAAAGTGTTTCAACGAGAAATGTTCATTTTCATCTTGTTAAATGCAATGGTTTTATATTTAAAAAGAAAAAAAAAAAACTTAAAAAATTGAAAAAAAAATGTGAAGACACATGCCCAAGATATAAATTTAATAAAAAAGATAAAAGGAAAATCGAATAAAAACAATGTTCTATTTTAAAAAGGAATAGACAAATATCGAAGAGAATTAAAAGCTTATCAATTATTCGATAAAAATATTTGTTATGTCTGGCGCAAAGGATTTATTTTATTGACATCGAATGTTTAGTCTCTGCACATTTAAAGATTTTGTGAAATGAGATCGATTAATATCACTAAATTCTTTGTTAGAGCTTGTTTTACATTTTTTCTTTGGATTTCTATATCACTTATCAAACTATAAAATTACTAATAAACAGTTGTCAATATCTTGTTTTCCAGATATCTACAACCACAGAATTTTTCATTGTTTTATATAATTAATGTCTCATAATTACAAGATAATATAATATTATTACATATATAACACAGTAATTATATCCTATTCTTGTTTCGAAACTGACACAATTTCAAAAGGTTAGTTTTTCAAAAATACAAAGATTTATCTTTAAATATAATTTATTATTTCTATAATCTAATCAGTCAGAAACAAAATAGCAATAATTACAAATAAAAATAAATAAATAAAAGAAAAAGAGAAAAATATGAATATGAATATGAATCGACGCTCGTATATTCATATTTCACAGAGAGGCGCTAAAGAGGGATGCAGGCCGAACTGATATACAGAAAGCCGTTAACAATGATGACGACAACGACACCGAGCCAAAGTTTTCATCGTCCTGGGGCAGGGAGGAAAGAAAATAACGGCAGAGATTCCCGCGAGATCATACACTCCGGTCACTTCATGGTCTCAGACTTCGAAGCGGAGGCTCAGGACGACGAGGACGAGCTCGCTGTTCCCGTGCCGGAGGAAGAGGCTGTCAAGGTTGCAATCATCACGCCTCCAGGATTGTCGCACGAGAAATTCGCCAACAGCTCTTCGAATGAAAAAACTTCTCAGCAGCTCAGCATTGAGACGTCCTTAAACAAGCTGTTCCAGTGCATGTCTCTCGCATACAGGTGAGTTTCTCTTTTCCCTCAGTTTTTCCTTAGGTTAATGGATTCGAAGAGAAATCTTGCGCTTTCTTGTAGGTGATAGGATTTATCAGGAATGCACATTGATTTTAATGGAATTGAAAATGAACTGGTGGCTATTTTGCATTTATAGCACACGATTAAAAAGTTATATATAATATAAAGGTATATAATATTTAGGATATTTATATATCTGTCAATATAGAAAAGTATATATATGACAATTTATAAAATTTAATTGGTAAAATCAAAAATGTCATATTGATTTTTCTTATCATTTACAGAAATTATCTGAAAAAAGTGAATGCTGTGTATATGAATATCATCTAGTGATGATCAATAAGAATCACCTATAATAGCAAAAGGGTTAAAGAAATATTGAAGAAAATTTGAAACTTCAGTTTACCATTCCTTCCATTTGTCATCCATTTTCCAGGTATATCCTTATGTATCAGTATACAATATGTGAAGTTTCTCATATAGTATCTCTCCATCGATTAGAAAGATTGATCAATATCGTTGAAAGTCGTGGTTTCGTTGCAAGGAAGAAGAAACGAACTTTACACTATGATGCCAATGACCAGAAACGAAAGAAGTATCCATGTATGCTAGCCTCGTAACAGTCTCGTGATTCGAATGTGTACAATCGTTTTGCAAGAACTCGCAAGTCGACGCGTGGTGATTCCTCTCTCTCGCAATCGGCTCCCTTGAGAGATTAGTAGGGCAGCGCAGATTCTAGTTGTATTTCGAGCTCGGCAACCGGACAAATGTCGTGCCGACATTCCGCCTGATAACAGACAATTGAATTAATGAAGAAGAGGCCGTAGAACCAAACGACAACATCGCAATTAAGCTCGGCCTCGACGAAACCGACAGGCTACGACAATTTCCGTTTTCTCTTTATGGGACAGTTTGTATCCCGCTATGGACTTCCTTCAGATCGTTTACGTTTAACCTTTTAATTGACGAAAACAAATTTATTTGTCTTTTATAGATTTAGATATTTTGACTTCAAATAATTCCTCAAGTTAATCATTCGTTTATTTATAGATAAACATTTTCGATCTTATTTTTATTTTATCGTATTTGTTACGTTTAAAAAAAAGTTATTTTATCCCATTTATTTTTTAATAAATTGATTAATAGGTTAATCGAAAGTTTTGAGAGATTTCTTGAAAATTTGGTGAGATATCAATTATGAAAGACTAATACGTTTTTAGAATCAATTTAATCTATTGGATTAACTCGATTAATGGTTTATTATTCTATCTATTAATTCTTCCTTTTCATTTTTTGCCTTTGTTATTGATAATTCTGTTTTTAAGCTCGTCCTATGCGATGAAAATAATCGATATCGAGACTCTGTAAACCGGATAGCATAATCAAGAGCACGAGTTCATTGTTCGATTATTTTTAACATTCGAATCAATCGAACAGCGAATAATTCCAATTCATGGATATAAATAAATATTTCGTCGACTGTTTATTATCCATAATTATTCATAATTAAATTTTTTACATCTTTTGACATCTAGCAATATCTCGTTTTTGCAAAGTACTCGCGTACGATAATATTGAGAAAAAAAATATCTCGTATATTTTTTTTCTTTTTTTAACACACGAATTCAATTGCAAAATCTTCGTAAAATTTTTGTTTGAATTTTTCTATTACGATATTAAAATTACTTTGACGTTGAATAGATATTATGAGAATTAGTTATCAGATTTTGTACACAATAATCATGATAATCTAGTCTTCTTAAAAGCATCTTTGTCCCTAAACAGGATACGTGTAAAAGATTCCATAATTTGTCGAATGATTATATTTTTATTTAAGAATGATTATATTTTCATATTATTTACGTATCAATAATAAGCAATTATTGAAACAAAAATAGAGGAATGATTGAAAGGAAAAGGAATCAAAAGAGCTTGTTATACTCATAATAATAAGAAACTACGTTCAATTAAGACGAACCTATAAATTACATATAGCAACTTGCAGGAAATTGCTGTTACATGTACTTAATTGTACTATCTCGTTATCGCTGTTGGCCTTTTGTTTCCGCGATTGTTATGGAAACTTTGTTTCGTTCTTACCATTAAAGCGAACAAAACTTATTCATTATGGACAATTAATTGCATAGAATATTATGAGAAAAGAGAAAAGTATATTTCGAATTGCAGGAAAAGATATAGAGGATATTAATATATTCGTGAAATATTAATATTTTCGATGGGTCAATTTTAAACATGGAAACAAATATAAAAAATTGCAAAAATGATTGAATATGTATCAATGAATATTTTTATGTACTAATTTTAACGTTTATTTTTTTTTTTTGATTTAGAATCGACATTTTAAAGTATTGTATAATGTTATGATACTATCGATGAATTAACATAAGAAAAAAAAATAGAAAAAACAAAGAACAAACAAAAAACAAAAGACTCAAAGAATGGTGAACCTCATCACATTTACAATACAATACAAAGTAATTCGACTACACACGGAATAAACGCATTACTTTATTCGATCGGTCAATCGTTATTTTAGTCTGTTCTAAAGATTGAGTAATAAATGAACTCTGATATCGTAATATTCCGCCGATAACGTCTCCATTGTTATTGTTCCGCCTTCACGATGAAAAGGTTAATCGATTGATGATGATTTATGTCGGAACTGCAATTGGCCGCGCGAACTGAAAAAAATATAGATATATATTTTTATATCGGTAGCAGAACATGGTGATATTATTGTCATAATGACGCAACGTAAACGTCTATTCCAAACAACACGCTTGTAAATTACGTTTATGCATGCAGCATGTCGTAAAATGGAGCGAAAAAAAAAAAAAATAGTTATTCTCTCAATTGGCTGAAAGAAAGATATAGTATAAATATATATAAATATACTCATTTTTTTCTTTTAATCGTTTAAAACTATTTTATCATGCCGAGAAATAACCTCTGAATCAGGAATCGTATCAGGTGAAATAATTCTGACACGCCTTTTATCCTTTCTTGTGTGTGAGTAGTTACGATGGCTGATAAAAATAGCATATCTTATCGACGTACTCGGCCAACAATTTACTCGATATTATATACCGATATATGGTGAAAAATCGGATTTGGTATTCTAAAAATATTCAAAAATATTGAAAAGAAGATTTCTAGTTGAGTTGGAGCGAAAGAGGTTTGACTGTATGTTTGTTTATTTAAGATATAATTTTCACAAACTATGAAGATAATTTTCAATAGTTTATCTTGGTGTTTGGCTATAGTATGATAAAGAGAACGGAACTTTGATATACTGTGTACGCAAGTGACGAATAAGCATGAAGTAAAGTTGGAACGGAAGTTATATTGTCGTAGCTATATTCTTTTATATACTTATTTATTTTTATATACTTCATAAGATTACTCATATCGCACGAACAACTTATCAAATTTTTTATATGCCAATTTTACATGCTAATAAGAAAATAAGAAATATCATAATTGTCGTAGAAAGATAAAAGATTCATGAATATCTGTATCGATTGTTCGATTCATTGTCGTAATGATTTACATTGTATTACATTGTATATAAAATTGCAAGCTTTCGACGCTCATCTCTAAATCCAAAGAAATCGTAATATCAGAAATTATTTCTACACGATGACAAATCGAAATATATTATCTCAAGCTCGTGTCTTTTGTTCACTGTGTTGTATGCACGTTTCTCATTATAGTGACGTCATTATTGTCATTGTATTCTACGAACAATATTAATACGAAAGAATTTTCGCGTGTTACGGCCTTGTCGCTGTTACGTCAAATTGCTTATTCTTTTCTCTCCATAGAAACTATTATTCACGACAATATCTCAAAATGAAATCTCGATCATAAATTTTCCTGTCAAAATGGCACATCGCATAAAATGTCGTAACTATTAACTGATTCGATCATTATCGCAATTTAACGATTCGTTAATGATTCATAGTATTGGAAAAGAAACGTTGGTAATTATGATCGCGTTTAGATGACAATTATTCTATGCTAATTGCAATTGACCTCAACAATGATTAAGTTCGTCTTAGTGCAGCGTTTCAGTCTTAGGCACTGGATGACTTTGTTCTTGTTGTCTTCGATTTTTCTCCGTGCCAAAGCAACGGTTTCCTATTGCGTGTCTTGTCTCAAACCTAATTCACTCGTCGTAATGGCAATGGATAAGAGTTATGTGACACGTTCGTTGACGATCCTCTTTGATACCGTCCAACTATGCTCGATAGTAAGCCAACACACGTGCTCGCATTATTCAACCAGGTATCGTGATTGTTCGATTCGACACTTGAATGAATGCGAATGAATAGTATTTTTTTTTATTCTTATAGTTATTCAATATAAGTTAGGGAGAATAGCTTCGTGGAATAGAAAAAATATTATATATATAAATATTTTAATAATAATCTATTATCGAAATTTTTCATATTTATTGATAATTATCTAAAGAGAAATAGAAATTGCTATCTTCCAAAAATTACAAGTTTAATTACAAGAAATTTTATTATTTATAAAAGAACAGGAATTTCTTTGTAATTTAATATTTTTTTAATCAAAAGTCAACAATTGGGTAGATTGAAAATGATTCTCAATTTCAAAAGCGATTTAACTCAAACGTGAAATAGATTCATTATTCCAAGTTACTATTTGTTCTAAAGATAACTGCTAACTACAAAAAAATTTGTAAATTTTCGCATTCGACGCAAGAAACAAGTTTCAATACATTTGAAAATCTAAAAAAACCGTGTCTATTCTCATCGAAAATCTTAATAAAACCTTAAAAGAAGTAGATACGAGATAGGTGTTCGAGTCTCGTGCGAGTATCCTGTTAAACGGTGGTCATTCTCTCGCGACACGCGTAACTCGAAAAAGTAAATCAAGCTAAATTACCGTAAAGGCCTGTGTGTCACAACGTGTCTTTTATCGTGCAAGGTTACTGCGTCATCGAGTATAGATGCATTGCTCGCGTGTGCCCTGCGTTTCCCGCGAATATGCAAGCACGAACATGCTTGCACGAGACCACTTTTGCATATCGATCAATTTTCTTCTATAATTTGTATAACTTAATTTTAAGTGAAATTAGAACGAATGAACGTTAAAACGAGTAGCTGTTATCGTTAAAATTAGAGCACGAAAACAATTTAATACGTTTAATTTGTATTTTTTTTTATTTTTTAATATATTTTTTGTAAAAATGTCTCTAATCTTAATGATAGAATAATTTATTTGCTAATATTGATTGAAAAAACTGATAGAAAAATCTCGATATTAGAATATTTTGATATTTATTGATGATAAACATATATTTATTTTAGTCAAATTTTGTAAATATGTTACAACAAACAAAATTCTAGAATTAGTTATAGCATAGTTTGTGTAATATATTTTATTGTGCTATTATGTTTAATTTTTTTATTGATTTTTCTTTTTTCTTTCATTCCTCTTTATCTTTGATTCTTTACATATGTATCTATTATTGCTATTTGTATTAGCTCTCGTATTTTAATTAATTTTAATTTTGCATATTTGTCTAAATTAATCGCAGCTGCTTTTCTATTTAATAATCATTTTAGTATCTTGGATGAATCGCGTAATTCGATGCCATGAATATTTGATGAGCTTTTATAACTTCTTAAAAGTTAAAGTTAACGATATAGTACACATATTCTGTAGAGAATTTTTATATACATATTACCATTAGAAGATACTCTCGTATTTCCATATTATAGATAATCGCAGTTCTTGTTCGTGATAACAATCGGATTGACGTAATTGACAAGAGGTATAAATTTCTTGATGGAAGCATTTTGGAATTTTTTTTTTTCAAGCATGATCAAATACACGATTACAAACATTTGATTTAAAATAATACGTTTTCGTTTCGTGAATCTATTTCCGTGTTGAAATCTCGTTTCGAATTTTTTTCAATTTCAAACGATATTTCTCAGACATTCAAATTTTATTCCGAAACCATCGAACACGTTGCTTAAAATATTTTTATTGCCGCGTGTCGAACAAGTCTATTAATCAAAATTTTCGAAACTTTAAATCTCCACGATAGAGAATTTTACGTAATTAACTTCATAAAAACACGAAATTAAAAATGCGCGATGAAAAAAAGATAGTGATGATGATCAAATATATTTATGAATCAAAATCAAATCTAATATGAAATATTTATTTCGTACAATTTAATTAATATAAGAGATAATATTTTTATTATTATTTTTTATTTATTATTTACAAAATATGTTTAAAAATAAGTAAAAATTTTATTTTAAAATTCGAAAATTTTTTTAAAAAATTAAATTTTGTTTTTTTAAATTATAAGCAAAACTTAAAGAATATGATGTAGAATTTTCTGATTAAAGTATTTGCAAGAAATTCGAATCTATTATCTTCTCTATTTTTAAATCTATCTAAAAATATTCTTTCCTCTTTTTTTTTTTTTTTCAAAATATTCATGAGAAATTTGAAACTTTGCAGCTAAATTCGAATTTACTTTAAATTCGAATATTTTGTTCCATTGCTGAAAAAAAATAAAAAAAGAGAAATTGAAAGAGAAATATTCAGTAAATATGAAACAAATTCCGCGACAAACGAGAATGATAATCGACTTTGCCCCTTCCAATCCGATGGATCATGCCCATTGGCTTGTGACGAACAAATAAATTGTTATCTGATAACGGAATGCTCACGGCTAATTAATCGCAAAAGATTATTCGTCCTGGTCGAGAAGAGAAACAGATTTGGCGGGAAAGAATGACTTTGGCTTTCATGTGGTTTTGATGCCGCGCGATTATGATCGTGTGTCTTCAACGATTTGTTCTGTGTACTCGTCTAATCCTCGATAACAATTTAATTGTTTAATGAAACATGATGAACCGTGGTACATGGAAAACTGAGGATTTGAAAAAATAAATATGCAAAAGTTTCTGTTAATTTTGAAACGTTCGCATGTTGCGATTCGTAATTTTTTTTAAGAATTCAATTTATATTTTTACATTTTTGCATTTTTTCAAATGTAAATATCTTTGTAGAGAGATGATGACGAAATACTTTTTTTTTATAATTACATAATAATTCTAAAGTTCATATCTGAAATATATTATTGATTTTTTTTTTTTGAAATTGAAAGATTCCAATTTGATATTTAATAGTCAAAAATGATAATATATTATTATAGAATTGATAACGTTTGAACGTCTTCTAAGCAATTTTTATCAAATCAGAAATTTGATTGATTAAATCATCATTTTACATCATATTCTCTGTAAATAGATAAAGAAAATAAGGAAAATAAAATTATATTTTAATTTATGATGAAAATCATTATCATCTTTTTCCTCATTAATCTTTGTTTTATCGTAAAAAATTATTTTTCTGAAAATTTCTTACGAAATTGATTATATTTCCTCGATAAAATTTTCTTCGTCAAGAATAAAAATTTAAATAAATCCAATTCTCACGTTTTATTTTAATATTTTTCGAAATCATGCAAAATATCAAGATTTCCAGAAACTAGTCGCCTATGTCGTATTTCTCCTGGATTCTTATCTAATCGATTTAATCTTCATAAAAATGAAACTATTGCCAATGGATACGGATGTCTAAAGTCTTCTAATACCAAGGAAGGAAGAACACTTTGCATGACACGAATATTTAGTGGAAATCTTTTTCGATCTATCATCTTTAACTGTTGATTTTTCGTTGATATTACATTAGAAAGAACGTTGAACGTTGAGAAATTTGCTCCAAGAAATCCGTGATCGCGAAAAATGGTGATCTATGCGGTCAGAGATCATCGATTTTTCCATTTATATTTTTTTCATTAATAATCGATGAGAAAGAAGATTGATGTTTTCATTATTAAATAATATTTTAAATAATGGTTAATAATTAAAATTTGATTAATATGTTTATTGAGCTTTAAATAAAAAATTTAGTGGCGATTTTCTTAGGAGTCATTGTAAATAAATATGGGAATAACATAAATTTAAGTTGCGATCTTAAAAAATTGGGTTATTAGTTTATTTTTATTTATCTGTATTTAAACTTTATTTATGATTTGTAGATTAGTGACTGAAGGCAAGACTGATTCAAAAAATTCATTAGTCGTTGATAGTTAGAATTAGAAATCGATTTAACCCTTTATGCTGGTAAATACAATGATAAAAATATCATTATCGATATAATATATATCAATAAATGAACTTAAATATAATTTTTTATAATATATTTCACAGATGAAATGCATTGATTCATAAATAAATATTTACATATATATATTATAGAAAAAATATGGTATAAGCAAAAAACTATAATTATTCGTATAGCAAAATTTTCGAATGAAGAATCAATAAGCAAACCAATTTCAATATCACAAATTAAAATATCGATCAAAATCGTAATATATATCGTCAAAATTTGATTTCTAAATCCATCAGTTTGTTTATCGATAAAATTCCAAACTCGAAGTGTATTATATATAGTATCATATAACAATAGATAACAAATGTAGAAATAATAACGATCCAACTTGACTCGAAAATCTTTTATCAGAAATATGATAAATTGTAAATTCTAATCTTTAGTAAAAGACAGCAGCTGCGTTTCATATATCGGCCGACAACCACATTTAAATTTATTAAAATCGGTGAACGAGTCATTGTTGTTTCCCAATCCAGTAAATCGGACATGATAGAAAGTCATAGTATTTCTCTTAATCCGTCCCCATTTTCTTCCATGCACGCTTATATTTAGAATCGTTCTCTTGGTTGGAATAAACACGGCAAAGTGTTTGCCGTGCTCGAGCAAACATAGCTTCTTCAACGATAAATCTGATTCTCGCGAAATGTCTTGAGAATATCGTAAAAGATATGATCCGAGCTTTGGATTCGTGACTTTAGCTCTCGCTAATGCGCTTTAGCTATGCGAGGAAAAAGAAAAAAAGAAAAATTATTGAAAGCGGAGAAAAACTGCGCGATAACGATGGATTAGCCTTTATTACGAGGCTAAGAAACTTATCGGTATATTTCAAAGCTATGTCGATTAACCGTCGATTATTTTACAACGACGTTAATATACTACGTTCGACAACTTCCTCAAACTATACTTAACAAACTCAGATAAATTCTTGTTTGCCTTGCGCGAGTTGTCTCGAGTTTTGCAGCTGTTTGAGGAATATTTATACATATTCGTTTATATTTTTTTCCTTTTTTGTCATTATGACGATTATAATTAACAATTCTCAGGACCAATTTTACGATTTAACATGTGTAATTTATTTGAATATTTATTAAAATATTTACGAAAATTGATTTTGCAGTGGGTATGACGTATGGGCATTTGAATTTGTTCCAGACAGAAATTGACATCGCCCAAGTGGAATCGGTTCAAAGGAATCAGGCTGAGATGGAAGGACAAGATTAGACTGAACAACGTGATATGGAGATGCTGGCACATGCAATGTAAGGAAATGCACGTGTGAACACAGAACCACGACCCTGAAAGCGCGTAAAATATAGACGTAATAAATTGATGATGATATCAGCTTTCGAGAGATATAGATCTAACTGATTGCAATTTGGTAGGACAGTTTTATATCTACACAATATAAATAATTTAATTGTTTAAATGTATTAAAATTTTTATATACAAAAATATGTTCAAATAGTGATAAATATATATATTTTCTTAAAAAATAATGAACAAGTCAAATAGTATAATGCAATTTAAAATATATGTATATTTTAAAAAAGAAATGCACACAGTAATGCTAAACTAAAATCCTATATTTGTTTCTATATTAAATTGTAAATTGTTCTCATAATTAACTAAATATTTGTAATTAAAATTATATTTATCGTAAACGTAGAACCAAATTTCATTGAAATAGATGAAGTATCTCTTGTTAGCTGAATATTTAAAAGAATAATTGTTAGGAAAATCTTACTCTTTAATCGTTTCGAAGAACATCGTAGAAAACAGCGAAGAAATGCACGACCGGAAATACAAAGCTCAATACATGGTTAATTTTGCTGATTTTTGACAATCATATGATAACCCGAAGTCATTGTGATAACGTTATGTATTTGTTTTATTTTTCTGGCTGGAACAGCTTTTTCTTCGGGTGAATTGTCATGGTCAACGATTGCGGTCGAGGGTCATAGGAGAATGCGATTGGAGAATATAATTGGGGGAAAAAAGGTTCTTTTGAAAAACTGAATATTCGATCTTATTAAAAACTTATATATTTTATCATTACTACTATTTTATTAATACTAAATTAAAGTTTGAAATTGTTAATTTTACTATTTTATTATTATTATTTTGATAAATTTAAAAATTCTTAAAAAATTAAAATATTATTAGATTTATTTGAATTAACAATAGAGCAATTATAATTTTTTAAATACAAGTTTTTTAACTTATTCATATTATCTCGAAACAATTGATTGTATCTTGAATCATTCGATTATTGAACTATGTACTATTATATCATTTTTTCGAAGATTATCCGATTGATAGTTTTAAATTTGTGAACACAAATTTCTTATATTAAATAATATACATTTTTTTTTTCCTTTTGCAAAACCAAAAATTGCAATTTTAAATTTAATTTTCAAATTTAAAAAGAGTTTACACTTTTGATTGAAATAGTATGAATCATAAAATATAAATTTATTTGTAAAGAAGTAAATTGATCTAAAGCGACAGTTTTCTATTTAGATCATTTTGATTTATCCAATTCTTAAGTTTCGACGGTTTAAAATTTTTTAATCATGTTTTTTAATAAATTTCAAAAGTTATATTGCTTCCTCAAGATCTCTCGATACCGTAATCACTTATTAAACAGAATACAGAAATATTGAAAGAAATTATTATCTCATTTCACTATTTATTCATTTATATTATTTTTTCTCGTGTTGTCTCAAAAAATTTCTCATCAAGAGCATGATAACTTTTCAATTACAAAAGTTTCCATAATCTCTTTTCATAACGTGAAAAATTCTTTCGAAACATCAATCATAGTGTTCTATTTTAATTAATATTTTGTTTAATTCTGTTGGCATTTCATCTAATCATTTTTCGAGTAGATTTCTCAACGAAACAAGTTCACGAGAAAATCCATAAATTCTTTTTTACTAAAAATTTAAAAAGAAAACGAACCACTACGTTCTTCATCGAGTTACGAATCGAAAAACAAAGGTGGTGAGATAAAGCGTAATCTAAAGCCAAATTAAATTGATTCAAGATATCCTGCTGCAAAAATAAGGCGATAAGGTAAATAGTGTTGTACAAAATAAAAAAAAAAATATCTTGCACGTGACGCACTAGTGACAAAGAAATCCCCGCCACATCAGTTTCTCAGTGCACTTCTGCAAAATTTCCAAGCTCGTTCAGTTTTGTGAACACCGTCATTCAAAGAAATTCGAAATTTTTCCTTGTGGTGAAATTACATCAACTAGTTATTTCTGTTTAACTTTCATCATTAAATTCTTCTATATTGAAACGATCTATTTAAATTATACATATATATATATATATATANNATATATATATATATATATACTTGCGATAATCGTTTTTCTCTCTACGTTTCGTAAATTTTCTTCGAGTCAAAACATCAGAAAAATTAATCGAGGTAAAGTTCATTGAAGGAAGTGATTAAAAAAGAATCAAAGTCAAGGTCTTCGAATAATTGACATAATATAGCTACCTTATCGAACGAACGAGGAATTATTTTTCTTTTTTTTTTTTTCTTCTATATAATATAATTCGTTATCGAGACATTTATTTAAAATTCATTATATATTAGAATATAAGTTTATATAAGAGTTTATGATAAGAGGGTATGTATTTTGAAGCGCTGAGATCGCGTGAATAAGAAGATGGACTTTTAAATAAATCGATCAAATTGTGCAATAGACATCGAACCGCGTGCAAACCGTATCTCGTTCACTGACATTTCGACCATCGCTATTTTTAAATTAGCCGCCACCGCGTTGTCAATCGTACATATGTCAACATCGAAAATCGCGTGCCGATCGATCTTAACCGGCCAATATTATTCGTGGTTAAAAACGATGTTACAGACGATCTATAAGTAAATAGTTTTGTATCAATTTATGCGAAAGAAAAAGAACTTGAAGAAATGATTCCTCATTCGTCGATTCTTTGGATGTTAGAAACAGAATTATTTTTTAGAATTTATATATCTGTTCTTTATTATCAAAATCGTTTAAATCTTATATTGTAATGTGCAATTAAAATCGATTTGTTTATTGCGTGTAAATAATTGTTAAAAATAAATCGAAAAGAGATGGATCATCGATTTCTGTCTTCTTCTCAAATGAGTATTTGCGATTTTAATACGCATACTTTATGTTGTTTAAATTTCGTCTATGTTAATTTTTACTATAAATTTCAACTTCATCTGTGTTAATTTTCTTATTACGTACTTTACTTTTGTTATATTTTCTATTTTCATTATAAAGTATAATTTTATATTTTTAAATCGTCACTTTGTTGAAATTAATCATATTTTTACTTTAACTGTTTAAAATTCAGAAAAAATTTTTGGAAATAGATTAATTTTATTTATTTTTATATATTTCTTATAAAACAATTTTTTCATTTGTTAAGTTAAAGAATTAACTCATCTTTATTTCTATTCTAATACGTCAATTTATCTTTTAAAATAATCTTCAATTTTCTGTATACCTCGATTTTTTTTTTTAATAAAAAGGGTATATTAAACGAAGCAACGAGTCGAGGCGGAAGTGCATCGATTTGGAGGAATAGTGGAAACTTTCTGAATAGTGGAAAATTGAACTGTCGAATTCAGTTTCCAATTAAAACAACATTGCAAGATTTTATATTTGTGACTTATTAATTACAAGAATTATTTCGCGAATACGCTACAAAATGCGTCGCTGTAAAGAAGGCATCGGGACGCTTGCGTCTCTGATCCGATATACCGAACATATCGAGCATGGTCATAAATCGAAGGGCAGCTAACTACTCATTTCAAACGTTTGCGTGGTCGATTCGATTAAATTCGTCGAAGAAACACGCATCGTGGTTTGTATATAATTTTTCTCTTTATCATAAACAAAATCTTTTCTAGCAGCAAAATTTGAATTTTCGATGCGTACCAGTTAAATAATGAAATAAAAAATTTACTGACACGATTATATTCATAAAACATGTAATAGTTCGTATAAATTTTTTTTTTCTAACATAAATACGATTTTTCTTTCGAGATATTCGGTCTTTTATTGCTGCTACTTTTAGAGACGGATTCAGTTGGTCGTGATTCCTTTGAATTGGTGCACACGCACCAAATTGCACATCGACGACATCATAATCTTGATTGGAATTCTTTTATATGTTAAAAAAGTCGTTGAAAGTAAGAATATTAAAAAATATTCTCTTTTCCTTTCTATATTTTTTTCTTTTTTTTTTCTTTCATAAATAGAGACCAATGAAGGATATAAAGTAATGTAAATTTGTATTGTTTCAGTTATTTTGAAACAAAATACGCTGGTGTGCCAATTCGCGTCTCCGTTGGATGTTGATACTCACAATAAACCCGAGGTATGTTTGCTTATTATATTTGATAAATGAATATTTAATATTGTTCATGATTTATAAGTACAGGATATTTCAAAGATAATGCTACAACTTTTTATATTTCAAAAAGATAATAATAATGTTAATTTCCTGAAATTTTTATTAATTGTTAATAAAATTTTAATTAACTTGATTTTGGTTTTGTAGGATTTTGTATGATTTTTAAATGATTTAAGATCAAGGCAGAACAAAAGTTAATGCGGAGAAATAATGCATACAAAAGCCGAGCGTGTCCTGTAAACCAAGTAGCTCTTCTTTCTTTGTTTAAATAGCGATTGTCAAACAATCTGTATTTGAAATAGATTACAATTGAGTTTAGGAGCCGGCGATATACTCGCTCCAAATGCTTTATAAATATACGTTAATGGATTGTTTAAATCATATCTTTTGAATTTCCATTATTTTGTAATTTGAAATTCAACATATGATATTCATTAAATATATAAAATATAAGTATATCGTATATTAATTGTTCAAAAAAGAATTATATTCTTATATATCTCATTATATTGTATAACATTAATTTTGGAATGCCTTGTACTTCTTAATAATAGAATTTTGATCAATTTTTTACATTTCGATAACGATGATATAAATTTGAAAAATATTTTTTATCAGGCCGTAGTCTTAGAAGGAAAATATTGGAAACGAAAATTAGCTGCGGTTACTGCAGAATACAAGAAATGGCGTATGTTTTATCGGAACAAAATCCTTGGCTGGACGAACAAAGATGGCACCGAAATGGTATTCTATTTATAAATTAAAAATTCTAATATTGGATTTATTTCTCAATGAGAGAATTCTGCTATTAATTTTTGAAAATGGTATCATTTTAGATGGAATCGATGGACGTCTTAGATTGGAGCAACGGATTAGGAACTTCGGGCAACTTTGGAGCAGGTACAGGCAATACACACGGAGGGACCAGTGGAACTCCAGGAGGAGAGAGTATGATGGTTGATGAAGATTACATGGAGCTTATGACTGATACATTATTTTCCACAATCAGTTCAAATCAACCAATATATTTTCCCGATCCGAGAGAAATTGGTAACTCATTAATTCAAATTGCTACCAAACAAAAAAGCACAAAATAAGGACTCGTAGAATAACATTATAATATATATACATATAATGATTATATACATAAGAAATATAAAAAATAAGCAAAACAGAAATTAATATGTGTAAATGATATAATAAACATAATTATTTGCAATTGTAGCGCGAGGAGCTAGTCTAGCGGATTTTATACAACCCAGTCTAGGACCGCTCCAACCAAATTTAGATGATTTTATGGATACTCTTGAACCATTACAAGGTATTGAATCAATGTGAAGTTAATCATACATAAATACAGATAATAATATATCAATAAACAATAATATTCGCAATAATTATCTTTTAGAATTTTTGAATTCAAAGTTGCCCCCTGTCCCTGAGGAAGACGACATGTTTCGAAATAGTACTTTGAATACGAATTATCCTGATCTCGATCTGATGACGCCTATGAATCAGATTAACGAATTGAGCCAAGAAGCAACGGTAAAAAATGAACAAGCTTCTCAACAGACGTTAGTACAGGACGAACAAGCAGGTACTATACAAAATCTTCAATATACAGCTAAAATATATACTCAACCTCAACCAGAGCCAACGAATGCGTTCAGGAATAATAATATGTGAGTATTAATTATTCATTACTTAAAATATTTTAAAATGAAATTCTATTTTAATATCTATTTTAATATATATATGTATATTATAGAACTTTAGCTGAGAATTATAATGCTATACAACAAAGTTATGAATCCTCTTCGACCAATCAACCAGTCAGAGAAAAAAGTCGGCCAAGTAGAATTTCTTCGAGAAGTAATCGAGTAATTCAACAATCTCAACAACGGAATACTTATCAACGTACAACGCAACAACAAAATTCTCCATATCAACAATCTTCACAGCCACCTTATGCCATGGAGATTCAAACCGTTCTAACACCAGTTCAAAATCAAGTTCAAATGACATCATTGAATGATCAATCTATTCATGCAAATCAAATTTCACCTATCACAAATCTGGTGACCGTACAGCAAAATTTCGGACAAACAAATTCCATAGTATCAAGTCAGCATAGAAGTATCAGGCCTTTACCACCAGTTGCACCGATTTCAACAAAACCATATAAAGTTGTTCAACCGCAACAATGTTATAAGTTCTCTACACTTCCGCAAAGCTTTAATGCGCAGCAATGTAAATTCAGCACTAATAATTTCAAGGTATTCTCAGATACAACGTGATAAGTTCTGTTTTATTAAAACATGGTGTTTCATTTGAATATTGCATCAGCAAGACAAGAAAGTATGATTAGCAATAGAATCAGATTATCGTAATATTTTTCAGACACACCCACCACAACAAGTCGTATCGGTTTCCACAGAGCAACCGTCACAGTCACCGATATTATTACAGTGCAGATCCTCCGGTTTGGATCTTACTACACCAACTATACAGCCGACAAAATTATTACCGCAGTCTACCACGTCTAATTCAGAAAAAGAAGAAGTTTTTGCTGTACCTAAGGTTGATATGTAAATTATGATAAACCTGTTTATAAATCCACGTTTTCTTTATCTTGATGTAATATAAAAAATTTAAAATATTTATGATAATAATATTTTTCTTTTCAGTATCAAATGAAAGCAAGAAATAGATCTCGAAGCAGTTCATCATTAACTTCGCCAAGAATTCATCCACCGCCATTAGTATCGGCGGCGAGCGATCCCGCTCTAAATCTAAATAACAATGTTTTGCTCGCACAGTTACTCACTAATAGTATGTATTCTAAGAAATGCAATTTTTGTATAGTTAAATTTTCATTTTTTATTTTATAAATCATTTAATAATATATACAAGATATACAAATGATATATAAATTATTGAAAAATCGATCACACGGTATTATATATATTTCGATATAAAGAATATTATAAAAGCTTCAATATCATTACATAGACACATCTGGTATACACACAATGAATATGCCGGCTGATAATATAATGCCAACAGTGAACCAAACAACCACTATGAAATACATCTCATCTATGCTTCCACCTTCAGCTTCGCCTACGCAGATAACGACTACCCATCATATTACCACGCCGGTTACTGTCCAAACTATGCAAACATCTACAGTGCAAGTGCAATCGCAACAACAGGTATTTTTTATGTTGCATTTTATTTCGAAATCAAAAGTTATTTAAGTCAATGTTGTTCAAGAAAGAAGTTCCTTTCGATGTTTGTACAGTCAATTTAATGTCTTACAATAATAATATAATAATATACAAGTAGAACTCTTTAGCTTGAGCTGCGAAGATTTAAATAATATGTATAAAGATATTACTGATTATATAACATTGATACTAACAATAATAAATTTTCACCTTGTATAATATATAATGTATTCAATTGTATATTGCATATTAGGCAATGCAACAGACTACTTGCAGCCAACAAATGTTATTAAATACAAACACTCAAGCGCATCAGCCACAAAATAGTCCCGGATCACCGAAGGATAACTCTAACGCGCACAGTCCTCAAGGGTTAAATCTCAGTCCTTTGCATAGTCCGATGAGCATAGGAAGTCCATTATCGCCAAGTCGAGGTTACATAAAAGGCGAAACGGAACGAGGACAATATAAAGAACAAAGGAGAGTTGGGCACATTCACGCAGAGCAAAAACGTAGATATAATATTAAAAATGGATTTGATATGTTGCATAGTTTAATACCGCAGCTTAATCAAAATCCAAACACGAAGATGAGTAAAGCCGCTATGCTGCAAAAAGGAGCAGATTATATTAGGCAATTAAGGGCGGAAAGAAATCAGTTAAAGGAAGAGATGGATAGTTTAAGACATCAAATTGAGTGCCTTAATACATCTATTAGGTAATAAGAAAATCGAGAAACGAAAGAAAAAATTAATTTTTAAAAAAACTATTGAATTTATAATGAATACTCTATTACAGTAATTGTCAATCTATGCTTCCTGCAACGGGTGCTCCAATATCTAGACATAGAACTAATAAAATGAAGGAGATGTTCGACGAATATGTACGCACGCGTACACGAGAGAATTGGAAATTTTGGATTGTATCCTTTTTAAAACATGTTTTACAATTTCTTTTTTTAATCAAATGTATGATATATAAGATGAAATGTATATTTTCTTTATAAAATAATTAGTTCAGTATATTGCTTGAACCTTTAATGATTTCTTTTAATACTTCGGTATCAACCGCAAGTATTGAAGATTTATATCGAAGTACAATATTATGGGTCGAGCAACATTGCTCACTCGTTGATCTCAGACCAGGTATTTTATTTTATTATTTGTATTTTTTGAATAAAAATATTAATAATAGCATAATAAAATCAAACATATATAAATAGAAATATTTAAAAAGATTTATTTATAATTATTTATCATTTGTAGCTGTTCTGAATTCTCTAAGATATCTGTGTACTGCTACTGATATTCTATCAGATCCTGGTCGTCTACCCGAAGAAGCACTCGCAGCAGTCGATCGCACAGAACGACGACGATCAACTCAGTGACCAATTGTAATATGCAAATACGTCGTGAAACGTGATTTGCTTATATATTGAAAAAAAGAGCAAAAGAAAAACAGTTACCGTAGCAGTAAGCTAATTTAGGAAAGAAACTTATGTGAAAAATTTTAAGACGATTTTTCTTATAGTAAGCTTTCAAGTTTCTTTTTGCAACGATAGTGGTTGAAAATGGAAAGGACTTAAAGTGCAATTTTTTCCCTTATACTTTTCAAAATTGTGATCATAAAATTTAATAACTAATTGTTACAGAAAAAACAATGTGAAGATGTATACATGAATTTACTCACAACGTTTAACAAAATACATATTATAATATACAGACTGTTACATAAATTTGGAACACACTGAGATTTAAACATCCTTTTTTATACCGATTATCGCAATTATTCATACAAAATATTAAAAAAATGGAAAGTACATTCATATTTATTATATAATTACGTACATTACGTATTATGTTCATTCAGCATTAAAAAAAATTATGTAACTTTACATTCATATATTGCGATAAAAATTTTTTATCATAAATTCCTTTCTTTTTTCGTTCTTAAATTTTTTTTCTTTTTTTGTTAATTCATTAAATTCATTGTAATAATTGCCTACATATATCTATTGCTAATATTTAAAAAAAAAAAAGGAAGGAAAAATGTGTAGAGCAAACCATTCCATATTTTTACTATGCTTGTTTTTAACTAAATATGCCACTTGCAATGATAAAAAAACGTATCATTATTTCTTGAAATTATTCTATTTCTTTTTGATAATGTTTCATAACAGCTTTAAGATAAATATATTTATAAAAAATATATTTTGCGACTCAAATACATGTTATATTATCGATATATTTTTATAATAGTTGAAATATAACTTTCGTGGAAAGATATTTTAATTTTGAAAACTCTTTCATTAAAATAGACAAATAAAGAATTGTTTATAACAAATTAACATCAAGTAATTTATTGATTTTTGTATGCTATATGAAAATATATATTTGAATATATCTAAATGAAATTAGTGCCATGAAATTGTAACAAGAGACTGGAGTAAGAAATATTAATTGTTAAAAATATTTAATTAATTATGTTTTTAACAATTTAAAAACTGCAATTTAACTAAATCATTTAAAATGTTTTTAATTTTAATTTTGCATTCTATGATAAATATATAACTGTTGATACTTGCATAGTAATAATTTTAAAAAAATAAAAATTTATATTGCAAAAAATCGAACATATATAAAAAAATGGGTTGCTCACAAATTATAAGTTTATTATATATTATTAATGTTATTAAATATGAAGTTTTTAATACGAAATTTCATGTGATAATGTACAAATCATTTATAAAAGAATTCAAATATTAGAGTTTAAGGTTATAAAAGACTTCTGTATATTGTAATATTATTACTTTTAAATACCTATTGTATATAGTTGAATATCAAAAACAGTAGATAATCTTTAGAAAACAATTCTTGAAATAATTTTTAATAATTGCTAAAATTTTACTTTTATAAATATGTTTAATTAATTTTTACAATATACAGTTATCTTTTATTTAACTTTATATTATGTATGTATAAATGATAAATAATATAAACAAATCAACAAAGGGATGTTTTTTGTACAATATGTATCATATAATCATATAAAAATTCATGTATTATTATTCAAATGATTACCTCCATAAACAAATTAAATATTACTTTTTTTTTCATGAATTTAACAAATTAAAAGTTATTAATTTTTTATTCATGTTTTTTTTATTTTTATTAATATATCTTATTACCCATAGTTGATTGGATATTATGATATTATGTTTGATATTTGCTTCTATTAGATATATTATTTAAAATTAAAATTATTATTATTAATCAGTCACGGGTAATAAGATGAAAAAATATAATTTTTTTTCAGCAATTTCATAAATTTTAAAAATCTTCACAAATTGAAGAATATTAAAATCTATATTATAAGTGTCCAAGTTGAACATTCATCACAAATTAGATATAAAGACATCTTATTGTTTTCAAAAAGTGGTAAGAAACCAGGTAATTCCTTACATTGTATAGAATGAATATTTACACAATTATTAATAAGACATCCTATTTCCTTCACACTAAGACAATTGTCTAATACAAAATCACAAGATTCACAAGCTACTTTATTTTCTTTTTCTATTAAATTAGATTTTTGACATATAGGACAAATAACTTCATTTACTTGTTGATCTGCTTTAAATGCTAATACTTCAATTTCTTCTTGTACCATTCTTTCATATTCTTCTAATATCCATTGTTCTATATAATAAATAATGCATAAACATTATGCAATATATAAACAAAACAAATTCTATTATTTTACCTTCTTCATCAAGTATTTTAGCTTCAAGTTCAAGTGCTTCTTCTGGATCAAGTGGTTCATTTACAAAAAAAGGATTCAAAATTGGATTTAAATCTGTAGTAGCCAGATTATTTAATTCTTTACGAACAATTTCAGTTAATGTATCTTGTACATTTTTTGAATTTATTTCCAAACCAAATCTATTTCTATTAAATAACTGCCCTCGTTTTTCTCGCATTCTCTCTCGACATCTCTAAAAAATCATATTTCATTTTATGCATTAAAATTCCGGCAAAATATGATAAATTAATTACATGATATGATTTTATTTATTTTGATTTATATGATTATTATTTATGTATTTTATATATTTGATGATTAAGTTTCAAAGATTGGAAATTTAGACATTCAAAATAATATTAAATTAACCTCTCTTAAAACTTCTTGTAATTTTGGAGAACTGTGTCTAATTCTATTGGCATTATTTCTAGTTTTTAATTTTGAAGCCATTGATGGACTTAACTTTACATTTTCCATATTTTTTACACTGTAACATTTAAAAAATTTTATAAAAATAATAAGTATGCAATATAATATAATGTATGAAAATAAATAAGTATGCAAAGTAACTGAACACTTAAAATTAAAAATATGTATATAATAGAGGTCGTGATTTTACATGTATAAATATATTAAAATATACACAAAACGAGATATAATGAGATATATATATTAGAAATTTAAAAATCTGTATTTTTAATATAAGTTTATCACTTTTTAAATTATATTCTACTAATTTAAATATTTAATAATAAAAATTTTTGTCCAAATTTATAAATTTGTATCATAAAAATATTCAATCACAGACATCAGAAACTCATATTATATAAGAGACATATATTGATATTTCAGGGGTTGCAAAGATGAGAATGTAGTCTATATTTTTTTTATTTTGAATATATATAATTTGAATATTAAAGTTTAATATATTATAATTTTTAAAAAAGAAATTATGGTATTTAATTGATATAATATCCTATAAAATATATATCCTGTAATATTCCTGTAATTTCTGATAAATCCTATATTTACGTTTATAATTACGCGCCACAGCAAATACGAACAAAAAAATTTAGAAAGAAGAAAGATAGAATAATAATTGAGAAGCGTAGAAACAAATATAAACGAAGAGAACAAATAGTGGAAGAAGGATAGAAATAGAATAAAAATATTGAAATCAGCGCCATCTATAGAGTGCCGCAAATGCAACACATAAAAAAGGACAGAAAATAATAAGAGAAGGATAGAAATAGGCTAAGAATTGAGCCGTTAGCGCCATCTTTTAACTTTCAAAGATACTTCTTCAATAATATCTTTTTAAAAGTATTCAAGAGATGGCGCTAATTTGAAATTCTTAATCTATTTTACCCTATTTTAAAAAGATTCCTTCAACAATCAAGAGATGGCGCTGCCGGTCAATTCCTTATTCTATCTATCAAATAGGATAATAATAATAGCATAAACAAAGAGAACAAATAGTGAAAGAAGGATAGAAATAGAATAAAAATTTTGAAATCAGCGCCATCTGTAGAGTGCCGCAAATGCAACACATAAAAAAGGACAGAAAATAATAAGAGAAGGATAGAGATAGGCTAAGAATTGAGCCGTTAACGCCATCTTTTGACTTTCAAAGATACTTCTTCAATAATATCTTTTTAAAAGTATTAAGAGATGGCGCTAACTTGAAATTCTTAATCTATTTTACCCTATTTTAAAAAGATTCCTTCAACAATCAAGAGATGGCGCAGCCGGTCAATTCCTTATTCTATCTATCAAATAGGATAATAATAATAGCATAAACAAAGATACCAAATAGTGAAAGAAGGATAGAAATAGAATAAAAATATTGAAATCAGCGCCATCTGTAGAGTGCTGCAAATGAAACACATAAAGAAAAGACAGAAAACAATAAGAGAAGGATAGAGATAGAATAAGAATTGACCGGCAGCGCCATCTCTTGATTGCTGAAAGTATCTTTTTAAAAATAGGGTAAAATAGATTAAGAATTACAAATTAGCGCCATCTCTTGAATATTTTTGAAAAGATATTATTGAAAAAGTATCTTTGAAAGTCAAAAGATGGCGCTAATGGTCAATTCTTAGCCTATCTCTATCCTTCTCTTATTATTTTCTGTCCTTTTTTATGTGTTTCATTTGCGGCACTCTATAGATGGCGCTGATTTCAATATTTTTATTCTATTTCTATCCTTCTTCCACTATTTGTTCTCTTTGTCTATTCTGCTTCTCCGTAAAGAGATAAGTTTAATATATGATTTTAATATTTTTTTTATTATCTTTTGAAATAAAAATAAAAGAATATATTTAAAATATATTCTATAAAAAAATAATATGTAATAATATATATATATATATATATATATATATATAATATGTTTGTAATAAAAATATATAGATATCCATTAAAAACTAAAAATTACACGGACTAAAATTCAATTTCATTTTTATATATACACAGTTTTAAATATATGTAAAATAGGAATTTAACTTTAATTCGAAGTATTGCGAAAGTGTCGATTTTATTTTTTATATTTAAATTTGAATGATAGAAAAAAATATTAAATTAGTATAAAATTATATTGGAGAATATATTGAAAAAATCAATTTAAACGACAATAATTTATAATTTATTGTAATACTCAATGATGAAAGTTGAATACAATTTTAGCGATCAGGCAATTTATTCTGAATTGAGATTGATTAAAAAATCATGAGCCAACAATATATGAAATAATTATTATAATTAGAGAGTATAATCGTAATATAAAACAATGACTCTCGATTAATTATTAATAATGTGTCACTTAAGTTATGCTAAAAAAAATATAATTCTTATTACCATTGACAATAATTCATTCATATAAGTAAAATATTTTTTCGCAGTCACTTATTACATCTAAGAATAAATATACACATATACATTTATGTATATGTATATGTCTATCTTAACATTTATGTTATTGTATATACATATAAAGGGCATTTCGCGAATAACTTTTAAAAGTAAATAACATTCTCAACATTCATAAAATAATCTCTAATATTTGTATATGAATTAACAATACAAAAATTGATTAAGAATCCATGGTCCTTTGACCAATTAAGATAAATATTTTTATACATCTCTTATGATTTCTAACAATTCATCGATAAACTAAAAAATTATATATCTTTGAAACACCCTATATATATGTACATAATTAAATATATATACATATACACGGTCATATTATTACAGATGTATAATTATATACCTATACGGTATATCCATATACAGAACTATATTCGTGCACCTTTACAATAATACAAACAGTCGATATTTCAGTTTAATTATTAATTATTTTTCTTTACATTATGGTGAAGGTAGCACTATATAATACGTCTAGATTCTGTTTGTTAACATCAGAACTAGATCAATGGCAGATCTTCAACCAACTACATATTTTACTAATACAGCCAAGGAACAATGATGGCACAACAATAAATTTAATTAAATATATTTTTCTATTGATCTAACTTCATCTGATATCAAATCATTTTTTTTTTTTTGCGAAAATAAAAAAAATATATGTAATTCATTATCTATTATAATAATATGATAATGAAATTCGAATAATCGTTATATCACTTTCGCCACACGCTTTACTTTAAGTATCTTTGTTTGTACCCACACACTTTTTTCATAACATTAAATAATTATCATATTAATGAATTATAATAATATCAAGTGACATTACTTCGACTTGTTATCAAATACAAAATTAAATGTATGTTCACGATTAGAAACGGACATGATAATTAATAACTTAATTATAAGCGTACTATCTTCGAAAACATATTTAATAATTAATATTAACGTTCTTCGTCATCGAATTATGCCATTCGTGTAGAAGAAACTATTATACTTTTATTATCATTTGGACAGTATTTTCGTTGACGAAGTTCGTATAGAAATTAATAAATCAATATTTATCTATAATCTAAATATTTTATCCATGAACATTTTATAGCAATACTTATTTATATACATTTTGATATATTTACATAATCGCTGACTATGATGACATGGAACTATAGCAATTAAGAGGGAAGTATCTTTGTACCAACGTTTATCAAAGAACATACTATTATACTCTCGATACTTCTTGATAGACAACGTACAAAACATGTTTTTTTTTTTAATATTTTTTTTTATCAATTTCTTCCCTTCTCTTTTTACAAATCGATACGAATAGTTGAAAATAACATAGCACCGAAGGAACTTGGATAACATTACGCGTATATTGTTATATATAATAACTCTTGGCAATGATTAGAGTTACTATAATAACAGTGTACTTAAAAGCTAATTATCAGTAACGATTAATATCAGTTTTCTCTTGCCAATAATGAAGAAAATTCAGGTAACAATTTCAATCAATCCGATCTGTCCTTCTTTTTTTCTTTTATCTATATCTTACGAACTATGATTAGAATAATAATATAGTTCAATTAGATAAAACATGATTGTACATACACACAGTTCGTAGGATATATTTTTGAAACTTGATCAAAAATCGACGAAAGAAAATCATGCAACCGATTAAAATTTAAAATTTTAAACAATGGAAAAAAATATTAAAAAAGATAGCGCTTTTTTTTCTAGGAGATTTCTATCTTCTAAGATGTCAATTTATTTAGGAACTAGATTCAATTCGTGATCCAAACTATGTTATCAAAAATTTTGATCGTGCTCGATCACATCTTTTGCAGAAGACGTTGTATCAGTTTACGTGGAAAGACCACTAGAAAAAAGCTCTCAATAAATCAGTAATAAATCGCTAAAAAAAAAAATTAATCACATTGTTCAAAATGGTAGATGATATAATAACACGTTAAAAGGGACAAAAGACAAAGTCCTCGTACGTTCAAACCATTTTTTCTTGATTAGAAAGTTCCTTCTTCACACCAGATAGGGAAGTCTATACAGTTTATCGTACTTTATACAATATGGATTCGTAATATCGAATAGCATTTTAAAATTTACAATAGGTATACAGAGAGGATATAAAAAGGCGGAGTAACAAAGTAGAATCATCTTCTTTAGATTGTTGAGCACGTATCGGTCGAAATATACGAGGACTTCCTCTTCGAACTATCCTCGTATTTTTAAAGTGTTTAAATGTATACAGCTAATGCCGGGGCTCAAAAAACGACCGGCAGCGTGCGAATCGTCAAAGTTTCTCTGGTGCCGTGGATCGGAAGGTTGATGTAGTCTGTGACGAAATTGGAGGCCCAACACTCGTTGATCGTTCCAATGGATAGATCACTTTACTCGGTGTTGGTTGAGATATTGCACGCTTCGCCAATCTAAAAGAGCTAACGTATGTTGTTAATTAGTAAAAGATAAATTAAAATATAACATATTAATTTGAAGTTGCCTGGTATTAATTAATTTAAGATATTTATTTGATACATTGATCAAAACATTTGAAAAATTCCTTAAGAATTGAAATGAATATTCATGATTATATTTATATTTTCCTCATATACAATTATTTTGATCAATGTAATTTTTTCAATATGTTAAAATTCAATGTTAAAAAGAGATAAAAACATCTTGAAATAGTTAGAAACAGAATAAGCATTAAACGAATTCAGTTCGCTATTAATTGCAGGATTCATGAATCATGCCTAAAGAACCAAAATATTGGTTATTTTTTTAAAATTATAAGAAGTATTTACATTAACACATTAGATTATATTTTAAACGTTGATGTTTCAATTAAAATTTCATAATATCATATATCTATTAATATTTTTCTTTCACTGACTCTAATTATATTATTGTATTCTCTTATATTACCATTTCCTTCTTAAATGTTATTATTAAACGTTACTATTTATATAATTATGCGATCTTGCTACCGTCTAAGAGACTAAAACTAAAATATATATACATGTCATAGTGTTATAGTGAAGAATCTCTTGAACCGTAGCATACTTATAAGAAACATACCGCACCGATTAATTAAGATTCGCCGACGTAGAAGCAGATGAGGACATGGATAGCAGCGTAGTAGAGCTAGCGGTGTATTTAGATATTTATACTGAAAAGCGTGATATAAATGTAATAGTTCCATGAATAAAAAGCATTGTGAGTGATGGAATGACGATGAGGACGAACAGCTATCCCGTCTGCAATGACAGCGATGCAGATAGTGGATTAAATCTTTCATTCTTTGAGTGAATAAAGAAATACATGTAAATACATATTCTTCTATTGTGGACACAATAATTTGTTTCAATTTTAAAAATTTCATATAATATAATTTAAATTGTTATAATTCACTTGTAACAATTTAATATAAATACTTGAGTATATGTTCCACAATAGTAGCTATTTTAATATAAAAATGAATAGAAAAAAAGATTATGAAATAAAAACAATCAGTTCAATTTAATCTTCTAAAAGGATTAGCAATATTAAAACCAACTGGCTCCAAACATATAAAAATGGTTTGAATCGTTATAGGTTCTTGCATTTATCCGCTCCATTTGTTAGGGTTAAATACAGCTAAAAAATGACAATTGAATATATCGCGTCATAAAGCATATTTAAAGAATATTTGAAAATACGTGATTTTTTTATTCGGTAATACACCGTATGTCCGTGAGTTGTGGTATTTTTTAAAACAACATTCACATATATAATCGTGCATCGTGTCAGAACTTTTATTCTATCACATATTCAATCGTGCTGTTCATTTCTTGTACAAGCAAGATTTGAGCCTGATCAATCAGCAAATGGAAACATACGTTTTTTAAAAATTTTAAAAATTTAGCTTAAAAAATATAATTATTACCAAATATTTATTAAATATTTTATTAAATAATTTATTAAAAGTAAATAACAGAAATTATGTTGTTATAAATTATTAATAGTTGAACATATAGTTTAACTTTAAAACAACTGAAGTTAAATAGTGTACAAGAAATCCACAAAATAAAGAATTAAAAAAAAATAAAAAATATCCAAAAAATAATCCAAAAAATAAAGAATTTTTAAATAGAAGATATTTAACTCTTTATTGACAATTCAAATTAAATATAAATTTTTGCAAATGATTTGTTTAATTAAATTTAATGTCATAGTTCGTACCATTTGTGATAGATCTAGCTTAATGTTCATTATAACACAAACATTCACCTAACAGATTTCAAGCGGAAAGGGGCGTCTAGTTTACCTTGGTCGCTAAAGTGAGATCAGACCATTTTCAGGAGGTAACGAAAAAACTTTTAATTCTGTGTACATCTAGACACTCATAGTTGATTAACCACAAATTCTGGACATGTGTATGGTTGATAGATAAAACATTAAGTTTGAGCGTAGAATGGTGGCGGCTCTTGTCGAGAGCACGAAATATCAACTACGCCGCGTACATATCTTCATAACAGGTACCTGTAATTAAGAAACTGATAAGCTTTAGACACCGTTCAAATCTTTTAATTAGCAGCTAAAACAGAAATCTATATATAGTAAATGTTACAGGGATGTCTCTCACTCCATTAAAAAAGAAAGAGAATTTTAGTTGCTCCAACTGATACCAAGTATCCTTATAAAAATTAAAATAAGATTTATCAAAGATAATTTTTTCTTTATAGATAGTTTAACATAAGAAAAAAAAGAAAAATGAAAATGAAAAATGATATCAGTGAATAGATGTTATAAATAAGATATGCTAAAAATGATAAACTTATTGATATGAACTAGAAAGATGTGTAATTTTTATGCTGAAACTGAGAATAAATATTCTGTGACATTATAAATATTCCGATAGAATATTCCGTAATGATTTCTATATATAAACATATGATATAGACTGACATTCTAATATAATTAGTAAATAGCAAATAAAATAAAAATTTTTAAAATGATCAGTCTATATCATATATTAAGATTATGCTGTGTCAAGCCTACTAAAATTATTCAGTTTATGTACCTTGTTTTCGTAGTTATGATTGTTTTACAGAGAAATCTCTCGATATAAAGTGGATTTTAGTTAACACTGATGAGTGTGAGTTCAAATACGAAGATTGCACGCGTCATTGATCATCTCTGAAACAACTACCTTTGCTTAAAATTTCATACTGATCACAGTATGCATTCTATAAAAATACAGCATTAACTATGTACAGACAATAGAATTCTTATTTCTTCGAAATGCCTTACGCCCATTCTGCATATCTTCTTTCTAGAGGATAATATATATTGTATATGCACACTTCCACCATTCTGCAGTAACCAAAACATCTGAACGTCGAGGATAGCAAGGATTGAAAGAATTATTACCTTAAAAATTCCCACATCATAGCGAAGTGTAAACAATCGAACACAGTATACACATAGATTAATTCCATCATAGAATAAATAGCTCACCTTCTTCGCCGTAGAGAAGCATTTTGTCCGGGTAAACCGAATTGACCTCTTGGAATCACCATACGTGCATTACCCTGAGCAGGTCTCGAGCCTCCGTGCGCCTGTAGCATACTTAAATGAGCAGCATAACCATCATGAAGAATAGTTGCCAAAGCATGGTATTTTTTTGACACTTTCCCAATGATGAAAATTTGATTTGGCTTAAGATTAATTGCAGTGTAAACACTAATATCTTTACTGCTGCCATATGCGTGATGAATTATTACACCGTGTTCCTGAAAAAAACCTATTATTCGAATATCGTTGTAAGAGGAAATTAAATAAATTATACATATAGTTTGAAAGAGCTGTTCACCTGTACAAGTTTATTTAAATACGCAGCTTTATGACCCAGCGGATCTGTTGAAAGACCATCTGCAAAGGACACAAGGCCATGAGGAAAGTTGTGCTGAGATAACCAGGAAACAACTTTCTGTTGTTGCATATCAGGTCTTGCGGTAATATATATAATTAAGTATCCCAGTTCTTGCCAATGCCTAATTTGATAATAATCAAAATAATTATGGATTCGAAAATTACACGCAAAATAAATTATTTGCATAATAATTTAAAATATACCTAACAATATCAACAGCTCCAGCTCTAACTTTCGGATCTTTTCCACTTACAGACATACTCGCAGTAAATGAGCCATCTATACTAAATACTACGCATTCTGTTTTTGGTGGAATCACAGTCAAGAAGAAATCTACGAATGTATGATCACCTCTGAAAACCAAATATTATATAATATTTAATAATTAATATAAAATATAATATATTTTTATATATATAAAATTTATAATATATTTATGATATATATATAATATTATTTTTATTTATATAATATATTTTTTTAATTACAGAAAATAATATTACCTAACAATCATTTTAACTGGATAAAGACCATATCCCAATGCTTTATCATCAGGTATTTTATATGTTATTCTACCATTCTTATCAGTTATTTCAGTTGATAAATATGTCCATTCCCCTGCAGGAGCATCCTTCATAATATGAATATCCACTTTTTCGCCTATAAAAAAATATAACATTTATTATAATTTATTATGTAAAAAATTTGTATACATATATAGCATATATAACATATATAATATTTAATATACCAGTTAAAGCAATAACATCAATTGGACTATACATAAATCTAGCAATCAGCACTTGAGGTGCTCCTTCTCTAACAATTACATCATTTGCTCTATGATTGGCAGCAACATTCTAAAACAGAAATTCACAAGTCAAAGACTTATATCAATAATTTCTTTATTTTCTCAATTTACCTTAAGTTTAACAGAAGTACGTTTCTTATTCCACTTCTCTCTAGGTTGACCTGGACGGAAACAAGTTAATTCTTTCTCTTCATTTGCGAGTAATGGTAAATCAAATCTGCCTAATTGTCGTAGAATAAATGCAATAACATCAAAAGATTCCCAATAACTGGCGTGAAAAAGATGAGGTAAAGCATTTGTAGGAAAATTTGCTAAACCCTCAGGGCAATAAAGAGCATAATCTAATCTCTTTGTACCCCACCATTTTTGTGTTACTAGGACAAATTATTTAAAATAAGAAGATAATACTTTAATGCTATTATTATATTACTTCATTTTTTACATACAATTTGATATTACTTGCAAAGGAACATTTTCAACTACACCAGACATCATACTGTGAATCGATATATCGGACAGTCGTCTCAAGTGGGACATTGACATATTTGGAATGTTTAATCCATCCGTAAATAATTGTGGATTTGTTTGAATAGCTTCCACTAAAAATATTCAATAATTTATAATAAATATATATTATATATTTTATAAAATATATATAAATTTTGAATGAATAATACATACACAAATGATAAGGCTGCCCATTTCCTAATGGATACTTTTGATATTGAGCTATATTCACAGGCGGAAGAAGAGAAAATCTTGCAGAAATGAGTGGTTCTAATCTAGCGGCTACAGGATCAGTAGGATGAAATAAGTTATATAATTGATTCACCAATGGTCTTTTTATATTAGTAGATTTATCCGCAGAAATTTTTCTATATGCTAATACTAGAGCAAGTGGACTACCAAACATGAAAAATTCTCCTACATCAAAATCCAATTTAGAATGTGAACCCTCACTAAAAAAAGAAATATTAATTATTATCATACTTTTATAATATATATAAATAGTATGAATAGATTTATAATTTTTCACCATGTACTAGAAGATTTCCTTCTAGGAGAAGGTGCAGTCAAGTGTTTGCCATTTTCAGTGTTCATGCTATTCTCAATGCCTTGATTATCCAAAATATTGTTTTCGCTATTATGTCTAGAATGAACAGATCTACACAAAGCGTCATATGTTAAAATCGCTCCTACTGAATCTCCAATAAAGCAAATCTGTCCCGTAAAACCACGACCTTCTTCGCTTTTGATAAAATCATGATAAACTTGATTCGCTCCTGCTATAACTCGTGAGACAGCATCCTGATATTCAGAAGTAGAACTAGCAAGCAAAGGTATAGCGCCGATTGGAATAGTATCGTGTGTTACTTGAGGAGCATCCACAGAGGAAGGTGAAACATCGAAACTATAGGGACTTAAACTGAAATTTATCGAATTTTTATAGATTAAAATTTTGCAGAGATATAGAGATAAAGATAATAAAAAATAAGAGATAAAAAATATCTCTGATTTAATCATTTTAATTTTACCTCGATAAAATACCAAGACCTTCAGTGCAAATTGATGGACAGGAAACGAACTTAATAGCAACATGTCCGACCATACTGGAATAACGTTGTCTCATTACAGATTCGAAGGCTCCTTTAAAAGTTGTGATATCTGATTTTTTCGCTGTTAAATCAACATTAGCATCTGAAATGTATTTTTATAAATAAATTAATTAGATTATAATTAATCTAAATAATTAATTATAAAAGATATTTACCTAATACACTTCCTGCATGCATTACAATAAGAAGAACAGTAGTTTTGCATGGTTGATGGGTTGGAGAATGTTGAGGTGAAGCTGGATATGAGACATCAATACTAGCTGAAGTAGAAATTTGCAATCTTTTACTGCTACGTTCACTAGCCATTCGTTGTAGATATGAAGGTGAAAATATCGTATCGTCTAAAAATATGTATTGAAATATATGTTGAAATATAATTATTAATTTTTAATTTGCAGAAACCAAAAAAAAATATAAATATTTGAAATGCTAATTGTGATTTACCTTCTTTGTTTGCCATAGTGGACGAAGTGAACGTATTGTCGTCCTCTTCTGCTAGAAGATCCAAAGAACTCCATTTAGCTAATGAAGAGTTATCTCCAAAGTTCTCTGTATAATCAGAAATTTTAACATTGCTTGTACATCGTGACTTCTCAAATATCCATGACTCATTTTAAGGCAGAAATAGAATAATTTTTCTTTTTCTCTAATTTTTTGGATATCATAAGGTAGAAAATAATAATAAAAATATGTTGAAAAAATGAAGTTAATAATATTTATTTTATTTAATACAATTATTTCATATATATTAATATTCCTTATTAATATTTTAAATAATTTTTACAATAAAAAAGAAGCAGTTGTTTTATAATCTACATAGCCATGCTGTTTCATGCTGTTATAAATCTTTTTTTAAGAATTTTACATGTTCGATATTCTATATAAAAATTTATATATGTGATTAAATTATTTCCAATTAATTAGATTTTCTTGTAAATACAAATATAAGCAATAAATTCAACTTATTTTGATATACAAAGACATCATTGCAATTATGCAATGTTTCTTATGCAATGTTACATTTATAAAGATTACTAACATTTGTATTAACATTGATTTTTTATTTTTTAATTATTTTTTAATGAACATGTTAAAATGTTTATAGTTTTAAGAATTCTCCACTATCTATATGTCCTACCTTCGCATATAATAGGTATAATGAACCCAGCTGCAGTGTGGAATGCGATATAAAAAACAGAGAGGGTACACATATAAAAAAAACGAAAAATGTCATTACCAATCATCATGCAGTATATTCTATTTCGCAAAATGAGAATTTCTAACAGAAACATTTCTATTTATTTTTAACAAATTTTGAATTTGTTTATTTATATTCAATCTATATTAATAAAAAAAAAACAATATCTAAGAAATTCGCTGAAGCATTTGTTTTATGATTTGATTACATTAGCCATTGTTATTACACATAAAAATTTTTAGGAAGATTATTTACATGCTATATAAAAATTTGAGTTTTACCTTGGCAGTCAAAAAACTCATCTTCACTATCAGATTCGGATTCTCTCACGATACTTTCCATGCGCCAATTTGCTATTTGCATATCAAAATTTTTATTCGAGCATGGCGAATTCATTGCCGCTTTGTTCTTCTTCCATGACTTCTTTACATCTGCTTTTTCTTCAGGAGCATTTCTAAAATAAATTTAATTCTATTAAGTATATATATTGTAAATGAAATTAAGAAAATTTTCGCGAATAAATAAACTACCTAGTTCTTGATTTTACTTCTATTTTTACCTAAGCTCGGGTACTTCAGTCGGCGAATCTTCGGGACTAACTTCACCTTCCGAACTGATAGCTGTATTTGTCATTGGTATATCAGATGATTTTCTAGCACTTGTGGGACTTTGGAAATCTTCATTTTTCTCGATGCTTCCAAGTGTGGCAGCTAACGTCATAGCAACATCTGATTCTTGAGGAGTCATCGTCGTATTGGAAATAGATTTCTCTTGATTGTCGTTCGGGGATTCTTCACCGTCCTCTGCATTAGCCATCCTCTTTTGCAATGCCAATTGTGTTTGTCGTTCAATTTCTCGAATATTTTCCATGGTCAAACCGTTCCATTCATCTTGCCAAGCCCAAGCTTGTCTATGAGCTCTAACCATGGTTTTTCGCAAAGCTGAAATCATTCAATCATTACAATACATAGAACTAATTTAATTAGACGTTAAGAAACGAGCAAATATAATCCATCTACAATACTGACCTATATCATGTATAAACTTTTCTAATTTGGTTTGTACACCCCAATAACGGAATTCTACACGGCATAACTTGTATGCACACATTAACGATTTTCCGGATGATGTCGGTTGTTGCTTTCCCTAAATAGTAAAACATCAGTATTATTCTAATGCATCAGTATCAATTATTTTAATATAATAAATAGAAATTAATAAAAATAGATACAAAAAAATTGATTTATACTTTTACATCAGCCCAGTATTCTTCTAGCCATGATTCCGTAAGAGGTCCTCGATTAGTTTTCTGAGACACATACAATTTAGGATCCTCTTCTTTCACATAGTCACCCGTATATTGATCCTTTACAATGTCAATTACATCTGAAATACAATTATGAAACAAATTATATTAATGAATGTATTATTATTATATTATAGATAATAGACAACGATAGGTCATAGAACTTCAATTACACAAATACACACCTACAATTCTATTTCTCAAATCACTACCACTGAGTTTGAAGACATTTTCTTGGTAACCATTGTCAGGAAAATAGTACGTTTCTATTTCGATAGAAAACTTTTCAACAAAAGGACAAGTATAACGAGTTTTTGTGTAAGGATAAGCATTCCATGCTTCTTCCTTGGCGATTAATGCGGATCTAGGTAACAAACTCTTGAACCATTCTGGAAGATGACTGCCCACATGATAAATTTTATGAGTATATTGTCCATTTCCTCCTGGACCATTACTATAGGGTTCATTTACTATTATTTCTACACCGCTGCCTGCTCCTTGACTTTCTTCTCTAGATTTTTTCTGATGAAAAACAGATTAAAAAATTTTAATAAAGCAATAATCATTTATTTAGAATTATTCACATTATCATTATTCATATTAAAGAAAATCGCTATAATTACCGCTATCATGTAAAGCTGAGCAATTCTATATTCTTCTACGGTGAGAGGCAGCGGTATTCGATATTCTTTTATCAACATTTTGCCGCTGTTATTTATTCTCTAGCCACTCTAGTAGATATAGATCATCCCAAGGTTGTTTCTTTCCTCTTATCATTCATGATATCATTGACGTAATCTTAAAAAAAAAGAGAACAAGAGAAACATTAAACGTCGTATTGAATTCTATTTTAACATCATTCTATTTTTCGCTTGGATATTGCAAAAAGAATTTTATCGAGATTTCCCTTGAAAGTGTCAATCAATATTCCTCGATACACTTTTCTCGAAGATCTGATTAACTTTTATTATTAACAGTTCAGTTATTATCTATATCTTTATATAAACTTGTGTGCCTTTTTATCTAATGTCTATTTATCTAAATCTAATAAAATTTTGATCTATTAATTTCCTAATTAAAAAATGAACAATGTGAACAAATACATAACTTTATTTGCGTGTCTAATATATTAGAAATAGAAACCTTCATAAATATCAAGATTGATTATTTTTTTCTGCTTATAATTGAAGCACATCAAATGCTGAATCGTGTTGTACATCACGTTTCCAAGCAAATCTACTCTGGGTCAGACAGAGATTAATAATAATCAATGAATTTCATAATTATCCTCGATAATATCGATATTTTGATTTTATTCTTTAAAAAAATTTTATCATTTTTAAAAAAAATAATTAATGTGTTTTATTCAAAAAAATTTCATGAAATTTGTACATTGTACATTGTACAAATATCGAGACTATGAAAGAGCAATAAACAAATTGTTACATAAGACACTTATTTATATCCGGCTACACCACCTTAGTCAAATATATTATAAATTAAGACTTTTAGCGGGAAGTTACATAAATGATTTTTTAAAAATTATATTGCTAAAAGAACTTATTTATCCAAGTATATATATATATATATATATATATATATATATTGTATAATTATACAATTATTTAAATAATAGAATTGTAATGAATTATTAATGAAGTAAAGATTAAATATAATAAATCTAAAGTAAAATTTTTTATTTAAAAAAAGCATATTTTACAGCGAGAATTTCTAAAACAATCAAATAAAGTTTCTAAACAATCAAATAATAAAATTATATGCAAATACACACTTATATCTAATTTTATAACTTACATATATATATATAAAATAATACGTTTAATGTTTCGAAATATTTTCAATCGATACCTGTACGTTGTTTGAAAGTGATTTGATTCTCGATAGTTCGTGTAATGCCCGAACTTGCAGTCGCAATTGGACCGTAACCTGTCAGATTCGACCAATCATTTTTAACGAACTCAGCTGACAAATCCCTAACGGTTGACAGCAGTCATATCTTCTACATTGTGAAGTAATATATTTCAAGAATCACTTAAACATATATATAATGCTATATTGGTATACTTACAGGCAAAGGATTTCCTTAACCTTGAATATCGTGGCAATAGAGCAAATTCGTAAATGAAACAAAATGATATTGCTCATTTTGCTCTCTTTTATTCGTATATCGTATTTTTCGCGCCATACCTTACAGATGAAAAGATAAATCGCGGGAGTCGCGATAATATTTTCGTAATATAGTTAAATAGACGAAAGATCGATAATCAACTGAGATAATAATGCTATTAAGACTAGCATATTAATATGTATTTCGAATGATATTATTAAGCACTAAAATTCTTTGAAATAGAATGTATTTGCATTTTTCTTATATACACGTTCATTATGAATTCATATTAGTCAATTCACTAAATTCACTATCACATAGTTTAAATTTCATTCAAGATTCATTCAAACTTGTCTGAAAAACTTCGGAAGCATGATATATGCGTACTTCTATAAATAGTAGCTTGTTTAAATAATGAAAATAAAAGCACTTGTTTCTTCTAATAGGTAAAAAAAAAACTTGATTTCGATATTAAATGAAATAAACGAATATTAAATGATAATATATTCATTTTAGTAAAATCAATTAGTACATACACTGAAAAAAATAAAGCAATCGAGGATTTATCCAAGGATTGTGGGAGAATAAACGCAAGGTAAAAATATCACGATGTTACATGAGCAACGCGCGGGCACTGACTGACAGAGAGAAGCTTTCGATTGGCGGGCCCATTGACACGCGCGACTTCTCAAACCCGCGAAATCGAGCTGAACCAATCAGAATGCTTCCTACCGCCTCCGCGACCCAGTGATCCGGATGCAGTGCTGTAAAATAAAGGTGCATACTATCCGTTCTTTTTTTTTTAATTTTAAAAAAATTCTCAATACTTTATCTTAAAAATTATCTAAATAACTTATAAATTTATATTTTGTTTATATATAAATGTATTCAAAAAACATTATATAATAATTAATAGTAGAAATTTAATAATAATAAAAAAATCTTTCTATTTATATAGAACATAAAAGAAAATGAAATTATATCAAGATACAATAAATAAACAAGAAAATAAAATGAAAAATTTAACATTCGATTCAATGAAAAAAATATTTTATAATATAAATAATAATAAATATTTCATATATAATAATCAATTTGAAACACAAATTTCTGGCACGGATTTTCTATCACTGAAAATAAAGCCACCGTTAGCCTTCTACCACCTCCCTTTAACCTATTGATCGACCCCCAAGTGAACAAGAAAACGCAAGACCAGATGCGCCATAACATCAGTAGGTTCTCATGAAAACGAGACTGATACGTTTATCGATATTTGCATGTATTTCGATAGAGATTGAGTCATTGGATAATATATAGACTCCCTGCCGGTACTTGCCTTAAAAACAACATATATACAACGCAATATCCATAGGGAGACTGTGTGTCACTTGTTGAGATGAAAATCTTGTTTTCTATTCACAGAAAAGATGAATGAAAAAGGATTGTTTATTTTTTAGTGATATCTCTTTCACATAACGAAAATTACTTTTTTATAGAAGAAAGAAAAAAAGATCGTTAAAAAACAAATAAAAAAAATTATTGATAGTTCATAATAGGATTAAATTATTATTGAAATTATTGATAGTAGGAAGGAAGAATTAAAAATAATTAATCAATTCATGTTTCTTAGAGATTATTAATAATAATTAGATATAATAATATTAAAAAAGAAATTATAAATAATTGCAGTTTATCATAGATATAATATACATAAATACATTAGACAATAGAAAAGAAAAATAATAAATAAAAAAGAAAATAAAAAATAAATAACGAAAATGAAAAGATTTAAATATGAATAAAATGATATATAGAGACATCAGATATTGATAAATTATATTGATAAACTGATATAATGATCATTTCCATTAATATAAAAAAATAAGATATATTAAGATATAAAATAAAATATAACATATATAATTATAAATATAATATACATATATTTATATTAAAATTTATGAAGGAATATGTTACTCGTTGAGTGTTTGTGTGCATAATAAAGGAAATTGACCTTTGATATTAGTTATTCGATAAAACGTTTTCTCAATATTCCTTATTGCAAACAATATTATTAAATGAATACATATAATTAACGAATTCAGTTTATTTACAAAAGATAAAAAGGAAATAATAAAATTCATCTATCGAGAAATAGAGATTACAAAAAGTTAGTGACGTTTTCTACTTGTGAGTTGGCATAAAAGCGAAATGGATCGCTTGATGGATGGTAAAAATTATTCCTCTTTTATGCAACGAATGATATATAAGAGACATTTTATGAATAGACGATTTAATTCTTTCGAAAGCTTTAAATACCGAAAAAAAATCTGTTCGAATTGATACCTATTGTAATCTTTGAAACATTTCAACAATCAGATTTTCTAAGGATAAAAAAGATGCTCTTTAATCTTTTGGCTTAAAAAAAGATCTTTAAGTTTTGATGAAAAATCAAAATATAATTTTTATTATGAATATATATGATCAAGTAATAATTTTATTTTGAAATCAAAGTTGATTTGATATATCTTTGATAATATATCTTCTAATTTTTTCCATCCCATTGATCCATTTTAATTTATCTTTATTTTCTATTCATTAATCAAAAAAGATATTTTCATTTTTTATTTGAAAAATTTGAAACATTTTTTAGAAGATATATTCATAATTTTTTGAAAATATTTTCTTTGAAATTTATATTTTGTTTTAAACATAAATATAAAAAATTTGTCAAAAATATTACTCATAAATTATATAGTATTTACTATAGTATTTACTATAGTATATCCTAATCAAAATGACTAAAGTATAGACTTACATGTCGAGTGACGTCAAAATATGTTGAACGAACCTGCTGGCATAATATACATATATAAAATGACGTAGCAAAAGATTTCTTTAGACAACAGGAGAAGAAGCATGAATATACTCAAGAAAGACTCGTCTAACGTTGACCTTCCATGCAAAGATTCACATGTTCTCTTTTAATTAATTCAGAAAAAACGCAACTTTATGTTTTATACATATACATAAATACCTGGAATTATTCTTGAGACGTTAATTAGAAGAGCAATGTTAAAAAACAGGCAAGTATGTGATATTATTATAACCGTCTTTAATCATTGGCTCAATTGTACTTTAAATCTTTTTTTATGGCTCTTAAGAAAAAGTTTGTGAAATATAATCCTTAATTTATTGGTTATAATAAATATTCTAGAAGAAAAACTTTGAAAGCATAATACATTATAGAATTTATATTTTCTAAATACTTTTTTTATATATAAACTTTGAAATTTTCAGAGTGGCAGAATGATATTAAAATAAAGCTATATGGACTGAATGCAGTCAAGCAATAATAATCACCACATTATATTCATTCGTTCACCGGATAGAGCATATCCGGTCCTTGAATAACGCTTGTGGTTAAAAATACTACTATACTAAGCAACTTTCAAGAGGAAATATAGAAAATGTAAATAACGATTCATTTAGAAAATTATAATATAATTTTCAAGATTTTTTTTATTCGTTACAATCGCAGAATTTGAATATTCTTAATATAAATGTATAATATGTGCATTCTAAATTAAATTTAATGTTAATAAATTATTTATTCCATGACGAATTTTTATAAAAGGTAAAAATAATTTTATTTTTCTTGTCTTATATATTACTTTCTGATATTTACTTTATTGATAATTACTTTATTGATATTTTAATTTTTTTTTGCATGTGGATGTTCTGCTTCGTAACCGTGCGGAGATATTGGATTTCTAACAGGATTATGAAACAAGGTGTGCTTGCCATCACCCCATGGGAAAGGCTAGGATGAAAATATTTATAAATCATTTATATGGACAAGTTTCGTAACAAAATTAGTTACAAAATATTATAAAATTGTCAATTATAAAAAAATATTCAAAACAAAAAAAGAAAAAATATAGAGAATAGAGAAGAGAAAAAGTGTCAAATTCCTATGGCGAAAGCAAATAGTTCATAAGACTTCATTAATCGATTACCGCACAAATGGATTATCTCCGAGATGGAAAAAAGTCTCATTAGGTAGAAGAATCAGTATAAAACTTGAATGTTACGCAAAACTACGCATATATTATCGATTAATTAAAACATGAAACTCGATATTATACCTGTATATACTATGCAAATATTAAATGCGTAAAATACAAAAGTTCATTATTTAGGTTAAAAAAAAAAACATGTATTAAATTTATTAGAAAATTATAAAATTCATAAGTAGAAAAAAAAAGAGCACCTTAACTATTCGCCGCATATGAGGGACATCACGGAATTCAGGTCTTTCTTCCTTATCCCATTCCTTACTCCTGGAGTAAACGTAACACGACATAATTACTACCGAAAGCATTCCAATACCACATAATATTTGCCAAATCTTTTCTTCGTGACCATACACTATATTTATAAAATCACTTATTATATCATTAAATAAAATTTACACAATAAAGTTATTAAAATATTAAAATAATTATTAAATTAAACTAATATTAAATATTAAAGATGAAAATTCAATCCTACTGCTAACTTCAATTATTAATAGCTTTCATATAATGCTTTTGAAATAACGTCATATTATATATATTACCCAACATGAGAATAGATAAAAAAATTGTCTGTTTCAAGAATAGTAATGCAATCATCGTTCGATTATATTTTAATAATTATTATTAATTAACAATAAATATATAATGCATTTCTTTTGATATTTTTATCAATAAAATAATTTCAATTTGAAAATATTCCGATCTCAAATTAAATTTTTTATTATTTTTAATTCTATTTTTCTTTTAGTTTTAAATAATCATTTAAAAATTATATAAATATTTTATTTCAGAAGATAAAAACCTTACCTTCAGGAGGACAATAATCTTCTATACTTGGACGAGGAGTTGATGTACATATGAATGGTGTATCACCAACGGGTGGTAGGCATTTTGTTATAGGTTTGACACATTCTTGCATATGTTCAGGCTTTGTACAGGCATAAGGATCTTCGGAACAGCACTTAGAAATTTCTTGTTTCGCAAGTGTTTCAATCTTATCACAATCTTTTAATTTTGATTTATCACAAGGAGATTTTTTGGAAGAAGAATAATTACGAATATTCTTAGAATGAAATCTTGCTTCATATAAATCTTCAATCTTCCATAAATCTTTACGTAAAGATTTTTCATAGGATGGATTTTTCATAGAAGAATAAAATTTTAACATCGATTTTTGAATACACGAACTATGGTATTTTGCTGAAGGACAAAATTTTTTGGAAAACTTCCAAGAATGGTAAATTGGCGCCAAAGGGAACTGCAAAAAGATCGACGATCCACTGTTGAACAAGGAAACTCTTCTTTCGGCATACATCTTCATTTCATCACAATATTCATGATTATTCACATACCTGTTTCTTTCTGAAACGAACTTTAACTGAAGAACGTCAGAATCATTAAATTTTTTCTTTAAACAAAAACATGAATATTTTCGTTGGTTTTTGATATGTCGACAATGATTGTAATATGCAAAATGTCAATTTTTTATGTTAAAGTGGAAATTTTTGTTATTTATGCTAATGAATTATACAAGATTCTATAATTTAATTAAAATCACAGAATTTTTTATTAATTCTCCTACTTATGAATTTTAAACAGAATTTCAATAGCTTTCTCAATAAAGATATACAATTTTTTTTTTTAGTTAAATGAAAAAAGAAAAAAAAATATATTTTACACAGTGAGATTTTCAAGATTGAAATTATTTAGTGTTTGTACAATACATTTAATACTTTGAATAAAATACGGATAAAGGTTATTATCTAAAAAATTGTAGTTTTGTATAAGAATATTTGCTAGAAAGCATGTCACATATTACAAACCAATAATAACAAATTTTTTCAACAAAATATCAGACACTTTTTATTATAAACTTTAAAAGAAAATTAAATATCGCGTATTATTGCTATGCCAATAGCATATTCTTGTATTGTAATGTAAATAACAAATCATTTATATGTCAAGAGAAAAATAAGAAAAAAAAAGAGCTTTATACCTTCATTTATCATAGGCAATTTTTCTTTCGATTCGTATTTTAAAATATCATTGAGACAATTTTTGATATCTTGACAACGATATTCTGTGCTCCAATTTTTTCTTTTCTCGTTCACGAAACTTCTTTTTGTCAAAAATAACATTTCAGTATTTGGTTTGATTAATGCAGATTCGATTATTCTATTGCAGGATGTTAGAACTTTTAACCTAGACAAAAGAGAAATTATCGCCATATTATTTTTTTTGTTGTTCTGCGATTTATCCGAGCTTCTCGCGAACAAGGTCGCGGTTTTGATACATCTTTCCGGTAAGAAAATATATATGGGTGATTATATTGGGTATTTGAATCGCACATGACGAACTCTTTTGTCATGTGAATTCATCCTCTTTTGTTCCTTCGATCATATTTTCACGTATACGAATATTTCAAGAATTCGTTACATGTGACATTTCTGTGGCAACATTTCTCAAATCAGTTGGAAAACTTGATAAGAACATATCTTTAATTCCCTTCTTATTCTGTTTTATATCAGAAAATATTTCCGTACATATTATTATTATCGTTGATACAATTTTTACATTGTATTTTCTTTTTGGATAAATTTTTTTATTATTTTCTAATGGATAAAATTAATTATTTGGCAAATTTTCACATCCTGCATCCTGCATGATTCTAGAACCGAATAGAAAACACGTGTATTTTCCACGCTTATCTTTGTTTCATGACAAACATCGCGCATCCGCCACAGTATGCAGCTCTTGTGACGTTTGTAAATCAACCGTATTTATAGCAGTCCTTCCGCTCTTCTGTTTGTATTCCGTGAAGTTTCAATCTGTGTTTCGTGGAAATTGCGGCGTAACTTCAACGCTGGACACGCGCTGTTTAATCAGGTACGTGCAATATTTGCACAAACATTTTGCATATTGAATCATATCGCTCACAAATCTTATAAAATATCTTACTTTATAGACAAACGTAAAATTTTTAATTATATTAAGTCGTTAATAGTTAAATCGTTCGATGAAGGATTTGTTTTTCCAATTGATTCGTTTCAATAAATATTAAAAATGTTATGTTAATTATTAATAATTAAATATTCTTGAAATACTTTTTGAAATAATTATTTTCTTATTAATTTTTTTTGTATTTTTGAATTAATATAAATTCAAAAAATAGTTTTATTTAATTAGATTAATAAATATAAAATATCTCGTATAGTTTAATGCGCAGTAAGATAAATGGAACAGCAAATAGTAGTTCAAAATATAGTTAATCGAAGCGCCAGGATGTCTGAGATCAGTAGCAAACATGTAGTAGCCAGTATATCACGATTTGTATTAATGTTCCAATACTGGAAATATTTAATATTAATATATAATATTTAATCATTAGTTTATATATATATTCTATATCTGAAGAAATACGCGCATAATAAATTTTAAAAATTTTTTCTATGATTCATATAATAAAAATTAAATTATTAAATAATAATAAAATCATTTTAATGATTAAGTTTCAATATCGTAAATTCCCAAAAAAAAATGAAAATTTTTTATAATAAATTTCATTAAATCTGAAATTTTTATCGTGACATTAATGGATCAAAGTTGAAAGCAAAATACAAAGAGAGCAGTGACACAAAAGAACAGATAATAGTAATTTAATGTCGAATATATAAAAGACTTCTAAGAACCATTTCTTTCAATAAATTCTACAGAAATCTCTCCATGTTCCAACTTCTTGATGGAATTTCATACCTTTGACATTAACAAGCAATTTTCAAAGAAAACTAAAATTTTTACGATTCAAAGTTTTTTTGACGTGAAAATATATTGCAAGATATTTTATCATTGGAAAAGCAACACGAGGAAAAAAACATAAAAAAAGAATCGTGGATTATTCTAATTATCCTCTTGATAGCAAAAAAATGGAAAAAATAACATGACTGTTTTCTTTATTAAATTGGATTTTAAAAATGCATAGTCAGTGATAATTTTCACAATATAAAAGATCCATCTCGAGAAAATTCAATTGGCCGTCATGAGACTGAATGAAAACGAAATAATTAATCTTCCGCCAAGGACTTCGTTGATGGAATCTATTTTGTGCGACATCGCTCCAATTTCCAATTGGCTAGGATTGATTGCGTTTTAAATAAATAGTACTTTTGGTAATTGATTGACATCATTAATAATAATTTTATAATAAAAATTAATAATCTCACAAATACCATGAATTGCAAATATTTATATATTTATAAATTATAACATAATTTAACTAATTATAATTTTTCTGCAAAAAATAATACTTCGATAAAGAAAATAAATGAGAATGTAAAATGAAAATGATGAAAAAGCCCCAAAAAAATGAGATAGAGAAGACTGAAAAAAATCTTTTTTTGGTTATTTTTAAAATCAATTAATAAAGAAAGTCAATTAAACGAAATTCATTTAAAAAAATGAATTTCCACAATATTCTTTCTTAAAATTAACAAATTGTTTCAAATATCTTGGGATAAGTAATTCATATCTACTTTTTTAAGTTAGAAAATTCTTTACTGAAATTGCGTATTAAATTTATTTTCTCCGGAAAAAATAAAAATAAAAATAAAACATATAAATCTATAATTTTAAACGCAGTAATTTCTCGTGATCGAAAGAACACAATCATGAAATGCAAAATGAAAATGATGATAATTATTACCCAACGATAGAGTAGAAACAATAGAATTGTGTTCAACTGCCGGCTTCTGGAAAACAGGGATATGTCGATGCGTCTTGCGCGGTAACCTTTGACATTTCAAGAGGACGGGTCGAAGTGTTTCCACCCTTCTAACCTAGGCACTTAGATACAACCCGTTTTTCGCCAGTCCGGCATCCGGCCATATAAACGTGTGTATATATATTACAACATAAAGAAAGTGCATAGAACGCATCCAAAGAAAAAGGAAAAAAGAAAAAAAATAATCGAAGAGTATCGCACACTAGCAACGAACGATCGAGTATTTTTTCATTCAGAATCGTATTTTTCATTAGAGAATTGTAATTGGAATGTTACGCAGAAATCCTTTCGGTTTGCGGTGAAGGACGTAATGAAAGTAACCCGAGACGAAAACGAAACTAGGTCGATGAAAGTTTTTTTTTTTTCATTCCCTTTTTTTCCCTATTTTAACGAACGTTCCAATTTACGTGTAATTGCACGATGATTAGAAAGAGCATGGATTTACTTGAAATGTCATCGATAGTACCTTTTTCTGATAGATTTAATAGAATGCAATATAGGATTCCCATATATTGTAAACGAGATATGATTTGAAATACTAATATGATCATAATTATGAAACTATATTATACTATTTTCGCATTTGAATATAATAATGGAATCTTCTTTGATCTTATTTTTTCTTGGAAAATATCATATTGCAGGCTGCAATTGATGAGAGTTGTCTAGAAAAATATTTTAATATCAATTAATTATTCAAATTATTTTATATTATTATTATTTAATTATTATTAATCTATTTTATTGTTATCTAATAAATTTTCGATTTTAAAACAAATTTTTCTATTCAAAACTGCATACATTTGATGAAAAATTTTATTTAAATCATTGTTATTCAAGAATCCCATCTATAACCTAATAATATTTTATCATGATATGATAATATATATCGCAGTAATATTCATAAAAATTCTTCTCTCTAATATCAAAAGAATGCGGAAACGAATATTATTCGAATATATTCGACATAAAATATTTTTTAAATAATAAAATATATCAAAACATACAAAATAACATTAACGCAAATATATGTATATATTTGCGTTAAATATATGTAGAAAAGAATACAAATTCTAATACTTTAAAACACCTAAATCTAAGATATCAACAAAATAACAGTTTGTTATTTTTCTAAATTCGAATATAAAAAATGCGTAAAAAAATCTCGAAAGATTTAATTAACACAATGACTTAAACGATTATATAAATTGTATTCATATTGCGTGAAAACTGCACTATCAAATGTCAGCCACGAGGTGAACTCTGCTTGTTCGCTTCCATTTACGATTAATGTACGGAGGGAAGAAACGGAATCTCTCTTAAAGGGTAATTGCATGCTTGGAGACTGAAACGATTCAATTTCAATATAATAAGAGTCGAAGAGAGAGCCATTCGTAACCAATATAGACAACCACAATCCATAGAGAATTGTTTGGATTTCCGATTATAAGTAACGAGATGTCATATAATAATTAATTGACTTAATTCTTCTTAAATTGAGATATTATTTTTAAGCGCGTATTTCTTCAATGTAATTAAAAACAATCAAAATAAGAGCTCAAGATATATTCTAAATAACTTTGTAATTGTACTCAAGATATATTCTAGATAACTTCTAGATATTTCATAAAAATTTCGTAAAAAAGATTACATTATACTCTGTTATATACTCGTGGAAGCGTCTTGCATTAGCTCCCTTCACAGTTCATTATCAACGAAGTATATTACATTGACATTAAGGTGCATTTACAGGCTATCTTTGTGTGATACAGCTTATATGATATTAATGAAAACCGTTACCTATGAGAATGAATGATATTAACGCATACTAATTATAATTTAATTATAACAGTAACTTTTTATAATGGCATAAAGATATAATATAAAATTATAAATTATTAAAATAAAGAATAAAATTAAAAAATAATAAAATAGTTAATAGTTAGAAAATATTGAAATTAAAAATTTTTGCACATTATTGTTCAATTTAATGCTGAATTATAATTTTCATTTTATTTATAATTATTAAGAAATTATTTGTAATTTAAATAAATAGATCAAGAATTTTATATAAAGTAATCTACATGGATTATGATCTTAATATTTTTTTTGAAATTTGTGTGTATTACTATAATTAATTTCGCTCCTCTGCATAAATGAATACTATCGTAGATCAAATACTAATTGCTAATTACAATCCATATATATATATAATTAGGAGTGATATACATTGACATAATATATAAATATGATACAATATGTGATATTTAAATTTGTCGAAATAAAATGTAAATGTTTAAATAATCAAGAAGAAAAATTAAAAAAATTAAAAAGAAATTGAAAAAAATTATTTTTAACCAAAAGTATTTGAAATTTAAAATATTATATACATCTGTGAAAATATTCTATATCGTTAATTTAATTATAAATTTATATAAAAAAATTGACAAATTTATAAAATAATAAGTTTGAGTTTAATCGATTTTTCAATTTGTTGGCGTCACTAGTTACGTCATATATACAAGAATGCAAAACATTTGATATAATTTCAATGACGTAGCTTTCTAACCCTTTAAAAATTGATATTATATATATATACATATATACAAGTAAAAATAACTGAATCTATATAATAAATATAACATATGCATAAAATTTTTATCATTAAACCTAATACACTTTTTTTTATTTATTTAATTAAAATTAATCATATATAATAATAATTGATATAATAATAATAATTGTATATAATAATATAATAATTAAAAAAAATATTTTATTAATTCTTTATGGCAATTTAAAATAGATTTATTATTATTAGTATATTTAAATTTATAGATTTATTAATAAATTTATTAGTATATAAAAAATATATAATAAAACTATGATGCAAATAATTACATTAAAATAGAATATAAAAAAGATCAATATTATTCGAAAGGTTTCAAGCGCTTATACATGTCATGAAGTCTCTTATTTTAATTACATTTTTTCAAAAATACAATAAATAAACAGATCGAATAAAATATATTAAAATTTATATAAAAATCAATTGTTTTTTGAAATTCATAGATTATTCTTTGAAAAAAAATATCATAAGAAATAAAAGTGATAATAATTAAAGTACATTTATATATATTTATAAAAATTTCTATTACAAAATCATCATGATAACACATACTTAAAAATTAATATTCATTTCGTTACTAACAAAGAACTATTTGTTTCAAATTGTTATATAAAATCAATATATGAATAAATAATTCATATTTTGTCAATATTAGTTCTGTATAATAGAAATATATTGATTATAAATATGATAGTTAAATTCTTTAAAAACTAATCGATTAATTATGGTTACGCTGTATCATGTATAACATGCATATACATACATACCAATTCAGCGATAGATTTCATCCAGTCCTCTTGTTTCCTTAATTCAGTTGTACAATAATGTTCACATATATACACATACAAATGAAAGCAATCATATGCAACTACCGCGATTATTCCATTGTGAGGTGTCTATCGTTTTTGTCTGGTTAATCACGACAAAGATAGAAGAAAATATGGAGTAACTCTTCCTCAATCAGTAAAGCAGATTCAACCAGTTCTGATACAACTATCGATGCACTTCTTCCCGCGTATAGCGGTCCAATTTAATGAGGTAACTAGTCATTTCTAGACATTTCTAATCGTTTAAAATAATAACAATTTAAAATATAATAGCACATAAAATTAATATAAATAAAAAACTATTAAATTTTTAAATTTATATCATTCCATCATTACATTAATTTTTATTTCACAGTCCTTTCACAGATTTAAACAGACGGCAACTACTATTTCTAGTTTTAATGCAGTTGCAATCCTGTTTTTTGATAAGGTTTGCAATATCACCACAAGAGTGCGCTAACAGCAACTCAATAAAATCCAAAGAGCGCCGGACGGGCGGTGTTCCGCGATGCGTGATGAGTTTGACAGCTCCCGCGTACTGAACAATATTTAAAAGTAAAAAAAAAAAAAAAAAAAAAAAATCGATCAAGAGATGTGGCTAAGAAAAAATCCTTAACACGTTTCTGTATGCATCTATGCGAGATCATCTAATATGGGAGAATGGTTGGTCATAGAATTATTACGCTGATATTCTTTCTGGCAGGTAAGTAGTAAAATTTTGCAAGCATAAATGCACCTGCGGATCAATGCAATACTATACATTCGGTCTTTGTGTGCTTGTATACATGCATCATATAAATCGGGCTAAGTGCACGATCGTTACGATTCAGGGTCGAGTTATGCAAATTTTAACAAGTATCTCAATTTCCTGACAGATTATGTTTTTCATTCTTGTATTCTTGAAGGATTTAATAAAAACTAATAATACAATAGCACAACAATCGTAATTTTGTATTTAATTTTTTAGATTTACATTATACATGAAAAGTTATAAAATACAAATGATTTTTTTAATAAAATTATAATGTATAATAAAATTAAATAAAATTATAAAATTATATATATATATATATATTCACTAAATATAATGAATTGACTTCGGTGTTCGGTATTCGAATTTGATTAATTTTTTTGTTTATTTTTTTCAATAAAAATTATACATTAATTTCGATATATTTTAATTTTTTAAAATATATCAATGTTCATATTTTTTTAAAATACGTTTTATTATATATATAATAAAATTATGATATTGATATTTTGATTTGATTCATCTTTCAAATAATAATTAAATTTAATATATAATAATAATATATAAAAAATATTAAATTTTAATAAATATATCTTTATATATAATTTATAATATTAATTTATAATTTTAAAATTATATATAATTTTATTTGTAATAAATATTAGAATTACTAGAAAAAATAAAAAATATCTTTATATAAAATATATACATATCTTTATATAAAATTATATTGCAACATATATCAGAAATATTCATTTAAAATTAATTAATATTGTTAATTTAATAATTTTATAATGTTTAGCATGGCACAAAGCAACAACTTTAGTGCCAGTAAGATCTGTGGCCGTAGATATAGGTCAGAATTTAACATTAGCATGTGCAGAAGAAGATGCACTGCCACAAACAGGAGAATCCATTGGGGTCATGTGGATAAGGGAAGGACGAGAAGATGGACAAATTGAAAGATTAAAAGTTGAGCCTAATGGAGCTTTGGAACTTATTAATGTTAGTGCACATGATGCTGGAAACTATTCATGCACTTTAGATGATGATCATGATGCTGTTAAAACTAGAATTAATGTACAAGTTAGAAGTAAGTTATTTAAATGTAAATGTAATTGTAAAAACTTTGTATATTCATATTATTATTTTTTTAGCTCCTCCTCCAGCTTTACATAATGTATGGGTTAAACCATCAACAATATTGGCAAATATTCTTTGGGAAGTAGTTGGTACAGGTGGTTATCCTATCATAGATTTCACTGCCGAATATCGTCTTAAACCGAATGAGGGTGAAAAACCAGAAGACTGGAAGCCTATTCTCCCAACGCACATTCCTCCAAATTCTGTAAATAATTTTTCTTTTAATGAAAAGAAATCATTTTTATGCAACTAAATTTTCTAAAACTAAAATAATAATTTTATAGAGGCAAATTGATGTATATCACTTGGTGCCAAACACTACCTATTCTTTTCGAGTGTGGGCAACAAATCAATTAGGAAGAGGAGACATTGTTGAAGTTGATGGTCATACTCATCATAGTATTGAAGAATTGGGTATATAATATGAACTTAGTATTTTTATATAATTCTGCATGTAAACATTAATATTTATATAAAATGAATACTATAGCTTATTAATTATAATTGACAATTATTTCAGAACTTGCAAGACATCTCTTAGCAGGTGTAGAAAATTTTGATACTCGTGTCTGGGTGGCAGCAGTAGGCATAGTTATGGGTACACTTATGATTCTTGGTATAGGTACTTGTTACCTCCTCTATCGTGAGTGCAAAGTACCCTGTAAGCATTTCCTGGTAACTTTATCTAAAAGCTTTCGCTTCTACTCTTTCTCTTTCATGCTATTTATTTCTGCTGATGAAACATTTCCTTCCATGTAAATAAATTATTATGAAATATGCTAAATCATTTAATTTTGAAAAATATAATATAATTATCTAGAAAAAATATAATATAATTATCTAGAAGACAAAATCTGCAGCAGAAACGATAGCATCACTAACCACTTAACTTATCTATGGCCCTGATCTCTAGCTTTCTTTACATCAGCTATTTTCTTCTTAATCAATTTAATGCTATTCTAATATAGTGTCAATTATCTTTCACTAATATTTTTCTACTGCAAGCGCTCTGCAAATTAGCATTTAACGAATTTTCTACTGTTTAACTTTTAAAATTTACTAGTATTTAATAAATTTTCTTATCCATATTGACTTAAAACAGTAACACTTTTGTAACTTTTGCACAAAACACTTTACAACATAAGGCACTAATCTGTAACATATTTATATCTGTTTATACAGTTTGCCTGTCAGTAGCACCTTTCTTACTCCTTATAAGAATGAAATCTATAACTTATGAATGGACTTTATCAGCCACCAAACTTATTCTATTTATATTAAAAATTTTGTATCTTACTTTCTATTATTATATATGAAATTAATAAGCTTTGGTGGTTTGCATAAAATATGTTATGCAGAATGATTAGTGTCATGAATAGAAAGTATTGTGATAGTATTATAGAGCATTATGGCCTAGATAATATTATATGCTATTAGTTACATTTTTAACTATAAAAACTTAGATTAAAGATAACATAACTAACTTTGCTGGGTAAGCAATATTTATATACATATATAAAAGGATTAATATTCATTATGGATTAATATTCTATTATATATAAAATAGAATTTTTTTGATTTAAATGTAGGATATTTAATTGTCAATATAATATAATTTATTTTTAAATATTTATGGCCCTGCAAACAACTGGTAAAGGGAGAGGGTAGAAGCTAATATAACTCATGATCTAGGCCAATGAAAATTAATCTCCGTTCCCGAATTGCAGCGCAGCTGGAGGAGCAGGAAGTGATTGAACTTGTACCAAATATCATTCTGAATCCAGGATTTTTCGACGAAAGAACAGAACATATTCCACAAGATGAAAATTTTAATAACCAAACCACTACACGCTTAAACAATAATAGCGTTGTGCAACCTATGCGACTTTAGCGATTAAATATTTAGATTTCTGTGGCTAATTTTTATTAACAAGTGGCTTGAGCACAATTTATGTGTCACCTTAAACGTAAGTAACTGGAATTATAAGAGGCCTCGAATTCGCCAAATGTTACGAAGCGTAGACTCAAATATGCGATGAAGATGATAATTATGCAAAGAGGAAATTTATGTTTATAGTCAAAAAATCGTGAGATACATCATAAACTTCGAATATTCTAAGGAAATAAATTTTTCACTTACAATACAATGTAAAGTGTTCAAAGCATATGTAAGACTCTGCTAGGTTTTGTGAAATGAAGTAGCATTTTTGAGAATGTTTATCAGGATGTTCTAATTAAAATTCAATGTTATTGCTCAGTAATCGAGCTTAAACTCAAGAACTCCTGTAACCGAAAAAAAAAAGATTATTCTTAGTAAGACTGTAATTCTAAGAACAAAAGACAAAATTTCCAAGAAACTAAAATCATACGACATTAATATTAAGTGATGAATCTTTGTCTTATATCCTGCATGAACATGTTTTTTACACAATTATTTTTAACCATTATCATCTAATGAAAATGAAATTTTAATGGACAATATCATGCAGGAAATAAGATTTTTGCTAACAACACATTCAATATTCAATCATTCAATAAATAAATTTTGTCAAATACAAGGTAAAGGCTTGCTTACTGCCGTTTTAAGGTGTGCAGAAGTCATTGGTAAAAAAGTTCCTTTTGCGTGTCTTTATAAAAGTTTTTTTTTATTTATTATTATTATAAGAATGCTTTTTTTTTTTAGATAATATTTTCTTCCAAAATAATTGATATTATAAAAATTAATGCACCATATACTCTTTCTGGAAAAATCCTGCGAATCAGAGAATATATAGTATAAAAATCATATATAATTATAAGTCATTTTATATTTATGTTCTTTCTAATAATATTATATTTCTCATATTTTTAACTTTGCATGTGATCATTCAAATATGTCTAATACTTCAACATGCTTTTGCACTACCTTAATAACAAATGCAATATTCACTGCTATTATAAAAAGCTATAAAATCAAATTTCATCAAAAATAAATTTTAACAAATATGAAATGGCACAATTCCGATGAACAATAAATTTCAGTACATAAACTTTTTTAGAAAAGTTAAAAACTCATTATAATATCTAGCAAGTAAGAATTATTCATAAACTTCATACATTTGGTTAAATTTATTCCATTCAGATTAGTAATAAATATAGAAAAAAATAGAATAAGTTAAAATATTTTGGATATCATCTTTGATAGAATCAAGTTTAATAATCGATCGTTGAAATAGATCTTTTCCAAATATTAATTTGTTATGAGAAATATCATCTCATTCAAATTGCATACAAAATTTAACTTAGTCAATCAATAAGGTTGATGATTTTGATAAAAGTTCTTCCTGTACAAACAAATATATAATTATTTTCCACAATTTACATGTAGTACCATATCAGAATTCATCATTATGTATAGTATATTAAAGTATATAAAGATAATAATAATGAGTGCTTAGTGTTGAGGCTTTTCTTAAAAATTACAAATAAAATACATTTATAATTATATTACTTTTTTAAATGAAATTTTTCTCAGGAAAGAAGATAAATTTTATTTATTCTTCTTTTATTATTTTTTGTTAATTAATTTTGATTAGAACACCTTAAGTGATGGATGTGGAAATGGTTGTGGAAATTGATTCTCGTGTCTATTAGTCTTTCATGTGTTACTAGTAAAGCTCATAATATAAGAAACATAATACCTTAACAATTCTACTTAAAATAATTATATAAGTTAAATATTGCTTTTGTCAATGTAAGAGATACTGACAAAAAGCAATTTGGTGCACGCAGGTTGTATAAATATTGGTTGTGCGTTGTTACATTGAAGCTTTGTGATCTATTCCTCTCTAAAATATAATTTTATAGGGATGAACAGATTCAATTCGGCTTCGTACTATGCACTCTGTGTTGTGAATGGTATATATACGCGCTAATGAAAAAACAATACAATAACAATAATGATAACAATATAAATATATATATATATATTTATATAGCCGAGGCATCATAATATTTTAGCTATAAGCAAAGACAATTTTTTATATAAATTAATAATAATGCTGAAATGCAATGATGAATATTTATCTACATATTCATATATTTGGGTAATTTTGTGCTATGATATCGAGCTTCAAAAGTGATCTAGTAGACACTCATTAAGAGTATTTCATGTAGAATATCATGTTCCTCTTTCCATTTAGAAGAGTCATGTTTTTTATTCTCTTTTTAAAAAATTACATAAAATAATCTTCATATTTATAAATCTTATTCAATATAATATTTTTGCAAACTAATAATGATTTTAATATTATTTTTCTATGAAAATAATTTTTTCTTTCTTTATTTAAAAGAATAATGCATCATATTACTTTGAAACATGACTCTTTATTCTATCATGCACACTCAAACTATCACTTGTTTCTTCTGAAAAATATAAATATATATTTCTGCTGAAATATATAACAATAGATGTATTGTAATTTAAATATTTAACTGTCTCTATCAAAGCTGTCTGGTGAAGGCATAGATTTTGCATTTAGCGGCATTAATAATGTGGTAAAGCCTGATAAAAAAACAAGTATAAATGTTACTTGATATATAAAATGAAAAATTATTCTTATAACTATCAGCTGCTATGAAAATTAATAATAAAATTTAATCCTTTGATTTTAGGATTCTGCCATTGTATACCATAGATTTGCATATCTATCTATAGAAACAGTTATAAAATAATTTTAATTATATTAGAAATACAATCAATAAAATAATATCATTAAGATCAAGATAAATAGTAAGATAATTATGATTTTTTAATTAAATAATCATTATTTTTTTAATATTATATAAAATATTCGTTTTCTATAAATTAAATATTTAAAATCAATTATGATATTAACAAACTTTATTATTAAGTTAAATTTTATCATACAATGTTTTTATCTTCCTATATAAAAAAATGTTCAAAGATTATAATGATGTAAAATAGATATATTTTTATGAAGTAGACATCACAAAGTTTACTTGTGTAAACTTAAATTTATAATTAAAATGATAATGGCAGATTTTTATGTTATATTATAAATTATACAAAATTGATAAAAAAAATTTCAATCTGTTTCTAATCAAGACTGCTTTTCTTCATTTAATTCTTATTTCTTTCATTTTATTTTCTTTTGCATTGATAATCATACAAATACAAAGCTATTAAGCATGTGCATAACATTATACCTTTTGTAGTAAAATATATTGCATTAATATATTTACTTCACATATGAAATATATTAAGTACAGCACAATACTATAGAATAGTATAATGGTTGCTGGTAGCACCATGAATCGTCCCTAACATACATATTGCTTGCCTATGATATGTGAGAAGAATAAGAAATTTTTGTAGTATGTAGTTTTTACAAAAAGCTTTTCAAATTGCTTGTTGTACTCTTTTTTACAAAAAAACTCATTTTATTATATGAGATTTTAAATTATATATGTATTTACAAATCATATTTGTAAATACTAATCATTTCTAAATTCTTTTACTTTTTGTAAAAACTACACATCTGTCGTATCATTACCTACTAGACTAATAATGTTAGTTTAACATCCTTATATTAAGTGATGATAAAAGAGATTTAAACAATATCTCCATAAATAATGTTATAGTAAATAAGTATTAATCTTGGTATTAATTATACGATATTCAGTTATAGATTAGCTAAATATTTTTGGTAATTTCTTTACACGATTATTTATTTTGTAAAAAAATCGAAAAAACAAAAACATGTTAGAATCGAAATTTGTATATAGTATTCGCATTATTGTTTTGTTTCTATTTTATTCATATTTTATAAAATGTTAAATACGATTGATTTATTAATTTACTTTATTTACATTAATTTTATTATCTGTGAGCGCGTGTGTGTGTTTCAAATTAAAAAATTTAATAATTCTATATGCATATTGTTCGTACTAAATCAGCATTATTTTTAGTTTTAATCTAACATATAAATTGATTTTATTATCATAATGTGTAAAAAAAAAATTTTCCTAATATCAATATGTTCATGGTTTATTTTATGAACTATGAACAATGCACATTCCATCACGTACAAATATTACATTAAAGATAAAAATACAAAAATATAAATGCTTGGGTTAAAAATTGTTTAAGTATTTTTATGGAAAAAATAAAGAAAGTCAAGGTTGTGCTTGAATGGCTGATACTCATTAGTTAATATACATATATTTAGCTTTCATACAATCAGACAAATATTAGTTACATATCAAAGAGAATAGAACAAATTAATTTAGTCACTTTTTCACCTAAATACTGATTGCAATCATCAAATATGAACTATTGATTGACTGCTATATCTTGTTAATTTTTATAATAGTTGTTAAAAATGTTTATAAAAATATTTAAATAATTGAATGAATTATCTTATAATATTAATATTATGAAAATAATTTGATGTATTAATTGTATTATTTTATTATATTATTTTATATATTAATTTATTTATTGAATAAATGTACTAAATATATTAAATTGCAATCAGAAAAAATTCTAATATATTTTTTTTAAGTATTCATTAATTATAATATTTACATACCATGTATTATCATAGAGGTATACATGACCAGCATACTTAATAATGTATGTACTATATAATTCTAATTCTATATCATTATCACAATGGTTGTCACAATGGTTGTCATTATAATCATCATATTTCATATAAGAAATCATATTGATTTATTTATAAAAATCATTAAAAATATTAATACAATAAATAATCATTCATACGTAATATTGGATATTTTTTTTATTACAATTAATCTATACCAGCAGATTGAGTTAAAAGTAAGGTCTTTTCAATATCAGAGCATAGTTTTTTTATACCATTAGGTGGAGCATATTCTACTGCTAAAATAGCAGTTGCTATTGCTATTGTTTCTTGAATAGTCCTTGCTTTGACCCAGACTCTACCATTCATACCAGCTGCAACTTCAAATGCTTGATTATGAGCAAGTGTTTTAAATAATGGTGAATTACGATTTAATATCTTTCTGATAAGACTCAAGGAACAAGTAAAAAGCATGCCTTCAGAGCTTAAAGCACCTAATTTCTTTTCTTTACCATGTGAATCTACACATACGAGTTCAGGTTCCATATCTTTACTAGCAACTAAAAGCTTAGCAAACACAAGATCTCCAACTTGAATATCAGGACGATTTTTTTTAGTAGCTCCTTCAAATGCTAAATAAGAAAGAGATGCTTGTTCACTAGCACCTATATCTACTTTGAAAATATCACCACCTTTTTGTGTTATTATACCAACTACATGTTCTCCACGATTTGGTACATATCTATAAGAAATAATATGCTATATATATTGTTATTTATAAATTGTAGTGAAAAATGATAAAAAAATTATATTCAAATAGATTTTAATTACCGTTTCTGATAACTATCAACATAATATACAGCTGGTTCTGTTTTCTTTAATATACCTGCTTTATATGCAAAGACTGTATCAGCTTCACGACGAAGCCCAGGTCCTAAAATAATCGTTTCTTTTTTGTTAATTATTGTAATATCTTTTATAGTATCACCAGGCATTACTACGTCTCCTATGCTAACTTCCATTATTCCTTAGAAATAATTTTTGTTTTGCGTTATAACATAAATTCAATGTTGAAGGTTATAAACATATCATTTAATGTTATTTTTTCTTTTAAAATGTCAATAAAATTATTTATGAAATAAATATATTGCTTATCATTAAATTTATAAACATATAAATTTATATGATAATATAAATTTTATATATTATACCATATTATACATATCACGTGCATCGATTCATAATAATCGATTCTTAGTTTTCAGCTAATTTCGCGCGTTTCTTTGAAAGAAAAAGCGACTGCGCAATGTAATTTACATAAATTGATGTAATCAATTAAACAAGATTTCTCTTAATATTATGAATGTGTTGAAGGATAAAATATAAAAAATAAATGTTATTTTATCTTTAATACTATTGAAGCTTATTATTTAATATAATTCAACTAAATATTTAGATATAATAAAAAAATTCAAACCAATTGTGAAATATACAAAACAATTATTTAAGTTCTACGCTCATATATAATAGTGGCGCCATCATACGGCATGTTACAAGGCTGCCGCATGAAACGATAACGCCACAAAAATCGTGGTGCTGGTTGTGTTTTTCGTTAATTTGTTTCATTTTGAAACGAATTCAAAAATCGACAGTTGTGTGGATGGCACAATAAGATTATCAGTGATTTCACTAATGTAAAGGTAATATTCTTTAATAATGCAAAGTGTATAATTGTGAAATTTGCGCAGCGTTCACCGGATCGATAATTGATTTACGTGTTCTATTCTAACCTACCTTCTCGTTCTCTACAAAGTTATAAGTTTAATCATTTTGTATTGCTAATTAATTCATTGCAATTTATTTAAAATTTGAAATTAAATACTCAAAGAAATTCTATTAATATAATTTATAATTTTAATAAAGATGATCTTTATTCAGGTTTCTAAATGTAACCAATCTGTCTCTTGTATACTTACTGTCATTTATTGTCAAGATATTTATTAATCTAACATTTCTATTATGTATGGAAATTTTTCTGTGTTTCTTATACTTAATAAAAATATATGTATATAATAATATTTGTTTGAGATTTTTTTGTAGTTTAATCTTAAAAATTTCTATCTTGACATAATAAGTTATTTAATTAATATGTAATTTAAACAAATATAATTAATATATAATTTAAATGATACTTGTAAAAATTTATTAATATATATTTCTATTAAACATATCAAATAATACAAATTTGAATTTTAAATATTTATTGGCATTGAAATGTATTCTAAAATTTTTTTATATGTTATTATCTAGGTATACAAAATGTACAATGGAATTGGATTACAAACACCGCGAGGTTCTGGAACTAATGGACATGTCCAAAGAAATTGGGCAATTATACGTAAAACAAAAGATAAAGTTACTTATAAAACTGATGAAGGAAAATTAGATCAACTTAATAAGCAACCTAATAAAGAAATTTTAGATCATGTAAGAAAAAGAAAAGTTGAAGTCAAATGTGCAGAATTAGCAGATATTTTAGAGGAACAGGGGTAAGGAACAATATATGTTTCATATTTATAATATTATATATAAATATATTTATATATATATTATATTTATATATAATATATTTATAATATTTATATATAATTTTCTTTATTATTTTTTTCTTTATTATTATTGTAATCATAATTGCTTAATTTTTAAATAATTAATAATTTTATATATAAAATTTCTTTTTTTATTATGATATTATAATAATATCATCAAAAATAGAATTTTTTTTTTTTGAAAATAAATTAAAAAATTGTGTATGTTATATATAAAGAGAAGTATAAAGCTTCATTGATCTCTTGTACTCAATACTAAATGAGATTTTGAACTTTAATTGGATTTAATTTATCTTTGGCTTCAATTTTTTCTATGCAATATATTTCTTAACTTAACTCGCTATGATTAAACTGATATTAGAGTTATTTTTTATTTTATATTTTATATTATGTTTTATAGATTTACATCTGAAGAAGTAACAAAAAAAGTAGAATCATATAGATCCATGTTAATGGGAACTGACACTAAACCAGCAATATCTAGAGATGAATTTGGCCGTGTAAAGTAAGTATATTTCTTTTATTTATTTTTTTCTTTTTTTAATTTTTAATTCTGTATAATATATATATATATATATATATATATATATATATATATATATATATATATNGTAAAATAAATAAATAAAATGAATAAATTGCATTTTTTAAACAATTTTATAATATGAAATTGCATGCAACTTCATAGTTATTTAAACAATTATATATATTAATAATATTAGACTTTATCTAATTCAAAATATTCAAATTATAAATATTCTAAGAAAATTTTATTTAAAAAAATTTACAAAAAGAAAGTTCTAATTTATTTTAATTTTTTTCTCCTTATTTAGCATAATGAAGAAATTACAATTAAAATTATTAATATTTAATCCAAACTCATTCATTTATATCTTAAAACGCGTGTATTCAAAAATTCTTAGATTTGGCTTATGAAAGATTTCGAAATTTGAATCTAATATAGTGAATCGAGTGTGTATAAACGCAATGTTGGAACAGAAGCAATTTCTAATCGGTAGCTCAGATTCCCGCTAAACCCAATATTATTGGAGGGTGGAGACATTACGTTCTCTCTCTTCAGTCAGCTTTCAGAGGTGTTACGCGGCCGATATCGACGTATCTCATAGCGCCGGCGCCACCCACGAAAAGAGGGAGACACAGAGGTATACAGAAAGAGAAACAGAGATATGTAAAGGGTCGAGCAGGGAGAGGGAGAATTCTATTCCAGCATCTCTCATACTCTACTCTTTCCACCTCAGTGCGAGGATGGACCGGCGTTGCGACGCTACGTGGCGTCGACTTTCGTCGAGTATACGAATCGTCGGCTAATAATCAAAAGAAAAAAAAAAACAAAAAAAAAAACAAAAAAGAGACCAAGTAGGAGGGAACATGTAACAGTTTCGTGATATACTTGCAAGCAAATCACAAAAGTCTTCCATTAGCGTAGATGATTGTATATATATATACATATATATGTATATATATATATATACACATATATATTATATTATATTATATTATATTATATTATATTATATTCTAAATAATAATAAGTGATAAATCATCGTGTTAAGTGTAATATAAAGTACATAGATTGAGTTTGAAAGAAGAAGGGAAATCTTTTGTGTTCGTCTAACAATTGAATTGAATCTCCGTACTGATTAATATTCACGCACATGTTCCATAAAAATACGAACATCTTTAAATTAAAATTTTGCCAATCAAAAAAACAATATAGAAGATCAAATATAAAAAAAAATGATTTCGACTTGAAGATTTACAAGAATATAATCTGCATATATCTCAAGTGATTGAAAAAAAGAAGTCGGAAAATTTATACAGAACTTAAAATTTTTTATAAAAAATCCATGTGTCTCCAAGTCGACAAATCGACGATAATTAAATAAGATGTCTTGCTTTGGACTTGATACACTCAGTGTACGAGTCGAAGTGTAGCAACTATAGTGTGCCTGATACGAAGTCTTCCTTAATATAGCTAAAATAAAATTATAATATATTCCTATATTCTTACACAAGCCATTAAAATATATGTCTATACAACAATACATATATATATATATATATACATTACTATATAAAATTTACTAAAAATAAAAGAGATTAATAGAAAAAGACTTATCGAATAATTTCAAATAAAAAGAAATAAAAAAATTATATTGTTTTAAAAAGAAATTTGTTTTAATGTTAATTACTATCGATAGAAACAATTGATAGAGCGACAAAATATTTTTTTCGTGAACAAAAAAAAAATAGGAAGAAAGAGAATAAAAGAAGAAAGAAAAGCTAAGATGAAGAGTAACATTTTTATCATCGCCGCCGGATGATTATTCTTGGTAGGATAGCAGAGCATTTGAATACGATGCTGGTATAATCAGGGAAGGAAGCCATTATCTTTGCCTTCAATCCTCATCCTCCTTCCAACCGCCTAAACTATTAAAGCCTGCCCTAAGAAGGATAAAGCTGCATCTGAATTATTCGTGCGACCGACAGAGCTCCTTAGCACTTTAAATTAAGGGCCGATCGTGCTTAACGCTCATTTAATTATCCAATCGTTAATTATTCAAGTCTATAGTTTGATCATTTTGCCAGAAAATTACTACTACTAAACGAGATGAAACAATTTGTTAATAATAATATTGGAATATATGGCACGTAATATATTATTATAGATTTTATGACAGATATATTAAGATATATAATTTGGAGACATTTATATAAAGGATATAAAGAAAACTAAAAAAAAAAAAGGATTATCAAGGATTATTTCTATGAAGGGATCAACAAACGTTATGCTTATAAATAGAGAAGAGAATTTAATTTTACAGAGAAATTAAATTTTCATTCCATATTATTAATTTAAAAAGAAGAAGAGAATTCTGGCATCGTGGATTTTAGATTCAAGGAATGATTATGTCTGTGACGATAACTCCTTTGAAACCAGCTCGAGGACGAGGTCCGGCTGATGGCCGTGCATTTTTTGAAACGTTATGGAGAGGAAATTTTTTTCTGGATAGACAAAAAGTAATGAAACGATCGCGAAAACGAAAATTGCAAGCAGCAAATGGAAAGAAACGTACACAACTGCAGATGCGACAGCATTGTTGCTGTTGTCAGCGCATACAACTCCACCTCCTCGCCGGACGGCGAAGCAACATGCGCTCCGTCGTCAGGTGAATTTATCACAAACAATTTTTAACTTCTTTCTTTTGCATAATGAATATATAATTTTTAATGTGTATTTTTAATCTTATCTTATTTTTTATTCGGGAGAATCATTTTAACATAATATTTTTTTATTCTTATACTATTGTTATTAAATTTTGATATAATTTTAAATTAAATTAAATTAATTGAAATTAATGAGTTATTATATGTAAAATATTTTTATTTCTAAGTTAGATTTTCTAAGTTTATCTCTGAGTTAACTACGGATATCTATGAGAAGGAATTAAATCGGAATTGAATTTCTCTAATCATAGATTATCGTTTACTTGTTGTATATGCATATTCGATATTTTTAATGGCACGCAATTTGCTAGAATCGAAGAAAATATTGTTGCGCACGCGTGTACACACACACACACACACACACACACACACACACACACAATTTCTTTAAAATATCAATATAAATAAATTTTTAAATGAATATTTAAAAGAAAAAAAATTAAAAAAGAAAAAAACAAATGATCAACGAGGGATTAAAACAGCAAATGTTCTCTTTATATTCTGTATGGGGATGACTCACATTGTTGACCCTCAATCCTTCACAAAAGGGAAACATTTCCCTGTAAACAACTGTCACCCTTTAACACATCAAATCTGAATATCGAAATTCTGATTTCGAAATTACGATACAAGAAATAAATTTGATGAAAATTTAATCTTATAAAGTTAAATTTAATTTCAACAACAGTAAAAAAGGAATAAAATAAAAAAGAAAAAATAATGAGTTTAATATTCTAAAACAGCAATTACAAGACATTTGATTAATTATACACGCAATATCAATTGTTATTTCTAATCTATCTGTTTAATCAAAAGAGTATGTTAAGGGGTGGCAGAAATGAAGAATGAAAAGAAAAAAAAAAATAAAAATAATTCCACTCGTTGATCTCCGTTTAACGATGCCTCCGCGAGTCGAGTGTTGAATTCGAGCGTGTAGCAAGTAGTGGCGCGAAAGGGATAGCAGAAAAGAGAACAGCTGGATTGTATTGATCCGCGCTCGAGCGTTGGCGTAGGGGTGGCTCGACCGACCCCGGCCTCGCTTACCGCTACTGCTTTTCACTCGGGGTAGAAGAGGGGCTACCTCGATTTCTCCTAGTCTACTATTAGGTATAGTCTCTCTCTTCGGTGTTATGTCATTGCTTTGTCGCATTGTCCGGATAGTTCCATCGAAGTTCGCCGCCGCTACATCGAAGAACACGCTGCCTACCATCTCTACGCTTCTTTGCCGGATCTCATTACACGCTCTATGGATCATTGCGAAATTCGGCAATAATTAAGCGGTTATCGAGGTGTTACCGCGCCGATACCGCGCTACAATGACGGTGAAAATCTCGACGCGGTACGAGTTCTTTTTTTTTTCCACTCCCTGTGAAGATTCGATTAAAATATTGAAATCGGGTCATGTAATCTGTTTTTGTCCCTTTCTCGTCGGCGGTGTTTATTTTTATACATTGATCGAATTTTTTTACCTTGTATGACAAGTTATTCATTGGTAAAGAGAAAGATTCGAATTCTTGAAGATTGAGCAAATATTTTTCGAATGTGGTTTTCGAACGACATTTTCGATGACCACGTGTTTCTAGGTCTATGTGTGAGTTTGGTGTATTCGATGCACGGGGTCAATGTGTTCTTTGCATATGATTTACTAGATAGAGTTTCGATTGTTATATGATGATCATTATAGAGGGATTTTTAATATCCGACAAATGTTTCTTTTATAATTTAATTTGTTTATTAAAATTGATCAATGATCCAAGAATTTTTATTATTAATTTTTATCATTAATCACTTGATTAAACCTATAATTTGTGTGATGCGAAATGACATGCAATGTGTATTTTTTTTTTAGTGTACGAGAGACACACCAAATTGCCGAAGCGCAACAAGAAAAAAATGCAAAACTACGCGAAGCATTTGGCATATCGGAATTCTTCGTGGAAGGAAGTAGCCTAGATCCGGAGAGGCACGCGCGCGAGGCTGAAGCAAGAGCAGCAGCGAGCAAAGTGTATGAACTAGTACGAACACCAAGTCCAGCTCCGGACACAACGTCCGCTCCGGAGAAGAAGAAACGAAAGCGGTCCGCTAGTGCAATCAAAAAAAAAAAGGGAAAGAAGCACAAGAAGGAAAGGTAAAAGACAACGTAATGGTGCACGGGTCAATGAAGGCTGGATTCGTTTTAATTTAATTGCAAATAAATAGAGAAGATAATGTAAGCACAGATAGAAAAAGATTAAAATAATTATATTACTATATTGTACTATGATATATTAAAAAATTGAATATATCGTATACTATAGTGTATCAATAGTATTATAAAGGTATACTACAGCATACTATAGTATAGTAGTAATGAGATAGTGCCTAATATTGTGTTATATTATAGTGCAATGTAATGATATACATGTGTAGCTTGATTATTAAGCAGAAAAATTAATATTATTGCGCTATATGAGAAAAAAATATACATGAATCCAGGTTTCAAGACCGAACGGACATCCCCCTGTAGTAGCTCCTCTCCTCCCCCCGGTTAATTATTCATTTACCGCAAGTTCCACACTCGTTCATTTGCTTACTACACACCTCTTGTCAGATACTGACTCATGACTCACCTACTATTTCATGTCCCATACACCTTTCTCTGTTTCAAACAGAACTGAGGAGGACTGAGTGCCTACCCAGTAGGCTCAGTAGGTAAGTGTGGTCGTCGCGTCTACTTTCAAAAAAAAAAAATAATAATAAATAAATAAAAATAAAAAGCACTTGCAAAAATAAAAAATGATATAAAATCTCTGCATTAAGAAAAAAAGAAAAGATAATAATTGAGTCTATATTTTTAGGTATTTGTCTTAGGTATTATAATTAGAGGTAAATGTTTGCTATTTTACTAGAATTCATATAATATAATACTAATAATTAATAAGATTTTATTTAAAGAAAATGCAATAATATAAAAAAAAATAGGCAAACATTTACTTTAATATACATATAATATATACAAAATATACTCGGGTTTTTTAAACAAATAACGTATAATCTGACGCGTAAATCATGCATTTCTATCTTTGTTGTTGTTATCGATAAAGCTTGTTGTTAATGTCATCTCTCTATTTTTTTCTGACAAGTCCGTCCCTATCGATGGTTATCAAGGTAATGCTAATCCCATATTATATCAATACTCCTCATATTTTGTATAATCGTCTTTTGTAACTTTTGAAAGATGTGGTTTTACATAATATACTTTATTCCTGATTTATTCAGAAAAAAATTTCGCAAAATTTTCTATAAAAAACCAAATCTTTCAAATAAGTGATTATGTAGTCGGTTTGTTAGCTATAGCCCGATATTGTGACATTCACCTGTATATGTATCGTTGTATTTATATTTTTTATTATTTAATTTACTTAGGATTGCAGTGAAAAATTGAAAAATATATATATAATTTTTCTATTTTTTTTTATTTTTTTATTTTTATATATTTATATTTATTTTTTTTTTTTATTGATATGTATTCAAAAAAATACACACTGCATTTCCTATACATATACATATATACATATATATCAGTATAAATTAGTTTCTATTTTTTTAATTGAAAACCTTATCCAGATGCTGAGATAGATTAATGCAAAAATTTCGTCAAAATTTCATCGCGTTCTCAATTATTATTTTTCCGGATTTGTTACTTTTTAATCGAATATATTGAGAGCAACAGGTAGCTTGTATCATTAGAATAAAGTATTTGTTTCACACACGGATACATTGTACTACAGCTTTCTTTATTGTCAGCACAAGGTATGCACTTGTCGACAGGAAGACGTCCACTGCAAGAATTAAAAAACTAAATATTATTAATAAAAAAAAAAGAAAAAATTAAATTTGTTTTCAGTGAAACATTTAGAATAACTATGAATGAATTTCCTAGGTCGGAATCTCCAAAGGCTAGCAAAAAGAAAGAAAAATCTAAAAAGAAAAAAAAGGAGAAGAAACATAAGAAGACTGAGGCTAGTTCCTCTGACAGTGATTCTAGTGAAGCTTCAGATGATAGCAGGTAATTAAATTTTTAAAAATTTTTTATATCATTTCTAATTATTACACTTATTTATTAATATAATTTATTAATATAATTAATTATTTTTAATAATTAATTATGTTTTTAGTTCTTCCGAAACTGAATCAAAGAAGAAAAAGAAAAAGAAGAAGAAGAAAGCCAAAGCAGAGACAAAAGAAAAGCATGAGGTAGGAAAAATGATGCTAAGGAAACAAATACGAAAAAATTCTATCTTCCTCTCTATTTCTATATACATATACATATTTAACTATATATATAAATATATAACTATATATATTTATATATATATATATATATATACTTTAGCACGTGGAACAGGAGCATGTGACATTTAATTTCCGTTCATATTTTTCTCCTATTAGTTGTTAATTGAACATTGGATTTTATAAAATATTTTGTGTTGCTGCCTAACTTTGAATAAGCATGATTCATTGCTTGTTTTTGTAAAGATTTTGTAAAGATTTTTATCTGATTTCAAGTTAACAGTCATTATTTCAAAAGTGTAAATCTCAGTATTGTTTGTAATTATCAGCGCCATTTGACAGGATATATTCCCTGAGTGAGTACCAGATATGCCGCTACTCAATGTAATAATAATTTTGTAATTTTTTTATTCATATAAAATTTTGCGATTGTTGTTGCCTTTTCACTCATTTTGTGTCAAGCACTTTCATATTTATGAAAAAGTATCAAATAGGAGACTGCTTGTTCTCTGGTCTAGGTGCAATGCAAAGAGATTAATATTAAAGTATACATAATATTCACATTTCAACTTATAACTTTTATTTTCTCAATTTTATTCTTTTCTGAACACATTTTAATCTCCGACCAAAACACTTTATTCATATTGTACTAGAGTGAATGAGCAGACTCCAGAGAATCTTTGAATAAATATAATCTCTTTTTTTTTTATCCTACTGACAAGTACATATGCATGATCGGTGTTCACTAGATAATTTTGTCTAACATAATAATCCATATTGTTCTTCTTCTAGAAGAAAAAAATAGCCATCAAGAGGAAACATCAGTCATCTGAGAGTTCGTCAGATAGGTAAATTAAATAATTTTGAAATACAATTGTTTTCATAGAGAGTAATTTTATATATTATATTATATAAATTTATTCAATATTTAGTTCCCCAGAGAGGCCGAAGAAATCTATGAAACATGACAAAGCTGTTGAAAAAAATAAAAACGATGAGACAGAGAATACGACAAAAGAATCTCGATCAAATCGTTCACCAAAGAAACAAGAAAAAGGTCGAAACGAAACTCCACCAGTTAAAAGAAAAGATTCTCCTGTTAAAAAAATTGTACCAGAGAAAAAGGATAAATCACCAATTGTCCACAAAAGTCCTCCCCCAAGACGACATAGATCACCATCAAGAAGTAAGGTTGATAGAGGAAGATCTCCAAGAAGATATTCAAGGTCACGACGAATTAGTCCTTCACCAAGAAGAAGAAGAATCTCGAGATCTCCGAGGAGATATAACAGATATTCTATATCTAGAAGTAGAAGTCGATCGAGGTATGATCGTTATGGATCACGGCGGAGATTGTCACCTCTTCCTAGACGTAGAAGATCTGATTCTCGACGGAGATCAAGATCGCCTAGGAGACAGAGGGATAGACGGGAAAGATCTAGAGAACGTCGTAGAAGTCGCAGTAGAACAAGAAGTAGATCTAGACGATCCACCTTGAGCTACTCTCCTGTAAGAAAAAATCCGGAACGATACAGACACATATTAGAAGAAAATAAAAAACGAGATCAAAAAAAGAACCATGATAACAAACGGAAATCTCGATCAAACTCCAAAACCAGAAAATTGCGAACAATTACTCCAAGAGTTAGATTGCGTTCTTCGAGTGAGGATGAAACCGATATAGCAGATGATGAACCCAAAGCAGAAGATGAAGAAAAAATTAAAGAATTGCATACCTTGAAACGTTTGCAGAGTGGATTAGCTGCAAAAGCTAGAGAAACTCTTGGAAAAAAGGTAATAAGTCCTACAAAAATTAAAATTGAAAAAAAAGAAGATAATATATTGGATATAGCTTTACCAAATGAGCCGCCCAAAATAGTACAAAATACTATTGGTCCTATACAAGAAAAGTCTAAGTCAAAATCACCTATATCTCATTTACCTACTATTCAGTCCCCAGTATCTAGCAGATCACCTTCGCCAGCATTGCCATTAACGAGAGAAGAAGCAGCTATAAAAATACGATCTCCTAGTGAGTCACCTCCTCCTTTGCCACCAGCCATAAATAAAATAGAATCAAGATCACCGAGTGTGACAGCTAAAACTAATCATCGATCAAAGTCTCCAAGTACTTCCAAGAAGAATTCACCAGTTATTTTAAGGAAACATTCGTCACAGAGCAAATCATCCTCACATTCACCGCCTGTATCTATTTCTCACAAAGATACTACTATAAAGTTGCGTTCTCCAAGTGAATCTCCACCTCCGATTACGAATAATAAATCGAAGCAAAAATCTGTTTCACCAACCGCTTCAAAAAAGAGTTCCCCTGTTTCTAGAAAGCATTCTCCAAGAGATAAATCTTACTCCAGATCGCCTTCCAAGTCGTACACAAGATCTGTATCGTTGGAAAAAAGGTCTTCCAGATCGCCTCAGCGACATTCAAGATCTATTTCTACAGACAAGAAATCGCGCTCTGTTTCGAGGAGTAAAAAATCAACATCTCCTAGACATAGGTCTTCAACATCACCATCGAGATCCAAAAAATCTCCTAAATCCCCGGTGAGGTCAAAGAGATTAAGCAGATCAAGGTCTTCTTCAGAATCGAAACGTTCCATATCTAGATCTCCATCATGTTCAAAAAAATCTTCGTCTCATTCTCCGGAAAAATCCAGAAGTAGAACGAGGTCATTATCAAAAGGATCTAGAAGTCGATCTCTTTCAAAAAAATCTAGAAGTAGATCTTTGTCAAAAAAGTCGCGTAGTCGTTCATTATCAAAAAAATCTAGAAGTCGATCACTTTCTAAGAAGTCAAGAAGTCGTTCGCGATCGTTGTCTAGGATATCACGAGATAAAGAAAAAAGAAGTCATAGCAGGAGTAGTTCACGTTCTTCTTTAAGGTAAATAAGTAATCTGTAAAATATATATATTTTTTATTTTTTTTTATAATAAATTTATTTGATATAATCCTTTTTTATATTTAGTTCGAGGCATAGTCGCAGAAGTTTCTCTAGTTCATCCCGATCATCAAGCAGTGTTTCTAGTAGGTCTTCTCGTTCAACGTCTAGCAGTTCTGTTTCTAGCAGATCTCGTTCTCCGTCGATACCTCGACGTCACGGCTCACCTAGCTTTTTAGATAGACGTCGTATTACAAGGTAGGTATTATAGAACGTAATAGTTTCGATATCGTAGCCGCAGGAATTACAGCGCACCATGCCAAATTTTGTAAGCCCACATCGTTGCATCGATTGTAGAAATGTTTATCTTCTTTCAATATTTATTTTTTTTTATTTCTGATTTTATTTTATTTTTTCGTTATTGATGTGCCTTTTTCACGATTGAAATATTGATTTCTTTAAAAAATTCAACAAACAATTTGTAAGCGACGATATCGATAAGTTTTCAACGATTCGTATGAATATATTTTTTTTATTTATTAATCTAATGCCATTTTGTATTATGTCCTACAGGGACAGATCGAGGGACAGACATAGAAGATAAAGTTATGGCTTCGCACAGATGTTTCTATTACTTTCTCATAATTATAATGTAGTAGCTAACATGTGATGCATATCACATCAATTTTATTTTCATAATAAGTAAATTAAAAAAAAAAAAAAAAAGAATGACGCAGATTTAACTGCATTAAAGATTAGTTATAATTAATTATGTATAAACGTAAAAAACCGTGTCATTTAATAATAATTATTCATGAATATTATAGTACATTGCAACTTTATCAGTATCGCTTCAGTAATTTTCTAAAAGACTATTATTGACACACGTAAACTTCTACATTATAAATGCGTTCGATCAGTGAACTCCATTATTTGTGTTATATAAAGTGATCGTATATTTACTCTATCGCACCGATATACGAATTTTATTTCAAGTCAGTAAAGTATACTTATGTTTGTATAATTTTTTCTTCCCCTTTTTCATTTGTATGTAATCGCTTAAGATAATCTACAAATATTGTGTAGAAGTAGCATGTGTGTATCTTCCTTATAAATTATTGTAAATTAAATATTTACAGTAGAAATTCTCTTTTATTTTATGTCAGTCACAAATAAAATGTATTTACTGCTATGAAAGCAAGCCTTTTTCTTTAGTTCTCGATATACATATATTTTTGTTCGTTGTGAATCATTTTTAATTGACTGCCTTCCTTTACCAGAGTCAAAAATAAGGTAAGTAACGCATTTTTATTTTTTTTTGCATGATATTTTTGTTGCATTGCATGATTTATTTCGCATGTTCTTTTTTTTTTTCAATTATATATTAACATTTTTTTATATAATATTAATTTATTTAAAAATAACATATTTATCTGAATATTAACAAATGTTGCGATGATCACAATATTGACAGTTATTGATTTTAGCGCCAGGAAACGACCAATTCCATATCATCGACCTACTCCAACACCACCTTCGTCACCGAGTAGTTCAGATAGCAGCAGACATAGTAATTGGTCAAGTCCAAGTCATCGATCAAGTTGTTCTCCAAGTCGAAGTCCATCATACACACGTTGAATCAATTAAGCGGATTCTTAATTACTCGACGTTCCTTTTATGTGTCAGATTTGGAATGGCATATATCGTGAAGATCCATTGATGCTTTTTCATGTTAAATCATGTTTGTTGAAAATTGGCACGAATGTAAAAAAAAGTTTCATGTATTTTTTTGTATCAAATAGGTACAAAGAAAATACGCCATTCTAAATAGTGCATGATCTTTAAGTCTTTGTAAATTCATAATATGCATTTACATGTCTGATCTCGTAACTTAATAATACTCACTGATGATAGTACATTATGATATCATCAGCTTCAGTATTAATATATTAACATTATTGTTCCATTTTTATTTTAATTAGGAATTAGGAAAGAGTGATTTTAATGTACTTACAGATTGGTATTTATATTATTATTAATCTGATTATTATTAGGATAAATTTATTATTAAAAAAAAAAGTCAAAGATTTAAATTTATCTATTACTTCTTTTTTAAATTTTGCAAATCTTTTTGAATAAAATTAAAAAAAGTTGCAAAGGTAATCAGATGAGATATTTTAATAATATTAATACGCAATGCAATATTTTATAATATAATTATTTTTAAAAGTACATTATCATCATATCATTGAATTGCATCACGATTTCATGAATTTTTAGTTTTTAGTTTTCATGAAGTTTTCATGACATTTTTTTGTAGATTTACATATGTCTAAATACTTCAGCAATAAGAAGGCAATGGTGACTATAAGCATCATGAACTGTTGATTACAGCTTCTTGAGATCTCGCATTATTCAAATAACAATTTTATTATTTAAAAATTCATTTAAAACTACTTTAGTAGTTCTGCGTCCGCGTGATTATTTAATCATATAATTGTTTGTTATACAAACATCAGCTAGTCAAATTTTAAACATTCCATTAATTAAAATACTAGAACATCGTACGAATTAATATTATAATTTTTCAAAGAAGTAATAATTGATATTTTAGTGCAATGTTCTATATATTTCTTTTGTATATAGATATTATTGTGCATAAATGTAGCACTTTGCTCATTTGCTATTTATTTTACATATTAAATATTCAGTAAATTGTTTATTTATTTATATGTCTCTTTTCTAATTTACATATTTATTTATTTATTTATATCACGAATAGTTAGTATTTATCAATTTTAAAAATAAGAAAATTGTATAAAAATAATGTTAAATTTTTAAAGTTTCATTTACTGGCAATACTCAATTTACCTGAATACTAGTCAGAAAATTTTTTTTTGGCTGTAAAGCCAGGCAGCATACTAAAAGACATAATTAGATTAGTCTTGATTATTCAAAGTTAAGTCTTGAAAATATATGTATAGGGTTAAAAAATCATATTTGAGAAGTCTACATTGTTTATAGTTAGGAGAACTATGTAGAATTAGCTCTTGCATAATGACTGACTCACTTTTAAAAAAAAAATAGTCAATTGTTATGGCGATGCAATATTAATTTTGTCATGATGCATATCTTTGAAATAAAATTGAAACATAAATAGTTATCATACAATACTTATTTTATAGAATTAATATAATAACTAAAAAATTTATTTTATCACTTGTGTTTTACATTATAAAACTCTAATAAAATATGAAGTTATTTATATGAATAGATGAGAGTAAAAATTTGTTATATTTTGCACACCATGACTCTTGACTTTAATATTTATTATTCATAATTTACAGCCATCAAATGTTACCATCGTTGAAATGAAATTCTGATTATATCTGTAATATACTCTGTATTGTTGTTGTGTGATTAAATTAAAAAGCTTAAAAAATTGCCTTTTTGTTTCACAAAACATATAAAATTTATTTGTAAATATCTTTATACATTTATAGATGATATCTAATTCAATATATATAACTCAATATATTTCAATTTTTAAATTATATATAATATATAATAATAGCATAATACATTAAAAATTTTAATATAAGAATGAAATTATTTACAGTTATAATATATTATTATTCTTACCAAATATGGATCCCAATTAACTAATCATTTCTTTTATATTTAATAACAAATGTTAGCACTAAATTTATATTATTATTTTTTTATTCCAGTTATTTTTGATTGTTTACTCCGTTGCTGTGCAAGATATATAGCCCAAAAGAAACCAATAAGATTTACCACAAGAACACGTAACTAAAATCATCAAATATATATTAATTTTTGAAATTCTACAAATTTATGAATATATAATTTTATCTTAAGCATTTTGAATTTTGAAAAATTTAATGGATTCAACTTACTATTGGTGGAACATATTTTAAGTTAATGAATTGAAGTAATGTTAAATATTTTAAATTTGCAGTAATTACTGGCCAATATAAGCTTTTCATTTGTTTACATGCATCTTTATGTGTATTACCCTATTAAAATTTCAATTCAAATTATTGAAATAAAATTAAATATATAATTTAACTTAATAGTAGTATACTTAATAGTATAAGTCAATACATAAAATTATACAAGCAATCAAAATAAATTAATATGTATAAATTAATAAATCATACCTCAAATAGAGATAGCATGTATAATGCTAATGCTTGGTAACAGGGTGTATATAAACATCTTTCTACTAACAAAAGCATAAGAGGATTTCTTACAAATAATTGTATATATGTGTAAAAATAATGAGGAAGTGGACCTCCAAAGATTAACCTATAAATAATAGATAATATTTCAACATAATAAAATATTTTTTAATGGAATATCGAATTATAAATATGTAGTTTTATTTAAGAAATTGAACCTATAATTTACTTATATTTACCCAAAAAGAGCAAATGCGAGTAAACTATCTTCATTAAGGTGTTTTACACCAGAAATTTTTTGTGACAAGAAATTTCCAAGAGTAGCGATAATACAACTGAAAAAATAAACAATATTTTCCTAAAATATAATTTAAAAATTAAATTAAATTAATGTTTATACAATATACCTAGTAATTGCTTTAGTTTTCACTGGGCTAGTGTAAAGTCGCTCAAAATAAGCACTGGTAAGTTGAAGAATTAAATTTCTAGGTTTAGATAAAGCCATTTTGTTCGTTCTATTCTTTTACGTTGAATAATTAATAATTGAAATTTAAATGTAATATTTTATAAAAAAAAAATCAAACGACCTGATGAAAGCAATAAGAAAAAATATATTATGAATGCTATATGTAAATTATTAAAGACAATATACGAACTTAATTAATTTTGCATTAGATATATAAATCTTGAATTTATAATGAAAATATTACAAATTTATTAAAATATTTGGTTTATTAATAATTGTATTATAATAAAAAATATTTATTTTATTATAACAACTTATGATATTATAATTGACTTAAAAATTTTTTTTTTCGTTATATAAATTTTTATGTTTGATAAATCGAAAATGAGGTAAAATATTTCTAAGATAAAGTAAAGATATATAATAGATTTTTAATCATTTTTTTCGTATAATTGCGAAAGTATTTTTTTTCTATAAAATAAAGGTTAGGTTAGGTAAGTTAAGAAATTAGCTTTTTATAAGAGTAAAATAAAATGTGCACATAAATATAATTAATTATTAATATAAAATTAATATATAGAAAATGGCCCAAGGTAAATTAAAAGTAAAAACAAAATTACCATCAACAGTAAAAGAAAAAAATAAAAATAAGAAAAATTTCGCTATTCAACGACGAAATAGTAAGTAATATATATTAATTTCATTTATAAATGACTATATTTGATTATTAAATTTTATTTTTTAATTACTTTTATTAATATTCGTAAATTTATAAATTTTATAAATAACAAAATTATTTATTTTTATTCATATAAAGTTTAAATTTTTTTATTCATAGATGCACCAATTCAGCCTAAAAAGAAGAAATTTGAAGAAGCACATAAATTAAAACAAATGATAACAAAAACAGTTAACAAAGCAATGGAAGATGAATTGAGAGAGAAAGCTTTAGAAGGAAAGAAATCTCTTACAAAAAAAGATTCATCTATTTTAAAAAAAAATTAGGTTATTCAATGTTAATATCAAAAAAGAATATTTTTTTTAATTTTTATTTAAAATCATAAATATAGATGTTTTTATATAATAACTGTACTTTATCATATTTATAGAAAATAAAAATAAATGATACAAAATATTTAATTATTTAACTTAATCTAATCTAATATATATAATCTAAGCTAATATATATGTATAAGGATTCAAATAACAGGAAATATAAAGCAAAATCATGTACCTATTAAAACTTAAAATTATTATTTTAATTTAATTTTATATTGTTATTTCATAGAATAATTCTGAACATGAAATCAATGGCACAATAACTTATGGAATATAAATATAGAAAAAAAAAATATTAACTTTCAGTGTACTTATAAAATATCTTGCAATAAATTATTTTTTTGTGCAATTATTTGATAATAGTTTCATAGAAAGCACAAAAGTTTTGTTTTTAATTAATTCATTCAGTGACAAAAATTTTTCATTTCACTGATAATTCGCTAATTACAAAAATAAACATTTCATAAGATATTTTATACATTAACTTATATAGGTACAAATTTGCGAGTGTCATTTAATAAATGTACTAAATATTAATATATTATCTCTTCTTAATAAAATTTCACTCTAAATCACATTGATTAAGGCTGCATTACGAATCATGCATTTATATGTTGAACACTTTTTTCTAAGTACAAGATCATTTAAAATATTGTTTGGATATTATGGAGAGGCCACCTAGAATATTATAAATACAATACATAAATACAAATTAAAAGTTATATTTTATTTGGAATATTCCATGTCACTGAATGTTCTATTTACCACTAGTAAATGTCCGCTTTGTCTGTTTTTACTAATGGCTGGAGTTGTACCAGTTCTGAATTCGATTACACCTTCTTTACCGCTGACTAGTTTATGTGAGACTCTGAAAAATAATTAAATATTCTTTAGATTAATACATACACTGTTAATAATATAAATCATTTATATTTATACTTACGATTCTGTATTAACAATTTTAAGAATATTTGGATTGTTAGTAATATCAATTGCTTTTGTTAATGCTTCTATTATATGTGGCACTTCCAAAATTAAATCACCCTAAACAGAATACCATATGTATTTAAATCAATATAACAATAAATAGATATATTTTATTTATGTTTTTAAACATCATAATAAACCAAACCTTGTCCTTTTTTAATTCGGGTGGTATCCTAACAATCAATAAATTATCTGATTCTCCAGTAACAACTAATTCTAAAATGGATTTATAAGGTAAACGATGTTTAAGTTTGAATGTTTTTAAGATGTCTAAAATATATACAGCATTTTCTGTTAAAATTAGTACTCTTTCGCGGGGCTTGTAACCATGTCGATCATATTTAATAACAGGAGTTATATACTAAAAAAAGCAAAAGAAAAATAAATTCATTTTGATTAAAATTTAAAAAATGTAAATTTTAAGTATAAAAAACTTTTTACTTGTATAGTTTCATCTCTGGAAAGAATATTATTAATAAAGTTTTCTTTCAACATTATGTGTTCGGCACCAAGTCGATCAATTTGGAATTTTTGTCCAAAACTTTTTGCATACGATTTCTTTTTGTCTTTGAATAAAAATTCAGCTAAAATTTTTAATTCGAACTGTTTTTTATCTGTTTTTGACAAAGCTAATCTGTAATTACGTGCTTTCCATTTTTTGTACATGATACGTAAATGTTCAGAAGCCTAAATTCAATCATAATTTTTTTTTTATAAAGAAACGATTAAATATAAAAATATAAACTTATATAACTTACTTCTCGACAAATATATGGACATGGTGGCCAATGATTATTTAAAATACCAACTGGAAGTGTTTTAGAGAGTTTAATTAACCATTGTTTTTTTCCTAATTCGAGAAAAGCAACATTAATTTCAGTTGGTGGCCCATTTCGTGTAATGAATCCTTCGATGAATCTGTATAAAATTATTTTAATATATTATTGATATTTAAAATATTAAGCACATATTTAAATAAGGAAATTGATTTATAACCGTCGAATAGTAATAACTGCTTTTCGTCTCTTTTCAGCTTCACGTTTTGCTAACCATCTTCGAATATACTTTTGAAAAACTATTGCTGCCTGTCTCAAATGAAGATATCTTCGTCTTATTAGTATACATTTCCATTTACTTTGAATAATAGCAGCTATATCATGTTTCTTCATTTGAAAAGCATCTTCCGTATCGAATAATGTTTTAGGGAATCGAATGAATAATTTTGTGCTATATCAAAATTATATCTAATATTAGATATATTTCTAATATATAAAAATTAAAAATTATTATATTTATTTATTAAAAATTTTTGTTCTTACTTGCCCATCTTATATTCATCTTGTTCGAAACCAAGATGACATACGAGGATTTGTACACCTTCTTTAGCAGAACCATGATAGTTAGGCCACGTTTGTGGACATAAAGATTTATAACGTTGTAGAAATTGTTTATATGGTCTTCTATAGGCAAAACCAGCTCGTCTCACTCTTAGATTTTCCATAAGACCTAAATATTTTACTTGATGCAAGATAATTTTATCGTTGAATTGATCTAAAACAATATTACAATTATTCTAAGATATGTAAAATATTTTTCAAATATAATAAAACAGAAATCATTGAAACTTACTGGGCATTTTATAATCATTAGGTTTTATACAACGAATATATGAAGGTTCTTTCCCCATAAGAATTTCCACTAAATTATTTAAACTATTTTTAAATTGTGTAATAGCGGTATCTGGTCGTTTTTTGCTTGTCAAATCTTTTACATCAAACACGTTCTATAAAATTACAATATTTAATATAAAAAAACTAAAGAAACAATATTTGTGTAATTTGATGAAAGTACCTTAATAATTGAATTCGTCGTATGTGACATTACTTCACGTAAATCTCTATATAATAAATCATTATTCTTCTCAAGAAACCCACGAACATTATATGTTACTTCGCCAGCATAATGCACTAATCTGAATTCCTAAAATGTATAACTATGTAAAAATGTTATATTAGAAAATTATAAGAAATTGAGAAATTTGATTTCATACATCACGCCCCATAACTTTTTGCGTTTGTAGATCCGCTTTCATATGGCTTATATAGTGGGGATGATTGTTTAAGTTTACATTTAATTTTTCCAGAAAACTTAAATCTGTTGGTTCTCCAGGACGAAGACATTCTTCATCCATTAAAGATATTATACCTATAAATATAAATAAATAAAATATATTATGTATACAATTTTCATTAATCTATGAATTCAAATTAATACCTTTATATTTTTCTTCAATTAAATCACATATAACTTTATTATTAAAATATTGAACATTTTCCCATGTTATTCCTTCTCTTAAATATTCCTCTTGTTCTGACTTTAACGTTAATTGAATAAATAGTTGTTGTAATTTCTCATTACAGTAATTTATACAAAATTGTTCGAAGCTGTTGAACGATACCTTCAATAAATCGTTATTAAAAGAAATATTATTTAATTTTAGAGATTATATACCTGTTCTTCTGAAAAATTTCGAAACCATAAATATCCAAAATTCCTATGACCATTTTCTTTTTAGGATTATTAATAGGTTGCAAAGATTTATTCAATCTAGTCACCAGCCATGTGAACAATCTATCATATACAGCTTTTGCTAATGCATCTCGTGCATAAATGGCAAATTCTCTGTTTAGTGGAGAAATAACCACATCACCATGAGCATCTATAGTGCGATTTGTAAAAGCCTCTGCTAATTGTTTGATGTCGCAACCCAATAACTGTAAATAAAATAGAAAAATTGAAAATAATTATTAATCGATTAATTTCTATCATATGAATAAAAAAAAATTCAAATTTATAAATGATATATATAAATTTACCGAAGCAACAGCTTCAACAGAAGCTGGCTTCAAAATTTGCGCGACACCATCTTCTTCGGTAAAACCAACATTTCCCATATGTAATACTGATGCCACTATTGCAAATAAGTCATCCTGTTCTTTTTGACTCATTTCCATGGTTTTCATTGCTTTCATAACTTCATTATATTGAGAAACATCATCGATATTATTTATAGTGTCTTTTGTCTAAATATAATTTAAAATAATTTATAATATACATTTACATTATAATTGATTAATTATAAAATAAAATAACTTACTCCATTACTGAGATAATAATATGTATCTAAGTTTTTTTTTAGATATAATTTCCGCAAAGTTTCCTCATTAGCTCCGGCTATTAATTGATAAAATATATGGAAATTACGTTCTCCTAAAGATTGATGCACTACTCGTGATTTCTCGAGTAGATAATTCAAAATGTTTCCACCGATTGGATCTCCCTGAAAAGATATTAAATTTTTTATTGATATATGAAATATTTTTTTGTAAAAATAAATAAATATGGATATTTAAAATAATATTTAAAATAATTCAATGCTATTTGATAAAATATATTAATGCTATTTGATGATACAAACAATGAGATATTGTTTTATTTGTACCTGAAAATTAAATTGGATATCCATGTACTTGCCAAAACGCGATGAATTATCATTCCGATTAGTCTTCGCGTTTCCGAAAGCTTCGAGCACCGGATTACTACCGATTAATTTATCATTTACTTCTTCCACTTGTTTCTTGTGACCGGTGGCAGCCGCAATAAACTCTAGTACTTTTTTCGAAGCTTCAGTTTTTCCTGAACCGGATTCGCCTACACAATTAATTCTAAGAATGTTAAATCTATCTTTGGTATCATTTATTACATTGTTGTAAAAGTAGAATCATCTTTAAGTTCGATTAACTTTATTACATATTTCTAGTAATTATATACTATTTATAATTATTTTTTTTATTTGTTCGATTAACTTTATTACATATTTCTAGTAATTATATATTATTTATAATTATTTTTTGTAAATTTTTCATTATGAATGTAAAAGACATATATAATATATTATAAAATTATAATTTTTTTAATAAAATTTTTGAATTATATAAATTTATATTTATATAAATTGAATCAAATTTTATGTCTTAAATTATTAAAATCTTTAATGCAAAATCTAGATTTTTCTAGCAATTCAATCTTATAGGTTCAGATTTATCATTATAACTAGCCCCAATCCTTAACTTGCTTTAACTTGCTTCCTACCAGAGATGAGAATACATTGATCCAAATTCTCCTTCAACAAAGACTGATAAGCAGTATCAGCAAGCGCAAAACTGAAAAAAAAAAAAAAGACTTGAATTATCAATCATATTTTATAGTTTAATATCTTTTATTACATGTGTGGTGCAGCCTCAAAGAAGTTTCTTCCGTGATAGTACTGAATAGTTTCTGGATTATAAATTGGTAATTTCTTGTAGGGATTCACTGATATCAGCACTTGACCAATATATGTCTGGAAGATAGAAAGGAGAAAAATTTGAATACAGAAATAAAAAATAAAATTGTTATAAGTATAGAAAAGCAATTTATTAATGAATTAAATTATCTTACTAAATTGAATTATATATTTTTAAAAATATATTTGAAGTACAAATAATTGAATTAGTATATTTTCTGCATATATAGTTGTAAATGTAAAATTAATTTTAGAAATAAAAAATTCAAAATAAGTTGAAAAAATTTATCTATGGAATGATAATAGATAAATATTATCTTATATTTTTAAATCTCTTCATTTTTTAAACAACGCTTCATTTTATTTTATAATCTTTCTCAACAATCTTTATCCAAAACGTGCGCTGTTGTTCCTTGAACGAACTGATAATAAGTTTGCGAATAATAATCTAACAAATAAATGCTTATCAAGACATTACTTCCTACCTATTTAAATTTAAACAAGATAAAAAAAAAGTCCTATAAATTTAACTTTATTGATTCTCGATATCGAATTAAATAAAATTTTTAATATATTTCTATAAATAAATCTCAAAAATCAAATTTATATATATATTTTTTAAGTATTTTTGTTATATATATATTTTTTATTTTTATTTATAGATATACATTTATGTTTGACAATAAGAAAGCAGAACCATGCTTCCAGATTCTTTTAAGAACAACTGTTTAATAAAAAATATCTTTTACTTACATAGATTAGATTCTCATTGAAACGCTTTTGTAGATTATCGATAAAAGCCACCTCGCTCTCGAAATCCTCGAGGAGAACGAAGTCCTGGACACCAACACGATCCCGCTCGTGCAGACCACGTTCCATGTTTTTACGTACCTCGTGGCCACTCTTGGGGATATTCGGAGCCTTGTCTTTCTGATGTTTATTACCTCCAGTATCGGATACGCTTTTCTCGCTGAAATAAGTAAGGTACAAATTAAAAACAATATATAAAATTTTGCATAAATAAGATATGGATAATTTAAATTTCATTAAAATAAAGAAAAGAAAAGAAGATAGAATATTAAAAAAAAAAATGTTTTTAAATATTTTTATGAAATTTTATCTTTGAATTTCTTCCGTCCAAATTTTTATTTTTATTTAAGAAGTTCAAATATTTATTTAAACAAATATTTTTTTAACAGTAATTTTTTAAATTATCATTTTTATTTTTTTTATTTTTTAAAATGTTACAGTGATAATGAACACTTTTTAAGAAATTGATTATATATATTGTTTTAGAAATCTATTGTTTCCATCGTTCTTGCCTGATCCCATGTTATAATCGATCAACGGTAAAGAATCGTGAAATTGGTCGTGATCAAGATGTATATACGTCGATTTCTCGTGGATGTTACTCGATACTGAACGCGAGAAAGTGCGGACTACAAGTATTGTTCGACCGCCGGAACTGAAATCAACACCCTGAACTTCGACAGTGCTTCACGCGATCGGTGTCGATTTTCCGTGTGTGGTCGCATTGACACGGATATGCGTGATGGAAAAATCGCAAGCAAAAAAAATCATTTGATTTCTCTCCTTGTTTCCGAAACTTCGGGAACCTCATTATGTAACACAAAAGGATTAAAGAACTGACAAATTTATATTGAAAAATTGTTATCAAATTATCCAATTAATTTTTCCTTATAAAAATAATTACATAATTTTATAGATTTTTTTTTTAATTTAATCGAAATATGTTTTTAATACTAGATCTTTAGAGTTTTTGTATTTATAATTATTAAAAAGATGCAGATATTGATTTTTATTTACATTATATACAATTATAATTATACACACTTATTTATTAAGGATATTTAATTAAGGATATTTAATTAAGGATCATCTACATATATATATATGTTTTTGATAGAAAGTGAATATGTATTCTCCTTTTTTTTCTTAAAAATTTATTATTTTCGAATTCGCATAGCGAGATAATTAACAGAATTACAGATGATAAAATCACTGATTAGATATAGAAGTAATGTTGATAGACGGTAGGAAATCGATAAAAAGTTGTAATGTGGAGAACAACAATTTTACTACTTCATTTAATAAAACGAAATCAGTTTCACAAATATGAATATAATAAAAATTAAATCAAAAATTACTTCTAAACGAATGAAAACAACAGTATTTCAATTTCAGTATTGTTACAAAACATATATTATATGTACATTAATCTTAATATCTACGAACGAGTAATACACTTAACTCACTCTTTAACGATTCTTATGATCAAACTTCAACTCAGAGACTAAAATATCACCGAAAGTTTCAGGTAGACGACTATCAATCGAGTAAGAAGAAATAGAATGGGCTTTTATCCCACCCTTCCCATTCGGGGTTAAACCAAACTTAGCTGTATTGTGCAAAGCAGGATGTGCACCACCCTTCTAGAATCTTGCCAGTCATGTATAAGAATTTATACATCTAGCTACACGTGGGATGGAATTTTATAGATCTTCTTCATTCAAAATAAAATTTTTTTCGTTCAAATCAAGATCGATATAAATTATTTGAATACAAAAAAAGGAAAAGAAGAAAATGGAAAAGATTATGAATAATTATTAACGATGAGATCTTTTTTTTAAAAATAATGAACGAATCTCAAAAAAAACTCACCCCATATTTCTTCAATGTCCTTGTACTCTGTGCAATAATAAAAAAAAAAAAACGGATTAAAGAATTAATTAATCACAGATTACTGCAAAGCACGGAATCAGTGATGGTGCTCTCGCAACTGCTATTCGTTGTGCTTTCCTGTGAAATCTAATGTTAGATCTCGCGATAAGATACGCGGCCTACGTGGAAAGTCGATCTCGATTTCGCTCGATAATCTTCTATGATCAATTAAAATTGACATTTTCATTCAATTTTCAATCATTATTTTTGATAAAATAAATATTTTTCCAATATAAATTTTACCAACGTATAAAAATTGATCGATTAAAATCGATAAAAATATTTTGATTCTTATCGATGATTTATCATTTCACGAAAATCGTAAAATAAATATTTTATTATTATCACAATATTTATATTCTTTCTCTTATTCTTGTATCGAATTTCTTTTTCTCTGATAAATACAAATTGAAAATATGTACAAATACGAGATTTGTATTGTACATTGATCGATAAAGATAATGATGGACCGAGATATTGTTAATAACATCGATTTTTATATATCGTCTTGATTAGATTTTATATATGAGTATTCTTTTAAAAATATCATTTGGTAAAATGGAACATTACGTAAATGTTAGTCAATTTTATGACCCAATTGATCGTCGAACCAATTAAAGCTAAAGAAAAGATTAATTGCTTCGAATTCCTTTGTGAGATTCTTTTTTTTCAATTCTTTTGTGATAGGTCTTACATTCTTTGAAATTTATTCTAAAAAAGATATATGATGTCATTTCACATTGTTGACCAATATGAGAACAAATAATAGATCGATGCAATGTGATGAAAGAAATTATAAGATCGAATATGATATATTCGAAAACTATACCAATTAATCAACGGCACGTTACCATAAATGCGAACTGTAAATCGCGGTCATTGCCGTTTTGGATGCTTCTAAGAATACAGATTCTTTCGCAATGGTAAGAACTATTTGAAAAGAAGAATTATTTGGAAAGAGATCGTTAAGAAAGTAATTACATGGGACGACTCGTTTAATTAAATGAAATAAATAATATTATATTTATGAAAATTTTTAAAATATTTGATTATTTAATTAAAGCTATTATATAAATTATAAAAAAAATGTAAAAATATATAATGTTATTATTATATTATTATTATGTAAACAAAAAAATGAATTTTTATATAAAAAAAGATTGGATTCTTGGAAAAATTATTATCGAAGAAAAAATGTACAAGATTAAAGTGATATATTTATTATTGATTATATTGATAAAAAAATTATCAAAATTGTAAATTAAGTAACATGCTCTATTATAACTTAGTCCAGATCAAAAATGTAACAAGTTTCGTAATTGAATTGTCCAAATAAAAAACAAAGAAATAACAGAAATTGTACGAGATGTTCATATATTATTGGTAAAAATTCTATTGCAAAATGCTCCCCCTTATCAATATGAGATTAACTATTATCGAAGTTCAATTAAAAATGAAGATATCCACAAATGATTTGATCATTATATGGTTATATGGTTTTTTTGTGTATTTAAGCGCCGCGAAACTTTTCAATTTGTATCATTTTTTCACTCGCACCGTTTTTTATTATACTATCAAAATTCGTGAAAAACAAATATGAAATAAAACGAAAAGTTCTTTGCCCTTTTCAATCAAATCAAGACAAAATTTTTTTTCGAATCGATCACTCAAGACCTTCCGTTCTTCCATTGACGAACATTATTTTTAGTTTCGAGCTTTTCCAACGGAAAATATTCGCGATCAGAAAGCAAAAAAAAAACTCGCGACCTCGATTTTTCGAAACACGTCACTTGTGTTCTTCAGTTCTTATCGAGTCATGAATTGTTAATTGGATGTTACGTATTATGGACTTTTCAGGTACGTCTTATTCGTAAAATCATATATTTAAATTTATATTTTTAATACCGTAATAATAATTTCTATTGAACATTTCTTTTTTTCTCGTTTAAATATATCAATAATGTACGATCCACAATTTATTCTGCTATATATAGATATTTCTCAAGAAAGAAATAAAACCGATTCAAAATTTTTTTCTTCATCAAGAACACCATGTGATTTAAGTCATTCCAAGTAATAAATTGATCAGCTAATCCAAGATTAACGAGCCTCCAGATGCTAAAAGCAAGCATCATTGATTCCATTATTATTTTATTTTTAGTAATCGTACAATTTACACACTAACTACACCGTAATTGACACGTTCACTAGGAAGATCGAGACACGCTGGAGAATAGGTTCACCAACAGCCGCTACTCAAGAACGACTTAACAGTGTCCACCTTCGGTTTATCATCGGCTATATGCAACTTCTCCTACCTCCTCACCGTTCTATCATTCGCTATCGATACGCCAATAAATTCAGACGAGATACAATACATTCAGGTGAGGAATGAGATTCAATTTTTTTTTCATTTCGAATAATATCATTCTTCCTTATATTTAGATTTAGAAGATCTCTCTTATGTTTTTGTAAAAATATCGATTGATGATTTTGAAAAGATTGAATAATATTTAAAGATAATATTCGTTCATCAATTGCGAAGATTTTTTTAAATGTGAAAAAATTTGCATGGTAATAATCTTCTTCTTTTCTTTTTAATTACTATTTTTAATATCTATTAAATTGTTCAGAATATGATGAAAGAAGCAAGAATAAAAAGATGGAAAGAGGAAGAGAGAAATGTATTAAAAAATTTTATCGTCAAAAAAATTGTATTTATATATGTAAGTATAATCTAATCTAATCTATCCGGATTTTTCGCAGACGATGCGTGCAATTGTAACGGTGCAACAGCACAAATATATATTATCATTTCTTGTTTGTTATCATTATATTCATCTACTTGTGTGTTTTTATTAATTTAAAGGAACGTTTAACCAGTTTTCCAAACAACAGTAACAACAAAGAGAAGAATAGACAAAATATTAGTTCAAACAAATTGATTCGATATTTTCTTTTTTTAAATTTTTACCTTTGCTTCATGATTCTCGAATTTCTAAGGAGAGAGCGATAATAATGATATTGATAAAGACAAAAAGAAATAATTGATCACGATGAAGGAATAATAATGGATATTTAAATGTGATCACGACGAATGTTGTATTAACACTGGAACAAATGCAACTCGAGAAAATATAGATGAAATACACGTAGTTTCTGGTAAATGCGTTTCATGACCTCGTTCTTATCGGTACGAGGAGTCAATCGATGACCGCCCGCAAATCACGGTATGCAAATTCTGATTCTTTTCTCCGCGTAAATAAACTTTTATTGCCATTGAATATTGTTTTTCGATAGCAATATGTTTTACAAGTATTAAGAGACATATCTAATGTACAATTTTTCAACGAAACTTGTTATTGAATTAAAAATGTTCAGTAAAATTGAAATGTTAATGAAAGAAATTATAAATTTTAAAGTAATGTTAAATATACGTATAAAAATCTAATTAATTAAGAAATTTAAAAAAGTTAGAAAATTATTTCGAAGATAAATAATAATGAATTAATTCTATGCCATTACATAGTATTGTTACTTAAGAAATAAAGTACTCGTATTTTATCTTAATTTGATGATTACAATCTGTATCAATTTATATAATATTTTTCATCGTTTAAAAAACTGAAGAAAAAAACTGATTTTATATCGTATGTACTTTTTTTTTTTAAGACTTGTTCAATTTCATACTCGAAATATAGTTGTTGTTTATATTTGGGGATAAAATAGGGGATAGAATTTCTCGAATCTAATCAATCCTTTTTGCAGGGTCAACGACTCGGTCAACAACGAGCTCCCTCACAATAACTCTATAAATCTCGGGACACTTTCTGCGAATCGGAAGTCATAATGCTGTCGTTTCCACTTCTGATGCTCGATGGAACGTTGCATATAGAGTTGTTTGCCAGTTTTCTTTCGCTACTTCGGAAATGATCTCATTTGCACGGTATAGAAATATCTTGATGAAACTTTTTCACCAATCTTTCTTTCTTTTCATGCAACTTTTTTAAAGATATGAATAGAAACAATATATATGTATAAAGTAAATAAGTAAGTTATAAATAATATGTTAAATTAGAAAAAAATATTAGCATTCAGTTTTTAGAAAAAAAAATCAATCAATTTTAATTTAATTTAAAATATTAAGAATAATATGTATATATTTTTTTAGATATCCAACTTCAAAAAAAATAGCTGAAATACAAAAAATTTCAAATTTCAAAAATAAAATCATCGAACTGCAGACTCATAAAACTTTCAACGTGAATGAAAAAATCGAGTCTGTTCGCAGCCAAGACTACGTACAAATGATATAAATATACCGGGACAAGTTGTTAAAGTCACTATTCGACATCTTGACTCGTTGCTTGATTAACGAGATATCTATTTTCAAAGGCTATAATTTATAATGATATTTTTTTCCACTATTAACTACGTTTTGTGAATTTAAAATTAATAGTTGAAAAAAAAAACATTCACAAATAATATAATCGAATCTTCTTGGACAATTGATTGCAACAATGAACGAATGTTGGATTGTATCTACTATATCTAAAATTATGAAGGTTGTATTTCCATAATCATATCTTATAGAATATTTTATTATTTTTATTTATCTTTTTTTATGTTTTTCGAAAGAAAAATTATCTAAACAATATTCAGCAATATATGTTGCTTACTTATATTATTTTGTTATATTTTTTTTCAGAAAAAATTTTTTTTTCAAAAAATTATTCCTAATCATTTATTTAATTTTATATATCAAGTATATAGAAGAGCTGAATCATTAAACTCGAATGTATATGTAGGTTATCACGATATTTGACCTGGTTCTGATAGTTTTATAAAAGAAATTTTTCCAAAGAAATTAAAAAAGCATTGTACATTTGCTTTTTCGTATTCTTAACATATATATATATATATATATGGAAGAATTAATGCAAAACGTTTAGTCAACAGTTTCGATCACGATCGATCATTTCTTCATCCTAAAGGGGAATCGATGTGAGTCATTGTCTCGGTCGTGACCTTTTGCTCGATGACTAATTTCTCGGCTGATTTTATGTTAAATCACCGCAGATATGTGAGAACAACCGACTCTCGCGAGCTACGAACAATCGCGTTGTGAAGGCGGTTTTCATTGTTCTGTCTAGTCATGCATGATGCGGTCATATTCAAAATTATAGAGAGGTATCAAAGGTGTAAATCATTTCTTCTCTATCTCTAAAAATATCTACTTTCTTTTAAAGATTTGATCGATTAAACATCCTTTAAATTTTTCAATTAACTCTTAAGGAATTTCCATAGAAACGCGAATGTACAAGACTTACTAATGTTTGAATTAACTTTCTACTGGTAGAGATGACTAGATGAATCGACATGCGGTCGCTGTCTCGTTACGCAAACACCGACATGGTGATAAAAAAAAAAATAATGCAACACCACCTGCGGGTAGCTAAATGTATGCTGCAACTGTCGGCTCTTTCTCCCTAATGTGTTGCTTCATTCTGTTTGCACACGAGTTGCGAAACTTCTAAATTTATCAATTGAAAGTAAAAAATATTTTAATTAACTATTTCAAATTTTTTAATCTTATTATGGTACTATCGATCCATAATATGCATTTAAGTTATAAATCAATATTTAATATCATAATCATATTAGATAAGGATCAATATTTTTAATAAAAAAAATCAATGAGTTTGATTTCTTTTGTAATTCTAATATTAATTCCAGGCGTCGAATCAATAATTATTCTATAGTCTTGCAAATCCAATAATTATTCTACAAGTAGAGAATTAAAAGCGAAAGCGAGCCTCACACTCGAGGCAATTGTTAATTCGAATTACAAAACTCTCATGAAATCTATTCCTCTGAACCTTCTGAAACAATCTTTTCTTGTTTTTCCCTAATTAAAAGTTAAAAGACGTTCGTGCCCTTCTTTCATGGTCTAGTTTCGACTTCAATGTGCGTTTCGCTGACGCAGAAGGATTAAAAAGTAAAAACCTGGTCTCGAGCCGATGGTTGGAGGCAATTTTCCGCTGTCTTCGATACGCGATCCAATCGGTCACAGCTTCTTCACGTGATGCCGCGTAAACAGGCAGTTTACTGTTGCGTTTTTCATCGCGAGAAATGGGGTCGCGTTCGTTCACCGAGGGAACAACGTCATCTCATGAGTCAAAGGAAAAAGGGCCTTCGAGGTGTTCGTCCGTGTTCACCTTCGCGCCGATTCCATTGTGAAAAGTTATACGCCGTTTTAACGAGGCCGGCTAGCATGTTCTGATGCATCCACCAAAAATATTCATCCAACTGAATAAAACAGAATTTCATTTCATCTTCCTGATGATTACTATGGAATCGAGTCTCAGTGAGAATATTGTAACAAGATTGAATTTATCTGATATATATTGTTTCTCATCTTTTCTTAAATAATGATTTCATTTTATAATTTAGCTAAATAACAAATGGATATTTGGAATTTGATATATATATAGATTTAAACTCTATTTAGAGTGATTGCAAAAAAAAATATTTCTTGAAAAATAAGATGATAACACAATAAAGATTATTAATTGAAAAACTTGTGATTTTTTAAAAGTTATTTGTAAATGATAGAAGATATAATCTATTAATAAGTAAAAATCAAGATCAGTTTCATATTATTATAAGGATATTTGAAGATCATCAAAGGTTATGGAAAGGATATATAAATGTTACTATAATTTGAAGGTCATTTAAAAGTCACTGAATCTTATTTAAAAGAAATTCAAAGTTCATCTGAAGATTTGAAAATTATATTAAAGAAAATACTCTTATAATAACATTATAATAATCTCTATCACAAAACAACTTATTACGTTATTAAAAATTGCAATATCAATCTTGTCAAATTCAAACAATTCTCTATTAATTAAAACATTTTATGATGATACTTCTCTTTAGAAATCTTATCATACAATTTTTGCACGATTTCAAGATTATTTATGAAAATGGAACACTGCGTAGGAAGCTCATTTGATGATGAGCAAAGTGCATGCAAATTTTTAACCTTGGTTGCTTTATTCTCGAATGATAGTTAGATGCCGCGGGGTCATGCACAAACTTGTACCTGTAAAAAAAGATCGTGCGCGCTGATGGGTATAATAAAGAAATTACCCATTTCCGGAAACCGGTTAGCCTTTTGTCGGCTACCCGGTTTGGCGAAGAAGAAGGACAGCTTTTCACTGGATCGGTTGAAATCATTAGCTCGGCTCTTTTCATTTTCTAGAACCATTGCCAACCAGTAGCACACATCGCTCGTAAATTTACCTCTTCGGTGATAATTTTACCACTTTTCTATTTTTGCCTTAGTACACAAGCCTCTTAACCTTGCATCCCAATGTTTTCACCGAAAATAAAAATTCCATTATTGCAAATAGAGGCTCGGAGAACTTCAATAGAAAGTCTGTACTTACATATTCTCAAGTGTTTCTAAATTGAAAATTTACTGGAATACCTTTTACTTTTGCATGATCCGTAAATATGGGGTCGTGTGATTTATCGTGCTTTTCAAACCTGAAATCTTACATTACAGGTTTTTCAAGAGATCTTGTTTATTAATATACCTCATTTCTTTGACATAGAAACAGTTGTCACTCACGATATAAAAAGCCAATATTAGGCCATCGATTTCCTCCCTCTAAACCATCGAAATAACTCGCAGTACCATTTTAACGTCCTATTTAGATCATCAACGGATTTATTCTTCGCAAATTAATTCTACAACACGCGAAATAGGCCATCAGTCGTGACAAAACGGACCTTCAACAGGTCACATAACAGAACTCTTTATATTCAAATGACATTTTGCATTCGCGCGTGGCATGTTTTCGATCGTGACCATACCAACTTCCGGCTCCTTCCATTAGTGTACCCGCAACGCATGGTAAATGCTGTTCCTCTTATCTCGCGATAAAAGGAAGGCACGAGTCCCGCATCATGGCCGACGCGCGACACTTCCGGCCGTTGTTCCTTTTCCTTTCTTTCCAGGTACTGTTAGGGGCACTTGAAGAGTTTCACGCGACTGCGTGCATGTGCGCCCAAACGAAATCGTTTAAGACTTTCACACTTGAAGAACAATCGGCAAGGATCAGAAACGGTAAAAGTTGCCGGGTCGTTGTCGGGCGAATTAATTGCATACAAGAACATCACCAATTAAGGAGTTTAATTAATTTTTAAACTCCCTTACAGAAATAATCATCATGTGATCGTTCATTTGCTCTAATTTTTTCACCTCTCAACGATACTATCTATAATTCTAATCATCTTCCTGCAATAAAAATATCTATCTATAAATCTGTTGCAATTTTTTTAATTAACAATGAATAAATTTAAATTAAAATTTAAGTTAATAATGTACGTAAATTTACATTAAAAGAAAAGATAAAGTAAGAGAATAGTATAGTTTATATTAATTATCAATGGTAACCAATTGATTTTGAATTTAAATATTAATTCATATTAGTAATTGCATTCGAGACCTAGAGAAGGTTTTATTTTGAAAATTACATACCATGAATTTTAAAGATAACTGAAGAATGTCTTATATATAATTTGCATGGTGCAAATCGAGGAACTCCTTTTACGGGACCTGTGTTTGCAATTGAAACTTGTTCTCCATTGTCATTACGTCATTGGAGATGCATGAATATGACAGTTTATTATAGGAATGAATAACTGGATTTTACGAAAGGAACAGGGCCGGCCCAAATGAACGAACGCCTCAGGCGAATCGATGATTTGGCATTTCGTTGAAACGAAGCATAAATAATCTATGGAAAGTTAAATTAAAAGCGATATTTATAGTTTGTTTGACATGGCCATTTTATTGTTTGCATAAAATTGCATTTAAAGAACAGTAGAAGTACCTTTATCTTCAATGAAACGATAAGAATATCGTAATTATCAACTTTGCAACCTTGCATAGATTATTTGCAGACTTATTTTTGTCACACAAGTCACGAGTTAAAACAATTCTTGAAAGTAACGAGAAATAATTAAGTATATACAATAACGTGATATCATGTTACACAACGTGGCCATGAGTGAAGGACTTCGATATTGCATTGTTTTAATACCGTCGAATGCTAAGGAGTCAACGACTTGAGTTACAAACTGCAAAGACGACCACGCGTTATACGATATACACTGGGTGTCCATTAAGAATATTAACCTCACCTTAATGCACCGGATACAAAGAAATGTGTCATCTAATTGATGGAAAGAGCTCATTGCTAACAATTGACTTTAATGAAATGTTCTATGTTCTAAGAATTATTTAAAGTTCTTCATGAAAAAAGAAAACAGTTTCTTTCCGGTGCACCGGAGAAACTTATCTTCATTCGATAGAGACTCGAACATGTGAACCTCATTAAACCAGAACTCCCAGCTACTAACCTCTTGCTAGCCAAACTCGCAGCCATTCAACTCTAGACTAACTTATACATACACTTATACATACTTTATACATAACTACTTATACATACACATACGCATATACCATCTCTAATGCTCAACAGTGACTCAACCAGGTTTTCCCTTTGATATCCTTACATTAACCATCATCATTCGACTTTAACAATTTTCATAGTCAACATGAAATTATGTAATTCAATAACGCAATTTTCTCAATAATATCACTAGGAACATTCCTAAAACAATATAATAAGAAAAATAAAAAAGAACATTATATTTCCTTTCAATATTTTATCTTAATTTTAATTAATATTTTGATAATTAGAAATTTTTTTAAAGAATAGAATATAAAAAGAGAAACGAATATTAATATTCTTTCTTTGAATTTTTCAATTTGATTAATTTTATAGCTTGAAAAAGTTTCAAGTGATCGATTTATGGGGCAATCGAAACCCAGTGTTTTTCCTACGGCGCATCACGTAAGTACGAGAGAGCCGAATTCGAAAATAGATCGCCGCTTATTTTCGGTGAATCAGCTTCTCTCGCCTTCCCTCGAATCGTCCTTTTTCCTTCTTTTTATTGTCTTTGGTTGCCCGTCCACCGTTTCATTTCCGAGCGTCATGGCAGCCGCAGTTCGGTTTATTATTACACATGGTATTCTCACGTCCCCCGGACGTCATATAAGTTCCTTCTCTTTCTGTCTTCTCGTCGCGTTACTCGCGTCCTCGCGGGGCTTATTAAAGTCTCGCGACAGAGAGAGTACTTCGAAAACCCTGAACTTCAGACCTGAAGCTGACTGACTCAAGGTCGGCCTGAATCAGAACCAGCCAACCGGTTTTTCGGAGAAGATTCGGAGAAGAAATGTAAGATTACGCCTTCGCGAACTCCGCTCGTGCAACGCTTTAAATCTGCCTTGCCAGACATGGCTCTATCGTCTCTCTTTTGTGAATTAAATCGCCACTTCCAACGAGAAAATTATATTTCGATTTTCTGGCATTCACTGGTTTGAATGAACTTTGAAGTATTAATTTGTAATAAGTTGCTATATAGTCTGCAATTTGAAAAATAAAGATAGAAAAAGAGATAATTCTTTGTTAACTTTTATTTTTATCTAATTAATAATTAGATAAGAAATATTCTTTTTCACTATTTATATTATTTCTACTAGAACTTAAGAATTTCACCAATAATTACAAGAAATAAATCAAAACTCGTGATAACTTGTTCAACTTAGAACATAAATTTGTTATATTCATTACTTAGTAAACAACATGCTGAACTTTTACGATCGATCAAAATTACTGTATTTTCATAGCTACCGGAAATGTACATTCTATTTCTATGATTTAGAGTTCAAATCTGAAGTTCCATTCTCACATTGCTTAAGAAATTGCTTATTTACAACAATAGTTTAAGAAATGCTTGCGTAATTTATGAGCCAAGAGAAAAAAATACTTTATGGACTAATGTGTCCGGTATTTGCATAAAGTAATTGAAAAGTATTACGCGGGAATTTAGAAAGTGCGTCAGAAACGCAACGTCGCTAACACCATCAATTATCCTTCACATCCTCCAGATATTATCCAGATATTTAAAAAAAAATTCAAGTTTCCAATATCCCTTGAGATATAGTATAATGATTAAACTTACAAAATAGAAAAGCATTTTAAACATACATTTCATTATAGTGTAGTTAATTTTATATCCACAAATATTCATGATGAGATATCAAATATCGATTTGGTTAACATTGGAAAACTCTGCTAGCAATTTCTGTCGCTATTCGTCATTAACATTTAACAGCATGGTTTGCGAAACTGGTTATACGTCGAAAAAAAAAAGGACAAAATTGATAGATAACGAAAAGTGGTTTGAAAAATATAGAACACTCGCTTACATTAGTTACGTGGCATCTATGATAAAAATCATTTTAAGGAACTTTGTCATTATATAATTTTACTATCGCCAACAATTCCCGAGCTTACGATTCGATATTCGCGAACCGTAAAATATCACCGTTCGCAGCGAAACGATTGAAAAACTTTTCTCTTGTCAGTATAACAAGATACAAGTGTCATTTCTAAATTGATAAATGTCAAATTTAGAATAAATATTTTAAGTCAATTGTCTGCTAAAATTTCCAGTCTTAATCTATTAATTTAATAGTCTTCATTAAGAATAAAAAAATATATACAATAATAATATTAAAAAAATGGTAAATTATGCAGGTGTATAATTAATCTATGAAAAAATTATTAATATATGAAGCACTGCTAGAAATTTATAAGGAAAATATCCAATAACTTTTGAGTCAGCTGAATAGTAATCGGAATGTGCTAAAATCGTGATTGTTCAGCTTTACGATTGACAGTTTCTATGATCGTTAAATTACCATAAAGCAAAGGAACATCAAAGATTGTTAAAATAACAAATCATATTCTGCTAATTCTAATTTAATAATGCAATTTTTGAAGAAAAAATTTACCATCAAGACAAATATCATTTAAGAAAATCTTAAAATCAATATCTATTTTCTTTTATCTTTTTGTTGATCATATAATTATTGAAATAATTATCATTGAAGAAACATATTGAAGAAACATTTAATTTCTTATTAGCAATGTGATGTGAAATGAAGAATTTCCATAATAACTTTTTAAATTATTAAAAAAAAAAAGGACAAAACTACCAATGAACAATTTTTCTCTATTCAATATATGAAAAGTTCTATAACAATTGTTAAATATATTGCAAGCAGTGAACAAGTTGTTTAAGAAAAAAGGAATATCCAAACATGATTAATAAATCTAATTGAATCGCGTATGTTGCTTTATAGAAATAAAAAAAAAGATACATACATAACCTTTATCATCATTGTATTTTTTTTGTATTTTTTTTGACTCATTGTATTTAATTGTTTTATCTTGATTCCACTGACTTATAATCAAATAAAAAATTATTTTGAAAAATAAATGGACAAATTTCTTTCTTATAATAATTTGTCTTTCTCAAAAATAATAATATGACAAAATAATAATATGGCAAAATCATTTATATTTGTATTTCTATAATTGTATGATATTTGAAATCTTAATTTGAAATTTAAAATATTTAAGATTTCAAAATCTACAATGACAAAAGGATGTATTTACTTAGATTAATCAGCAAATCAAGGATTTCATCTTATATTAAAATATTAAGAAATAAAACAGATAAAATATTCTTCTTGATTATTTATACCTGTTCTAGCGTATTTTGAGGTCAAGAATCTTTGTTTAAACAATGATCTATAATCTTCGTTTCCTGTATCCTCTTAAACGAAACTAAAAACGTGGAAGACTTGTTTCATGTTAGAGAATGAACCTCAACCAACAGAAGAACAATACACTGTTTTTTTTTCTGGTTTCTTTCTCTTATGTTTCTTAGAAAGATAGTTTAATAGTATATTCGCAGAATCACAAAAATATTTTAAAATTTTTTACGAGTTGTTTGTGCGAAATTTTCAAGATGAATAATTCTAAAATTGATAATGATTTTACTATTTGATTATATTTTTTATTGAAAGCATTAATAAATTAATTGAAATTTGATAAGAATTTTTAAAGTTATTTTTATAAAAATGTTTAAAAATTAATAATGAAATAATGATATATAGAAATAACAACAAATTGAAAAACACTGACGCCATATTATAATTTATCGATGATCGATTGTAGTATCGATATTAATCATTTATCGAAGAAATTCGATTTGACGATATTGGATAAGTATACTATATTATTTCAATGGATACAATAGTTTGACGTCATTGTCGATTGTAACGAGCAAGTGGTAAACTATCGATAATACTCGATCGTAGCGATCGATTCACAATTGGCGGTTCGTCAACCACTGTTACTAAAATCTAACCTTAATTTTATTCAACTTTTATTCAAATTTCATATCTATCCTATAATTTTAGTTATTTTATCAATAAATAAACATATTATTTATGATGCTTTCATAATTATGATGATTAAGATGATTATTTGGATAAAAGATAAGCGACTGATAAAAACATCGTTGCTTTTAAGGTAATTTTGTCAGTCACGAGAATTGATAATCAAACCACGTGTAAAAACCATTCTTATTGTTAAAATATATTTTTTAAAAATCATTTTAAAATTTAATTTTAGCTGATCAATAATATCTTTATCAAAGCAATTAACTATATGTCGATCCAAACGATGATTTAGCGGCTTCTTCGAACATTGCCTTAATAAATTCGCTTGACCCTTTTACCGAACTTTTACTTGCACGTGATCAATTATTATTCGTTATACAAATTATACAATTCTAAATGTACATACATATATTTAAACATTTTGACTTTAAAAATATTAATAAAGAAGTTATTATTATTTATTAATATTATTTGAAAATTTTTGACAAAAGTTAAAGATACATTGAAAATAAATTTAATGTTTTTTTATATTTATGTTTTTTTATATTTATTTTCGATAAGATTTTCATTTTTTTAAAAAGAAATAATCTCAAATTTTATATAATGATATATAAAAGATATATTATTTTGAAATGCTTGTATTTACAATCGAAATTACTTTATTCTATAATATAATTATTTTAAGAATGTTGTAAGCATGAATTGCAAAATAAATTATATATGAAGATGTATAGTCAATTTAGAATAAAAAAGTATTTTTACTATCATGTTATATATCATTTTGTGATGTATTTATAATAATCTATATATCACATCAATAAAAGCGAGATGAAATGTTTAATTTCGTTTTTAATAGTCACTCATATTCCAAACGTCAATGACATAAAATCTTATGCATCTTCCATTTTGTGTACATTTTCAACAAAAATTTGAATAGAAGCTGCTTACATAAATAACAACTTTACTAATTATTTTTTATTAATTAAACTTGAAAGTAAATAAACAACAAATAGTTTTTTTTCATAAAACTGTTGAAATAACTGATAAAAATCATAAATTTTATTATATTTTATGCAGATATCCTTTATATATCTATTAGAAATTACGTCACAATCAAAACATTTCAAATACTTATAAGAAAATATGAAAGAAAGATTAAATTGAACTTACATTTCAACTGATCAGTCTATCAGAAATGTCACACAGCATTCACCCACGAAACATGTCACATCACAGTTGCAATCACAAGAAGTGCCAACGTCGAAACAAAGACGTCCTCTTTCGAAACTACGATTCCGCGCGATTCAATGTGTTCGTTAAAGCGATTCCACGAGACTCTTACTTTTATTTATCGTGAACGAGAGTTTGTATATGAAGGAAGCTCGATTATTGGTTACACCTGGATGACACCTGGAAAACTTGTTCCGCCAAAGAAAGCGAACGCCGATCTTTCAGGGTGCCTTTTGTGTCTACCTTGCACATAAAACTTATGTGATCTTATGTGCACACGCCACGGTGTAACACACGAAACTGCCGGCTTAAAGGAACTCTCTGTGCAGTAGAAAGAAGGTGGTGGAAGAAGAGAGGAAGGCGTTCGAAGGCATAACAGAGAAAGAGAATCAGCCCATTCCTTTTGTGTGTTCCACGTAGTTGTATTTGTACGTATCAATACATGTGTATATATATATGTGAATATACATGTTCACATATAAGCATTCAACTGGCGAGTATAGGAAAAAAATACATCTTTTCTGGAAAAATTTTTCAACCTAAATGTAATTGAAGATATTTTATTTTCTCATTTCAGTAGAGGGCGCTAGTAGAGATATTTTTGGGCCTGTTTTGAAAGCGTAGTGAAATTAGAAACATCTCGAAAGAATCTATGGGATTGTTCGTATGTACGCGCGTTCGAGGTTATGTATATAGGCGATCATGATCATTGGTCCTTTTGGAACGGAGGACAAAGAGTTACGAAACACCTAGAAAGACAAGCTGACTTGGACATTGCGGGTACAAGATTTTATTAAGATTATTGTTAGAAGAAAAAAAATTGTTTTTTTAAATTTTTAAAAGATTTTATTCTTTTCTGCATATATCATTATAATATTTAAATTAAATGATTTTCTTTAAAAAAAAAAAGATAAAATTTATAAGAAAGATTTGCATAGTTTTATGAAATATATAACTTATAGATATTATATATTTGATATTATAAAATATTATGTGATTATTAATCTCAATTTTTGAATTGATTTAAATTAGCTGTGTGAACATCATTTAAATTACTAGTCGATATCCAACGATTGGCAAAAAAAAAAAAAACGTATACATCATACAAGATACATAAAGGAAATGGTTCAGGGAGTAATCTAAATGAATGGAAAGGCGCGCGCGCATTTCCTTTCGTCTCGAATAAAACGTTACTCCTTAACGACTTAAGTGCACTTCCTGTATAATTAATTGTATTCAAGTTTGTTACGCTTCTGCAAATTCATTGAACTCAACAAATTTAATATTAGATAGATTGAAAATAATCGAACAAATGTAGCAAAATGAGCTATAAATAAAAAATATTGAAAAAAACTGACTAATTTTTAATTGCAGCAAATATCGATGGAAATTATAACATATGAGAAATATGCGTGACTGAAGCAATTACAAAGAGCTATTTTAAGTCGCATGTATCTGCTTAATTGATATCTATTTTCAATTAAATGAAATCAAGAATAATTCGAAAAATGTAAGAGGTACAATCTAACTCTTTCTTTAATCAACCGGAAAGTTATAACTTCACATTAGGAAGCCAAAATGTGCATCGCTCTTTTATACTATAATTTACTTATAGTTCTTCCATGTATACATACATCTATGAAATCCAGGTAGCATTATTTCTCTATAATTATTTAAACTTTACTATATATTGTATTTTTTATTTTACAACAAAAATATTAGAAATTATATAATTTTATATATATATATATATATATAAAATTAAATTATTTTATATATATATAAAAAAATATAATGAATTTTAATTAAATAATTTAAAAATATATTAAAATTCATTTATGTGAACTAAACTTAAATTTGAATTATATATAAATAAGTCTTGCTTCAATATGTATTGAATGTATATAGAAAGTATCGATAAAACTTGATCATATCTTCATTTTAGGTCACAATTATATTTTTAAATTATTTATTTATTATTTATTTTTTTATGAAAAATTATTTATTTATGAAAAATATATCTTGTGATTCTTTATACTAAACCGGTATTATGGCTGTATGCGTGCAAGTCTGTGAGTATCGTCTGCACTCGGCTTAATGTCAGCCAAACGAGTTGGCACGAAGTACGATAAATGCCACTTTCGCCCTGGAATAACCTATAGCTCTTGGGTATTCCCTACTTTGCAATGATAATTCATATCTTCAAATGATAAATTCTCTTATTTTTTTTTTTTTTTTTTTTAGAATTATTTCTAAGAAAATGTATCCCTTCTGCGCCATTATTTTAGCTTTATAGGAACATTTTTCTTTCATATTTCTTATGATAACAATACTTCTTATTTTTATTTATGTCGGTAATATATAGAGCAAGGCTTATAATAATATAAGTATTTGTATTAATATTAAATAGTAGCATTTAGTATTAAAATAATATTATGATCTTGTTATTGATTTATTTCAGAACAACCTGTTTTCTGTTTCTTTGAAATTGTCAGCGAGTCTCGAGCTCATAGGTACAAGACAAAAAATATTTCCCAGATTCTTGGCTTTCCATCATTAATCTCATGACAAGCATGGCCAACAGAAATCTTGTAATAAGAATAATATCCGCGTTTCTCTTCTTTTTTCATTGATATAATCACATTTTATTATTCACATTTTGAAAAAAATTTGGATCTTGTATTCGAAATATAGTAATATTACATCGATAAGTCATATTTATTTATAGAAACCATCATCGTTCTCATTCCAGCATATTCAAAATGCAAAGAACAAGACAATTATTATTCCATGTGTGTTCCATTTGGTCTTACGATAAATACCGTTATACTGATTTGTAATAGTTATTTAGAATTTATAACATGACTACAATTGACACAATTATTAAAAGATATTATCAAGCTTTTTTCTTCTTTTTCTTATTATTTTTATTTTTCATTTTTTTTTTTTTTTTTTTTATTTCAAGATTGTAAGAATCGAGTTAACGAACTAAGAAGATATACAATGTTTCAGAGTCGACGACACGATAAAATTAGTGAAAAAATTCATAAGCTACGCGGCCAAGGATGACGATGGCCAGTGCAAAAATACTGTCAGTGAAACGAGGATTGCTGCAGCCGCAAGAATTTTTCGAAAACGACCGTTTTCTTCTTCTTCGCGGGTAGTCCACAACAGAAAACGAGCCGCAATAAAGTTTACAACGTGGCCCCGCTGACTCTCGTGTATTTATAGCTGGTCATTTCCACGGGGATCCTCCCGTAATTTTCGAGTCGAACGATTCTACACGTCGATGATTTTTCTTTTACTTTTTCTTCATCTTCACTGACTGAAGCTGATTTTTATAATTACAAAATTTTTATAATTACAAGAAGATCTCGAAGATTTATAAATATCTCTTTCAGCAAGCATATTTCTTATCTTGTGTCTCTAGTAAGACTGCAAATTAAAATCAACTTTTCTATTAAATTCTTAACTGGTAAAAATAAAAATATAATAATTATCTACTTTTAAGATATTCCAAAAAAATTAAATCAGAACTTACAAAATTATTGAGATATTATGTCATTGATTATTTCATATAATAAAATTTTAATAATATTTTAACATCTAAGTATTCTAGGATTTCTCACAGCAATATTTAATTACTAAAAAAAATTTGGACGTAATTAATGTTACAATTGGAAATGTACAGAATGTTCTCTTCTTCATATTTCATTAGTAACTTTCGTTTTCTTCAAGGTTCCCAGTAAATATGAATTTTTCAGAAGTTACTTAAATATTTAAACAGCTTATGTCATTTTGCATTTGAAACAGTTGTTAACATTCAACATCTAATTTATTTCTATCATATTTGCAGAAATCAAAAGTAGTCTACTGGCCCATTGATCAGCAATGTCTATCTCGACATGTCAAGTTCATTCTGACGCAACATCGAGATCCACGTGGACACTGACCAGGGACGACCAGGGACGAAAGAGGAATATCTGAACAATGATGAGTTAAACATTGATTTCGATCGGTGTCCACTGGAACGCGTCGGAAAACTACCACCCGATCGCGAACCACCCCTGCTATGTGTCAGTAGTATGCCGACTGTTGTTCCTATTGCACGAATTTCCGCTACTCTTATAAGTATCTGTGTTAATTGAAATATATTTGTGCAAAACTATCAGGAATTGTTATAAATTTAAAAGGAAAATTGAAGATGATAAGAAAATATTCACGGAGAACAAGCAGAGGTAAAAATTGGTGAAGAAGTTTAGGTGATGAGATAGTTTTGAACGATCCATGAAATTTCCATGAATGTAAGTGAACTTAGTTACGTATTAATTAATTGAAGAAAAATTAAAAAGAATTGAAAATTTTATGAATTATTATTAATAGAAATTGCAATTTTTGATCACTTATAAAGCTTGAATTCATATTCATATAAATATATATATTTCTAGTTTAATATAAAGAATTAAAAAGTCAATTTATGTAATTTAGTTTATCTTAGTGTAAATATTTTCTAGTGTAAATATATTTATAATTGCAAATATTTTAACATAATTTATAGGAAATTGAATAATTTATAGTAAATTCTCTATCGTGCTTAATCTTTATGAAAATTATGATATAATAGATATAAAAGAAACTGCCATAATAAAAACATAGTAATATATAATAAAACATTTTTTTGTTTCTAATATTTTTTTTCTTATATAATTATTTTTAAGAAAAGAATATTAAACATTTAAAAATGAAGAGAATTATTTGGCAAAATTATACATCGTGACTAATAAACAGAAAAGCTTTTAATATTATAATCCATTCGAAATGATTTAATCTAAATTCGAGCGAATCGATTTTATTGCCAATCTTATAGACTTTCACTTTCAAAATACCAGCAAACTGTTATGTTTAAAATATTAATCATTATAAAAATGAAAGGTGTATAAAATGAACCAAGCGGAACGGAGTCGCTAAATTTCCTGATCTACATAATTTTTTTCTATCTTCTTTATATATTGAAAGTAAGAAATGCGTTTATTAATATGATACTGGAACATTTATACTTTCGTTTCATCACAATTTCATTTATTTAAATTCATGTGAAAACGAATTATTTATAAAATGTATATTTACATTTATGTTCAATTTACACTCACGATTCGCTTATTGGTGACAGATAATTGGAGAATTTCTATCGTAGAATCGCAATTAATAGCGGGAAAACTTTCGCTTCAATTACACCGACATGTATAATTATCATCCTGTATGTAAGCGAACTCGGATAATTAACCAGTCTGTTATTGTATAAATTTTCATCGAATGCGTATACTTGTCGGACGGATTCGAAAAGGCTTTCACTATTGTGAATCCCGGAAAATGAAGGATTTCACTTCTCGATTCAATTCTGAGTGGATCCAATTGTTCTCGATGAAGAGAACACTCTGTCTTGTGAGAAAGGCACCAATCGCACGATTAAAAATCAACGAAATTATATATTCGATTTCAATTAACATCGATTAATTAATTTCTTTTTCTTTTGTATACTAACGAGTTACACAATATGATAAAAATTATAAATTAAAAATCAATCAATTTATGGAATAAAAATTAGATTAATGTGTGTGTATGTATGTTTTACAGGTGACGAATGGTGCTTGTGAAAAATTCACCACCTTCGCGAGGCGAAAGTCCTCAAAAAGAAAATGCAAGGAAAGATAAAGGGAAGAATCGCGTGTCACGTGGTAATAGTCCAGCGGATCAGACTATTTCCAGAGGAAATAGCCCAGGAAAAAGCAATTCTGGTGTCAAAGTAGTCGGGAAAAACAATTTGACGAAATCTCGTGGAAGCGAGTGAGTGTATATATATATATGATGTTTAAGTTTGATATTTGATATCGTATCTTTATTAATCTATAAAATTCTTTTATTAATAAATCTTTACCATTTTTTTTTACCGAAGATCATATCATTCAAAAATACTATTAATATTTTAGTAATCTACTCTACGTTTATTGTCATACTCAAGTATAGATCTTTTAAAAATGACTTCCTAAGTAAAAATAGATAGATAATTTCCATACTAAGGTCAATAGCGAAAAGCACACGTTGATATTATCTGATGTAACATCGACACTACAGCAATTTTGCGCAAATGGACAATGTAAGCAAACGTTTACATAGAAACTTATCGATCTGGTTCGAATGTTTCTATGAAAAACAAATGCATTGTATTAAACAATCGATGTAAGAATTATTTTCAATTTTTTTTATATTAAACATTTTATATATCTATATTTTCCAACAATAACAGTTTTTTATCGATTAAATTTATGAATATTCTATAAATTAGATATACTTTACTTATCGGATGTGTAACATGTTTTATATATGTAGATATAACAAGAAAAAAAAATTTCTTTCTTTATCATTTAAACACAATAATAAAAAATATATAGATAATAGAAATCAATATTGTATGATTTAACAGGAATTTTTATCAATCTTAACGATAATACAAAATTCCACTAATTTATATTAATTAATGCTATAAAAATACTGATAACAAAAAAAAATTGGAACGCAAAATAAATCAATAAACAACTAAGAAAGAAATCACAAAAATTATGTAAATGCGAATAAATCTTAATGGAAGAAAAATATAGAAAATATTTATCGATGAAAAACTACTACTGAAATTACTCGACATTAAACTAGAAGAATTAACATTCAATTCAGTAGAATATTGTCATGAATTGAATTCATTGAACAGCACATGAATTTTCCTTTGAATGATTTCAAAGGAAAAACCAATAAATAAATTATCAGCGGGATTCTGAATTAATGAATCGAATCGTTCCCTGGAAATTGCCCTCTAGATCGAGGGCACAGATAGGTCGATATAACACGTCGAAGAAGTTACTAGTCATTCGATTTCATTTTCCATGAGGGGTTGTCTGCTTGTGTAAACTCACCTTAATTGCTTCGTGTAACTATGCATGTAGACATTGATAGACATATACGTCGCAATTGCGACACATTTCGATGCCGTATATCGATTGCAAGACCTTGCTTGTCTTTTTCTGTCGGTCAATATCGCGACGATCGCGAACCATGCGCTCATGGAAAAAGATCTCACCATGTTCAAATACGTGAACCGAATATTTTTTAATCCTACGCATTAATCTGACACAAGAGTAATTTGTGTTAATTTATAGCAGAAATGAATAATAATTTGAGGGGACAATTTTTTTCCATTTTTTTTCTTTTTTTTTTTAAGTATGAAAGTACGAATCGTAAAATGAAAGTACGAATTGTAAAATAAAAATGTTTTACAATCTATAGATAAGATATTAATCCTGCAATTTAAATATAAAAATTATGTAAGTGAGAAGAGAACTCATTATGAAATAAAATGACGCGAAGAATAAAAATGATACATGGTCTACAATAATATTGCCAACTGATTTCGTTAATGACTACAATACAGACATGAATTATAAAATTGAATTATGTAAAGCGTAGACATTGAGTCATCGTTCAGAGTTATCAGAGAGACATCAGCTTGATGAATAAATAAAAGGAAATATTAACCTTGGATATTAACGATTTTAATATAGCTCGAATTAATAAATATTTATACAAGAAATTGATTGTATTAAATATGCATAATTAAATAAATAAATTATGAAACTATATAATCTAAATAAAGAAAATTTAAAAAATGGCAAACGAAAGTACTTACCAATAGCTTTTATTACATTTTATATTGAAAATGTTCAAAATGTCTATGAATTTATAACAATTTCTAAAAACTTATTAATTAAATCTCAATGATAGCAAATCACGTTTTTAATCATACTTTTAGCATAATCCTTATATTTCCTGATGAGAGAATCATAATACAAAATACGTTGCAATGATTATGATAAGCATTGAAATATGAGATAATGGAATTAAAAAATATTACAGTTTTTAGAATTATAATAACCAATTCTATATTAAAATAAATAAATACATTGTTGTCCTCGTTTCTCTCCAAATATAATAATTATCAATGATTGTTTCTACAGAAATGTGAAAAGTTTTGCGACTCATTGTACATACTTTGTGCAAAAAACAATAATTAAAATGTGAAATCAAAATTTCTGTGTGAATAATTTTAGGCTTTCACGATCAGATGGTACAGATTTTATCCGTAATGATTCAAATTATAAGTAATTGGATTCTTGACATTACATTAAAAAAATTTTTTTCAAAATTTATGGAAGCTTTCTTCTATTAGAATTTTAATAGTTCATTATATTTCGTATAAAATGTAATTTTTAATTGATAATGAATAATATTAAAAATAAATAATAGCTATCTTTCTTTTGAAATTTATTTAACTAAGTACTCATAATAAGAAACAATATATATTATGGTTGTGTAACTTGTTCCATGTACAATGAGCAATAAAATCGAAAAATATTGTTTATCCAAGCAATCAATCGAGACTGTCGGTTTGCTAATCAAGTCCTCATGAATCATTGACTAAGGTTGGAACGATTTTTCGATGTTACGATTAACCCTGTGGTGCAGAAACAAAAAAAACGAAAACGAAGCTGGTCAATCACGCTATTTTTCCCCGACAGTTTCAGTTAGCCCGATTGATTGAACTTCCTCAATTATTTAACCGCCATGATAGGAGATCAATCATGAAGCCGTTAGATGGTTTACTCTTGTTGAAACGTTCAATCATGATAGAGAACGATGTTATAGTTCCAAGGAAACTCAATAATTTTACGCTATTAGAAGATAATTATCATTCCTATTTTAATTTTAGGACTGGTAGTATTGAGAGACTGATAGACGGTGATAAGAGAGTAATTGCCACCAAACATTTGCTTCCAGAAAACAACATAAATGTTGTCGTCAGGTAATTAAAAACAATATGATCCACCATGAAATTATCTGAATATTATTATTATAATATTAATTTGACTTTGATCAATCGTTCATTTTATAGAGTTCGTCCACTCAGCAAGAAGGAAATTAAAACCGGCGATGATATGGCCGTGCAATTTCCCGGAGAGGGGCAGATATACGTAAGTTTTTTCTCCCTTCTGTCATTAATAGGAAATCAATCATTTAAAATAGAAATACAAACTCAGATAATTCATCGATGATTCGATACTGTTTTCGTTTTCTTAATTCTCGTTGCTGTTAATTAAAAGTAAACGAAATTATCATATATCACGCTGACATCGCTCAACTTTGTATAGTGCGAAGGATTTCCGAGTAGCGGGGACAAGAAGGGCAAATTATTTTCGTACAACGTGGTGTTCGAGCCCACGGCCACTCAGGAGGACATCTTACAATTTTCTGGTGTGAAAAAACTTATCGAAATGGCGGTGGAGGGATTCAGTTGTACCGCGTTCTGTTACGGACAAACTGGAAGCGGGAAAACCCACACACTCACGGGGCCTCCAGAAATGGTTAGTAAAAAAGATTCGCTTTTTCAATTTTCTTAATATATTTCCGACAGAAATGCATCGATTTATTCGTTTATTTAATGAAACTGAGCGCCTTTCTAGAAATTTTTATCAGGAAGTGTAAGAATAGAAAAAGTATTATAAATAATATATTAAAATTGTTAATCGAATTGAAGGTCATACAAGAATATAACGAAAAGATTAATGTTATTTTACATGCGTAGATAAGATAATAACTAAGTGGACAATGCTTGTCTTGTTCACCACATGAGTATGTTCTATGCGATCGCAAAAACAAGTAAAATCGAATAGAATAATTAAAGCTGGTACTTTGTAATAATATTAGTTTTTTTAAATGCAATAATCTTTTATCATTTCAAAAATAAATTCAATATAATATTGGATATTAAAAAATAATTGAATTGTAAATTGCATTTAAAAAAAAAAAATAAGAAATAAGATTACATTACGATAATCTTTTAACGAATTAGAAAATATACTTGATAAATATTTCTTTTTTATTAGTTCGAAAAAATGAATCCTTATTCGGAGCAACATGGCTTGGTCTTCCGGTCTTTCGTTTATTTATTTAAATTGTTGCAAGAACGAGAAGAATGTAATTTCGTGTTGAAAGCCTCCTTTTTGGAGATTTATAACGAAAAGGTCAGTAGATTTTTATATATGTAGTATTAGAAAAAAGCTTCAGATCTCTGTTTTATAAAGTTTTTAATTTCAAAACTTAGGTAATAGATCTGTTAAATCCTGGCACATCGAGGAAACCTTTAATGGTCCGGTGGAGTAAAAAGACACGAGGCTTTTTTGTCGAAAATCTTTTCACTGTTGAATGCGAAGAACTTGATGATCTTCTGGCCGTTCTCGAAGAAGGTAGCTATGTTTTTAATTTCATTTTTGCATCTTGATAAATAGAGTTAATTTTTTTTTTAATTCAAGTCCTAAAATATACATTTCATTGAAGAAACTTTATATACATTGAATTTAATTAAAAATATTTTTACTTAAAAAAATAGCCAATTTAGTTGAAATTGTTAATATTTTTTTTAAAAATATGAAAAATTATATTTTCATATTTGAAATATGAAAAAAACATTTAATACTTTGATTTTTCAGGGATGAGAAATAGAAAAGTCGGTGCACATAATATGAATGATCATTCTAGCAGAAGTCATAGTATCCTCACTGTCAATATTACATCTGAGCAACAGGTGAGTATCTCGATTGTGGTATCAAAAAAAAAAAAAAAAATTATACAAACATTAATATCGATAGATGGATAACAGCGTGTTCATCTCAAGACAAGGAAAAATCAATTTTGTCGACCTGGCTGGAAGTGAAATGACGAAAAAGACACAAAGTGAGGGGAAAACTTTGGAAGAAGCGAATAATATCAATAAAAGTCTAATGGTTCTAGGTACATTCTATGAAAATATTAAGATAATCTCTTTATTTAATTACAATTAAAAATAATAAGTACATAAGTTTAAAATTCTAAAAAGTTTCATCAACTTCAAGTTCTCTTCTCTTTTCTCTATAATCTATTTAGAAACAAAACTTCTAAGAAATTCAATATCAAATTAATACTATGCAATCCTGTTTAATATTATGATTCGGAAACTTAATGTTTTTAATTATGCAAAAGTATTGTAAGAATCGATTTCAATGAACGAAAGAGCACAAGCTTTATTTTCAACATTAACTTCTATGTAGCAATCGATAAGTGCTTGAGATAGCATGAATTATGTAAAAAAAAACTTTTATGTCACAAAGAAGTTTCTCTAACTTCTTTTAATATAAATATTTTTTCTACGAAGGTTACTGCATAGCTTCTTTGAGTGATGGAAAACGTAAGGGTGGACATATTCCATATCGAGACAGTAAACTAACTAAACTTCTGGCCGATAGTTTAGCAGGAAATGGTGTTACTTTAATGGTAAAATTAATCTAATAATTTAACAATTATTCATTCAATATGATTAATCAGATGATTTTTGTGAATTTTAGATCGCTTGTATTTCACCAGCTAAATCGAACGCAAGCGAAACTTTGAATACTTTGAGATATGCAGCGAGAGTAAAAAAAATCCGAACAAAACCTATTGTGGTAATGGTGAGTGGAAAGATATTAAAGTATTCTATAAAGTTAAGTGCATAAATAAAATTTAATTCTATAGGATCCTCGAGAAGCTCTAATCCTTAGTCTGAAACGGGAGGTAGGAGCCTTACAAACGGAAAATGAACATCTTCGAGCAGCTCTTCATTTAAATAGTGATGCCTCAAATATAATTCGTAGCGAATCTAAAGGTATTATATCAATTAATTATGATTTAATTTAAAAAATATCACAAAAAGTATTCATAATAACATTTAATAATTGGGTTTTTCTAACGAAATTTTTACAGCTGAAAGAAAAATACCATTGACACCTCCAGTAGTAGATTTAAATAAACTATCTGAAATGGAACGATCTGAATTAAGTCAACTGATTCATGCATACATTACCGAGAATGAAGCTCTTCGTCGAGAAAATGCAGAATTATATGCTACAAGAGAGCAAGTGATACGGGATCAAGAACTTGTTTGCAGAGAAAACGAGAGGTTACTGAAGAAACTCGAAGATGTCAACTCGTAAGTAGAACAAGATTTAAGACGATTTTGATATTCAATTAATTCGATAGGTTTTATCACTGCAGAGTATGTTGTCGATCCCCAATCATACCTGCCAGACCTACATATTCAGCGGAAATGCTAAACGATAGTAATAACGAAAATGCACCTGGCGCAACCAATGTTTGGACCAATCCTAACGTAGAACCTACTCCTCTTTCGAGTGTATGTTAAAATATTTAAGATAAAAATAATAAATAATGATATAGAAAACGAATAATAAAAATTCTGACATGTATTTAAAAAAAGATTCTTTGAAAGATGTCGAATATTATAATATTATAAAGAAAACTTAAATTTATAGGATATGATCAGACATGGATTATACAGATCTGCAAGTAGTATGCCAGAGAAAATACAAAAAGAATTAGATAAACGAAGAATTGTAGGAAGCTATAATAATATAGTAGAAGCATACAAAGACAAGAGTCATCACCGTAGACACAATTCATGGGATAATGGAAACGGCATGACGAGAATGAGTCCGGATCAATCCATGTCACCGATAGATATTAATCAGTCAGTATAAATAAATCGTTATAATATTATATATATCTAATATAATATTCAAATCAATGAATTCTTAAACTTCTTTTAAAATCAATGCAAATTGACATTGAAATGCATTTTAAAATAAAAATTAAAACAATATATTTTAAATGAATTTCAAATTCATTCTAAGCAAATATAATTTCTTTAAACAAACATTAAGAAATTATCATTCACATTGTGGATTAGAAGTTCTGTTTTATGTCTTATTAAATACGATTTTTTAATCCATTATATATTTTATTAATTTTATATATTATTATTATATATTATTATTATATAATATTATATTTTATTATAAAAATATTTTCATCGAGTTTATTAAGTTTATTAATTAACTTCTATCTGCAATGTGTTATCATATTTAACATAATCAGTACCATTCTATCTACTAATTAAAGGAATATATGGTTATAGGTATAAAAAGACGAGCGTACGTCGCACCTCGACAGTCCCTGAAGAACGTAGATCATCGCAAACCAATGATCTTTTGGGCGAATCAATTCAACCAATTGACCATTCGTATAACGAATCCCCAGATTCAATTCTTAGCGGTTCTTTAGAAATGATGAACTCAACGCCGAACACAACTGAATCAGAGATGCCAACAATACCATTTCCGGCAGTAACGCACATTTTGACACCGTTGAATATTTCAGAATTTGAAGATCATTCGCCAAAGACATCAAAAAAATCTAAGGAAAAAGAAGATGAAACTATTCAACGAGCGTTTGGAAGTCCAATTCCTATTGACGAAGATAAACCACTTTAAACACTCTAATCAATAAGTACATAATTGATGATGAATTTTAATCGTAATGATCTGAAATAAATCAAAATTAAATCATTTGTGAAAATGAAAATAAAAAAATGAATTGGAAAAAAATATATGTATATATATGAAAATTAATTAATTTTAATGGATAAACTTTGTAATTGATTAAAAAAAATATATTTAATCAAAAGATCAAAAAGAATAAATACTTCAAATTTAATGGCAATTATATAATTATATAAATTATCATATTATCATATTATGAATTAATGAGACAGAATTAAGACAGGCAATAAGATGCATGTATGTCTTTAAATATTAACAACACAGTAATATCATATTTTTAAAGTAAAAATGTATAGTATATATAGTATATATTATTTCTATAAAAGTATGTAATTATGTGTGAGCTTATATGTAAATCTATAAGTCATTATTTTTCTATACTGAAAAGAAAATGACTATTTTTAAATAATTCAAAATAAGATTTATAATGATAAAGGTGTGAATAAAATTAAAATATAATAAAGTATTTCATTATTTTGTCGTGAATTCTTTTTTTATATGTACCTAAACATTCATAGAAATGAATAGTTTAATTGAATTTTTTTTCCAAATTAAATTATATTGAAAGTTATAAGTTGATTAATGAATATCGTAAAAAATAATTTAATATAGAAAAAAGCATTTTGAAAAAATAATATAAGATAAATGTTAAGAAAATATTGTTTTTCTCGTTTTTTGATAAAAAAGATATGTAAATTACAGAAAAGTACATGATATAATATGACTTTTATCGACATAAACAAAATTTTACAATTGCGTGACAATAATTCATTGGTGATGCATACATATATAATTTATTAGATAGGCATCTTGCCACGTCAGATAAACAAAAGCATAAACTAAATTAGAAATGATTGTCGTTAACAATAACATATATATAGAGGGCGCTTATCCAAATACTTATGCAATCTAGAATATTAGAAACGAATTATTTATTGGCCACAGTCATTTCGCCTACAATTAGTATATAACACAAATAACCAATCACCTTTAACTATTCGTCAAATATGTCGTTTCATTCGCTTGTTTCGCATTCCAATCAACGCGCTGCATTCAAATGCAAAATTCATGATGTAACGTTAACCAACGATGTTGCAACAGAAAAAGAAAGAAACAATACCGTACAAAATTTTGTTGTGGAAATGATCAATCTGTGCTTTTGCTTTGTGAATCTATTACATGTCGTTTCAAGAATTGTGAAAGAAATATACAAAATAAAGAAAGAATTGCCTTTGTTTCACAAGAAAGGCGGTATCGCTGTTTTACCGATCGAGCAAACAGTCATCCCCACTTTATCGAGGAAGCATCGACATCACGATCGCTGCTGGTACGACTACGAGAGAGCAGCAACAGAGCGGATGAAAGAACGAGAATCATTCTTGGATGGACAGTGGTATCGTGGTAAAGTGCGGGTACAGTTTCGAAAGAGTAAACTGGAAGCGACGAAGAACGGAGAACGGGAGAGAGGTGCGGCGAGAGAGAGAGCGGGCGCGTGTAGCAAGGTCGGTGCGTGCGGTGAAGTTACGAGCTTTATTAAAGTGCAGTCGGCCGGGTTGAAAAACAATCGACGGACATAATACGGCGCCCCGTGAAGTCCGATGTCTAGTGCTGAGGTGGTGGAGAGCTCCGTTGACCCCCCAGCTAAGAAGCGACGCGTTGCTGCCACCACGGGAGGAGCCGACGATTCGACGACGATCGCAGACATGGCGAAAAATGGCTCGACGTCTCGGGCTTCTGCCGAAATTGATGAGGGTCTATACTCCAGGCAGCTCTACGTCCTCGGCCATGACGCCATGCGTTGCATGGCATCCTCTGATGTCTTGATATCCGGTCTCGGCGGGCTCGGCGTGGAAATTGCTAAGAACGTCATCCTCGGCGGCGTCAAGTCCGTTACATTGCATGATGACGCGCTGTGCCAGATTTCAGATCTCGGTTCACAATTCTATCTTACCGAAGCGGATATAGGTGAGCGCTCTGACCCGCGAATCACGAAATATATAAACTTCTTCAATAGTAAAAATTTTTTTCGCAATTTTTATATTAAGATGTGAATTTAATTAATAGCAAATTTAATTATTAAAATAATTAATTATATTACTTAAAATATCATTATTGCAAAATTTCTTTTATATTTATATTTTTTATATATCATATATTTCAAATATATATAGAAGAAATGATATAATTATTATGGTTAATATAATTATAGATTTATATGTATTATATGTTATAAATAAAAAAATTATATTGCTATTATTTTATTTTTTAGGTAAAAATCGAGCTGTTGCTTGTTGCCAACGTTTATCAGAGTTGAATAATTATGTCCCTACACGTCATTATTCTGGACCCTTAACTGATTGTTACATCAAGAAGTTTAAAGTTGTTGTTTTGACTGAAACTTCATTGAAAGAACAATTACGTATTTCTGAGATTACTCATGCAAATAATATAGCTCTTATTATAGCAGATACCAGAGGCCTATTTTCTCAAGTCTTTTGTGACTTCGGAGAAAAGTTCACAATAGTTGACATCAATGGTGAACCACCTGTAAGTGCAATGGTTGCTAGTATTTCACAAGACACAGAAGGTGTAGTTACTTGTTTAGATGATACACGTCATGGCATGGAAGATGGTGATTATGTCACTTTTTCTGAAGTACAGGGAATGACAGAATTAAATGGTTGTGATCCAATAAAAATTAAAGTTCTTGGTCCATATACTTTTAGCATTGGAGATACATCCAAATATTCTGAATATATTCGAGGTGGTATAGTAACACAAGTAAAAATGCCAAAGATCTTACAATTTGCTTCTTTGAAAGATGCTCTGAAGAAACCAAAGTTTCAAATTACTGATTTTGGAAAGTTTGATTATCCAGAACAAATACATTTAGCTTTCATGACATTACATAATTATATAGAGGAAAATAGAAAATTACCTAGACCATGGAATCAAGAAGATGCAAATGAATTCTTAAGTTTAGCTAGAACTCTGAAAGAGGAAGTAAGTAGTGAAACTGAAATAAATATAGAACTGTTTGATATATTTGCAAAAATATGTTCTGGAAATTTAAATCCAATGAATGCTACTATTGGAGGAATTGTAGCCCAAGAAGTTATGAAAGCTTGTTCTGGAAAGTTTTGTCCTATATTCCAATGGCTATATTTTGATGCTATTGAATGTCTACCTACAGATCGATCTGAATTCACAGAGGAAGATTGTTGTTCTATAGGATCACGTTATGATTCACAGATTGCTGTTTTTGGACGCAAATTCCAATCAAAGATTGGAAATTTAAAATATTTTGTTGTAGGAGCAGGAGCTATAGGATGTGAATTGCTCAAAAATTTTGCAATGTTAGGTGTTGGTGCTGAGAATGGTAGTGTTATAGTCACTGATATGGATTTGATAGAAAAATCTAATTTAAATAGACAATTCTTATTTAGACCATCTGATGTTCAACAATCTAAATCATCAACAGCAGCTAAAGTCATAAAAAGTATGAATCCAAACATGAAAGTGATAGCTCATGAAAATAGAGTTTGTCCTGAAACAGAAAAAATTTATAATGATGACTTTTTTGAAGTCTTAGATGGAGTAGCAAATGCATTAGATAATGTTAACGCTCGTATTTATATGGATCGCCGTTGTGTATATTACAGAAAACCGCTCTTAGAATCTGGTACATTAGGTACAAAGGGTAACACTCAAGTTGTTGTTCCCTTCTTAACTGAATCATATAGTTCTTCTCAAGATCCTCCAGAAAAGAGTATACCAATATGCACATTAAAAAATTTTCCTAATGCTATAGAACATACTCTACAATGGGCCAGAGACAATTTTGAAGGTTTATTTCGCCAAGCTGCGGAAAATGCTGCTCAATATATATCCGATCCACAGTTTGTAGAGAGAACGATAAAACTGCCTGGTGTTCAGCCACTAGAAGTTTTAGAATCCGTTAAAACAGCTCTGGTTGATGAAAGACCAAAATCATTTGCCGATTGTGTTGCTTGGGCTCGTTGTCATTGGCAGGAGCAATATAGTAATCAGATCAGACAACTTTTATTTAACTTTCCTCCTGATCAAGTGACATCCAGTGGTCAACTATTTTGGTCTGGGCCAAAAAGATGCCCTGAGCCACTCACATTTAATGTTAATGATCCATTACATTTAGATTATATTGTAGCTGCTGCTAATTTAAAGGCAAAAGTATATGGTATTCCCATCAATAGAAATCGAGAAGAAATCGCTAGGATTGTTAGTACTGTACAAGTACCGAATTTCACACCGAAATCTGGAGTAAAGATCGCGGAGACAGATTCACAAGTACAAGTATCCAATGGTAGTGGAAATATTGATCATGAGAGACTCACTCAATTGCAAGAAGAATTACCAAGAATTGAAGATCTCAATGGTTTGGTAATCTATCCACAAGAATTTGAAAAGGATGATGATACCAATTTCCACATTGATTTTATTGTGGCTGCTTCAAATCTCCGTGCTACTAATTACAAAATTCCACCTGCTGACCGACATAAGAGTAAACTAATTGCTGGTAAAATAATACCAGCTATTGCTACTACTACTTCAGTAGTGGCAGGTTTAGTTTGTCTGGAGCTTATTAAGCTAACTCGTGGCGTGAAGGATCTATCTATCTATAAGAATGGTTTTGTTAATTTGGCTTTACCATTCTTCGGTTTTTCTGAGCCTATCGCTGCGCCAAAATTAAAATATTACGATACAGATTGGACACTGTGGGATCGATTCGAAGTAAAGGGAGAATTGACGCTAAAAGAGTTTTTGGATTATTTCAAGGAACATCATAATCTGGAAGTTACTATGCTATCTCAAGGTGTTTGTATGCTTTATTCCTTCTTCATGGCAAAGCCAAAATGCCAAGAGCGTATGAGTCTTTTGATGTCTGAAGTAGTAAAGAAGGTGTCAAAAAAGAAGTTAGAACCTCATGTACGTGCGCTGGTATTCGAACTTTGCTGTAATGATACTGATGGTAATGATGTGGAAGTTCCATATGTTCGTTATACTTTGCCGTGAAATATGTTAATGTCACCAGGATAATGAGAAATGTCTACTTAACTGACTTAGCCGTAGTAATTTCCACAAATTTCTATTTTACAATACAAGGAGAATATTACTCTTTCTCTATGTAAGGTTCTCAGAGTTAAAAAAAAGATTCATTTTTATCGTCGATGCTTTGTAGCATTTATATAGTAAGAGATCATAAGATCCATAGAGTTTTTCTTACTATGATCTCCCCCTTTTCCTGAATATAGACATTAGGGCTCGAACTATTTGTTTTCTTTTTCATTATTATTTCCTGTGATCGTTATCTGAAATAATTTAATCGTAAATTTGTTATGTATGTTTTTCTTTTTATTTTTTTAATAAGCTAATAATTTCAGAGGAAAAATGAATTAGCTTTAAGATAATTCGAACTGTTGATAAAAAAGATATATGAGTATAAAAATTTGTACAAGAGAATCTACAGTCTTATGATGTTTATAAAATGATTGAAAAAAAGAAAGAAAAAAAATATCATGAAAAAGTTGCAAAAAGTTTAGTCCATATTGGATCATAAAGGGAAATGTCATGGTAAGAGTTTTCTTGAGGACTCACACTTCATAACTTAATGTATAGGATCGAAATGTAAATTACGAAGCTGATAATTCAATGATCCTTAGACGAATAATACTAACACATTTAATATAGACTATAGATGAACAATAAAAATCGGACGCAAATATATCTTGCCTTTATTGTATTACATTTCTTTATTTTCTATTACTACTATTACTATTTGTATGGTTAGGGGCGTGTACGAAATTTAAAAAAAATATCACAAATGTTCCCCTCTCCTTTCCGTTTTGCTCCATTATACTCTTGCTATCGATATTTTAATATTTCATATAATCCATTATTCATGATTTTGATTTGTCCGCCTTACTTTTCAAACACTCAATATACTATTGGCTAAGGCTGTTCGTTGTTATAAGAAATATTGCATTTAAATTTATAAGAACAAATATTTGGAAAGAAGCTTCAAAAAGAATTGCACACTTTAGACCAAGAAATACAAGAAAAAAAAAAGGAAGATATTTTGTTAATTTTAGGATAATGCGGATATTTATTGTATTATTTTATCAATAGATAATATAAATAGATGTGTTTGGATTTCAAAAAACATGAGAAATATAATAATGAAAATAATATTTGGAATTATTTTATTTCCTTTTATTTCCTCTTTCTATCTTTATAATAGTTCATTAAAATTTTATTAAATGTGAAAATATAATTAAAATGTATTTAATTTATTATATATATAAATTAAAGAAAATTAAAAAAACATTGACTTTTTAATTTTTTAAATTTTAATAGAATAAAAATTTAATGATTCGTTTATATATGAATATATGCATAAAAAAATGCATTGTCGAATTTACGCGGGAAAAGCAAGAAAATGCCAGAAAGACATATAACATGGCACAACGTAGTATAACGTATGTAACCTAATAGAAATTAAAAAATAAATTCTTAATTATATACAATTTAATATAAACTTTCGAAGAATTTATAATTTTTTTTTTCATTTGACAGATCATTTTTCTCAACAGTGAATTCGAAAGATAAAATTGAATCCAACAATGCAAGGTACGTTAACAATTTTAACTAATATTAACTAATAATTGAATAATTATGTTTAGTCGAATTATATTGAATGTGCGCTTAAATTTATTTAAAAATAATTATTCACATATGATATTTATAAATGAACATTTTAAATTATATAATATTTCTTTTTCGATTGTAAATAATATTGTTAATTGCACACATGCTAATAGTAAAGTTAACAGCAAGGATCGGAAAAGTCCAGGAAATGGCAAAAGAAAGAGAAACAATAGTGAAGATGACACTATCAGGTAATTAATACAATTATAATACAAATATAATATAATAATACAATTTTTAATATATTATCTAACATTTTAGTAAACAGAAACACCATATTTCTTATACATTACTTTATCATTTTTATTTTTATTATATCTTTAATTTAAAAATTTTATATATAAAATTACTTATTGATATTGCATTTGAAGTAAATATTCCATGTGATATAATATGATTAATGATAAAATGATTTTTCATTATTCATTATATTCTTTTTTAGTCTTTCTCCTATCAAAAAATTAGAAAGTTCCTTAAAACAAAAATCAACACCAAAAATTAAGTTATTATCTAATGAAACATCTATAGAAAGTGAAAAGAAAAAAACTAAAACACCAACTAGTTCTAAAAAGAAAAAAAAAATTGAAGAATTAGCGAAAACTCCTAAAAAAAATAATGTAAAAAAAATATTGAAAAATAAAATAAATATAAAGGAACAAAAAGAAAATGAGTTGATTATAGAAAGTAAAATAGAATCAAGTCCTGAATTTAAATCTTCAGAGTCTTCATTGGAAGAATGTGACAATAAAATAAATTTAAAAAATGCTAAGAAAAAAGTTAACAAAAAAAATTCAAAATTAATTGAAGAAGATAAAATAAAATCAAGTTCTGAAATTGAATCTTCAAAGTCTTCATCTGAAAAATCTAATAATAAAAAAAATCTAAAAAAGACAGAGAAAAAAGTTGTTAAAAAAAGATCAAGAATAATAGCTCCTGTTGATGATTCTAGTGATGAAGAAGAATGTATTCCAGTATGTATAGTTTTTAGATTCTTGTCTTTTATATATATATATATATGTTATATTTATATATATATATATATGTTATATTTATATATATATATATATATATATGTTATATTTATATATATATATATGTTAATATTTAAATGTATTAATTAATAGTTGCCAGAAAGTCCTAAAAAAATTAATCTTAATGAAAAAGAAAAAAATCCTGTTAATGAAGAAGAAAAATCTAACAAAAATGTTATAAATAATACAAAGAATAATAAAAAAGAAAAAGAAGAAAATGTGGAAATCACAGAAAAGTCTGCTAAAATGATTCATAATTTTTTTGGTATTTAATTTATTATTATATTAATAAATAAATAAGTATATAACTATTTTAATATAATTAATATATTTTAGCTGCAAAACAAAAAGAAGGAACAAAAAATGCTAAAGATGATAAAAAAAAATCCTCCAATTATTCTTATGATCCTAGTGTATCAAATTATAATCCAATAGATGATGCATGTTGGAAACATAATGAAAAGTATGTCTTATGTTTTTTCATTTTTATATCGTATATTTTCTGTTGATAAAAAATTTGTTCAATTTTTCATAGAGTACCGTACATTGCACTCACACGCACATTGGAACTAATTGAAGATACTAGTGCACGATTAAAAATAATAGAAATATTATCGAATTATTTTCGATCTGTTATAATTTTAAGTTCAGATGATTTGCTTCCAAGTATATATTTATGTTTGAATCAATTAGCACCTGCTTATGAAGGTAAATATGTACTTAAATATATTTTCTTATCTTATTAAAAAAAATATTTATTTTTATTTTAGGAATTGAATTGGGAGTAGCAGAAACAAATCTAATGAAAGCTATAGCACAATGTACTGGCAGAACTTTAGCACAAATTAAAACAGATGTCCAAGAAGTTGGAGATTTGGGCATAGTGGCAGAAGGAAGTCGTTCCAATCAAAGAACAATGTTTCAACCTGCTCCATTAACAGTATCAAGTGTATATACTAGGTTGAAAGAAATTGCTCAAATGACTGGTTCTGCGGTATGATATTTGTTAATATAATCTAATGATAAATCAATAATAAATATGGAAATATAGAATTGAAAATTATTAGAGTCTTTTATTTGTGCAGAAATAAATAAAAATTTCATAAGAGCTAAGATATTCAATTTAGATCTTTATTGTAATTATATTTTAAGATAAAATTTTGTATGTTTAACTTTTTTATTATTTTCAATTATTATAATTTCTTTTTCAGTCTTTAACTAAAAAATTGGATAAAATCCAATCACTTTTTGTAGCATGTCGTTTTACTGAAGCGAGATATTTGATTCGATCCTTAGCTGGTAAACTTCGAATTGGTTTAGCAGAACAATCTGTATTACAAGTAAAAATATATATTTATATATCATTTTATATTATTGTAATATTGTATGATTAATGACAAATATCTACAGGCTTTAGCATTAGCATGTACTATGACACCACCAAAGCCAACTTTTCCGCCTGAAATTTTAGATGTGAGTAAGAAAATGTCAAATGATACCTTTAAACAAAAATATGATGAAACTGCACTTATCCTTAAAACAACATATTGGTAAGAATATTTTTGTATTAGATATTCAAATCGATTTTCAATTTATATCATATAATATCTATTTCTAGTGAATGCCCAAATTATGATAAAATAATTCCTGTTTTATTAAAAGAAGGAATTAAAGAATTACCAAATAAATGTAAAATTACACCTGGAATACCTATGAAACCAATGCTGGCTCATCCTACTAAAGGTGTGCAAGAAGTATTAACACGTTTCGACGGTCTGAAATTTACATGCGAGTGGAAATACGATGGAGAAAGAGCTCAAGTAATTTTCTAAGTAATTATTTAAAATATAAAAAAATAATATATATATATTTAATTTCTGTAAATTATTCATTCAGATTCATTTTGCTGAGAATGGTAAAATTAGCATTTATAGTAGGAATCAGGAAAATAATACTAGCAAGTATCCCGATATTATAGGACGATTTAAAAATACTCAAGGTGAAAATGTTAAAAGTTGTATCCTTGATTGTGAAGCAGTAGCTTGGGATAATGATAAGAAACAAATTTTACCTTTTCAAATACTTAGTACAAGAAAACGCAAGGTAATGCAATATATATAAAAAATTAGTTTTATATAAATATTCTTTTACACATATTTACAAATATTTTTACATATATTTTTATATTTTACGTATTTATACATATTTTTACTTTATAGGATGCGAACGAATCAGATATTAAGGTTCAAGTATGTGTATTCATGTTTGATCTATTATATTTGAATGGAGAACCATTAGTGCAACAACCATTCATAAAACGTCGTGAATTATTAAAAGAAAATTTCAAAGAAGTAATTGGAGAATGGAAATTTGCAACTAGTTTAGATACTTCAACTATGGAACAAGTACAAGATTTCTTAGATGAATCAGTAAAAGGTTAATTTCTATTTAAAAATAAATCATAAATTAGTTTTTATCTATTTAGAAATAAATCATAAATTAGTTTTTATCTATTTGGAAAAATGTATGTATACTTATATGTATATATGTATGTATATATTTAATAGGCAATTGTGAAGGTCTCATGGTAAAGACCTTAGAAGAAGAAGCAACATATGAAATTGCTAAACGTTCTCGCAATTGGTTAAAATTGAAAAAAGATTATTTAGATGGTATAGGCGATACATTGGACGTAGTGGTCATCGGTGGTTATATAGGGAAAGGAAAAAGAACTGGAACTTATGGAGGATTCCTTTTGGCTTGTTATGATCAAGAAAATGAAGAATATCAAAGCATTTGTAAAGTAAGCATTATTAAATTGTAATAACCAATTTTAATATAGAAATAAATATAATTTTAATATTTTATATATCCATTTAGATTGGTACTGGATTCAGTGAAGAGGATCTTCAAAAGCACACTGAGTTTTTTAAAGAATATATAATATCGCAAACTAAATCATATTATCGTTACGATTCATCTCTTGAACCGGATCATTGGTTTGAACCTATCCAAGTCTGGGAAATTAAGTGTGCTGATCTATCTTTGTCGCCTGTTCATAAAGCAGCTATTGGTATTGTTGATCCAGAGAAAGGTATATCTTTACGATTTCCACGATTTGTTCGTATTCGTGATGATAAAAATAGCGATGATGCTACATCTGCACAACAAGTTGCAAGTATGTACAACAATCAAGAACAAATAAAAAATCAAACATCATCAACAAAAATAACTGAAGAAGACTTTTACTAAATTTTCGAATTATATTAAATTTGTATTATATCTAAAATTAAATATATAAATAAAACTAAATTTTTTTAATAAAATAATAAAGTTTTTAATAAATTTGATGAAAAACAATTTATATCACAAAATAATATTTCCACGTTTAATTATTATTTTTCTTTTGTTTTCTTGAATATTTAGACTAAATATAATTTAAATAGAATCATTTCATTTTATTTCTTAATGCATTAGTAATATATTTTAACAATAATTTGTAACATATTTTATAAAAAATTAGTAAATCATTTAGCGAAAAACTATTAATTTTGGAGATTTTAATTGTTATTAAATATTTTGTGTGAATTAAATATAAAATATTTAATATTTTTATATATCAATTTGTCTTCTAAAATCCCTTCTTAATAAAAAGATTTTCTCTCATGAATATATAACAATTTATATATAATATATAAAAATATATGAACTTTCAATATATAAGAATTTAAATATATAACATAATATATGTATATAAATATACAAAAATTGACAAATATTTTACATATATTATACATATAAGAAATATGTATATAATTCATAAAAATTGAATTGCACTAATTTTAAGAATTTTAAGAATTTTGACTAATAGATTATATAAAAAAAATGTTAATCAAATGTCATAATCTCTATGTATTTTAAAATTTGCAGAAAGCAAATATAGATAAGGAAAAGAAATAATAAAAAAAGATAAAGATAAAGTAAAAATATAAAAATTAATGCCATCTTTATAATGCCGCAAATGAAACTAATGTAGACAAGGAAATCAAATAGTAGAAAAAGATAAAATAAAATAAGAATTAATCGTTAACGCCATCTTTTGAATATCAAAAATATCTTTTTAAAGACATTTTTTAAAAGCTTTCAAAAGATGGCACTAATTCTCAATTCTTACTTTATTTCATCTTTAAAGAAATGTCTTTTGTATTTAAAAGATGGCGTTGATAATCAATTTTTAGTTCATTTCTATCTTTTTCACATTATTTAGTTTCCTTGTCTATATTAGTTTCATTTTCTTTTATAGTGCTGATTCCTAACCTCAATTATTTTCGAATATTATGAAAATTAATCAAGAAGTGATGACAGATACGATTAATCAAAAGTTATTTTATAATACTATATTGTCACAAACATTTTCTCCAGATGGAAATTATTTATTGGCTGGAAATATTTATGGAGACATTTCAGTTTTTGAGTAAATATCTAAATAGTTAATAATGTTTAATCATGAATTTTATTGATATTAAAAAGAAGAAATAAATAATATTTTTTATATTAATATGAATTGTCTTAATATTTTAAAATATAAACAAAGTATTAGACAATATTAAAATTAAAATACAATTAATTTTTTTGCAAGTTAAAATAATTTGTTTCTAGGTTATCAAAAGCTTTAGGACCACATAAAGTTGAAGAAAATGAATTACAAGGGCCTAATTATCACTTCACTGCTCATTCCAATCAACAAGTAGAAAGTATGATTTCAACAGACAATTTTTTAGTAACAGGAACATCAGGAGAAATATGCGGGTGGGATTGGAAAATAATTATTTCAAGTAAAAATCCAAAGAATAAAGTTTCATGGACTATACAACTTCCTGTTAATAAGTGAGATTATATAATAAAATATGAAATAAATTATTTAATAATTATAATATTTAATGATACTATTATTTATTTTTAGGGATAGTTATGAAAAACCAGATGTAAATTATTTAGTATATTCTAAATTAAATAATCTTCTATATGCTGGTTGTGGCGATAATAATATTTATGTAATTAGTTTAGAAGATGGTAGAATATTAAGAAGCTTAGAAGGACATACAGATTATATTCATTGTCTATCTTTAATGTATGTATTATATAATTATTAATTTATATGTATTATATAATTATTAATAATATATAATGTAATTTTTATATAAAATATTTTATTTTTCTAGGAGTAATCAGTTAGCTTCATGCAGTGAAGATGGAACAGTGAGATTATGGGATTTACGGAAAAAAGAAAATACTAATATATTAACTCCCCATTTAGTAGACAAAGTTGCAAGACCAAGATTAGGCAAATGGATTGGTGCCATAGATTTCACAGATGATTGGCTGGTATTTATTTTCTATTATTTTTTTTATGGAATAGACAATTAATTTTAATACAAGGATAAAAAAAAATAATATATATCAATTGTTTAGTTATGTGGAGGTGGTCCAAATTTATCTTTATGGCATATGCGCACAATGGAAGCAGCCACTGTATTTGATCTTCCAGATGAAGGTATCCATGTAGCAAATATTTATGAAGAACGTGTAATAGCTGCTGGATCAGCGCCTCACGTTTATCATCTTACTTATCAAGGAGAAATGTTGGCTAAAGTGCCAACTTCCAGTAACACTGTATACAGTATTATTTATCAAGAAACACCGCAAAAAGTATTTAGTATAGCTGGTTCATCAAATAACCTTGATATTTGTACGAATTTTAATTATCGTGAATTAATATTAAAGTTTGCATAATAAAAATAAAATATTAAAATGGTGATATCTAATTGATTTACAGAACAAAGTGATCTCATTAAAGACAAATATATTTTTTAATAAATATATTAATACAATATGTATTTTATAAAATATGATATAAAACTTTTTACAAATATACAAATATTTGTTTGTTAGTTACGATTTTTGTAATATAATCGTTTTCTGTTTGTAGTATATTCGCCTAATAGAACATTTATGAGATGTGATAAAATACAATTAACATTTGTTTGAAATTAATTGGCTATTTAAAACTAAATTTCTTCTTTTAGCTTGCAAGATATATTTAAACGAAATAAAAAATGAAATCATAAATAATGGAATACTAAACAATATGGTGATAATTTATTTTTGTATAGTTTTAAAGGATCAATTTAATTTCAAACAAATTATAGTAATATAACAGTCACAGAAAGCCATGACCTGCAATCACTGCAGGTATAAAGCCCTCTCTACCATCTCGCGAACGAACCCAGAACCAATCACTAACATGATCGCTAAGTAATGCAACAACATCGCCTTTGGAGACGCTAAGAGCGTTTCCACCTTGACCCTCATAATCGCTACGTATAACGAGTAAAGTATGTCGAGATCCTTTGGTTCTAGCATTCGCTGCGGCTCTGAGATACAATCTGTCAACACTACGTTCCCCGCAGGCTGATACTGCGTCTCTAGAACTACGTCTTACTCTTGGATTTCTACCTCGAGCACCACATTCTGACCTAGTATCCCTTAGTTTTTCCGTATCGGTCATGTTTCCTGGAAAAGTCAAACACATTAATAAAACATGAATTTGGAACTGATGCTATTGGAAATGAATTTAGTACCTAAGGGACGAGGAAATACGTCTGTAGAGTCTTCCCAACATGGTCCTCTTGTTGGTTGTGGTAATATTCCTAATGGTAAGCAAGCTGCATACCCGACGTACCCTTCTTGACCATGTGGAGTTTGAACGTATAACCAAGTTTGATTCTTGAATACAGCATTGACAACTGTACCAAGAGGGAGAGCCATCTCGTCTTGAGTACCACCTTGGGTTTGATACAGGACAGATGGAAATGAAAGAACAACAGGAATGTTTGCAGGTTTTTCTATCGAGGCCTGAAAATAATAAATATTTTGTAAGCAATATTGTTTTTATCATATTGAATTATAAATTGTAGCTTGATGAATGAAAAGATACTTTGGTAAGGTATGCATCAAGATCTGCAATTTCATAACCAAATCTACTTGGCGGTCTGGGTTTGTGGGATCGTTTGGTTCTTCGATGTCTGTGCTTCTCCCGACCACTAGGCGTGGACGTTGACTCACGTGACACGAGAGACGGCTCGGACACTGCCCTCTTAACTTTCTCTTTCTCCTTCGCCTCCTTTAGCCCTGAAAATTCTTTTTCAGATTGTTTCTCCAGAGGACTGTCTAGCGATCTTTCATTGACCAGTACTTCTTTGCTAATTGACTGAAAAGAGAATGTAAATATTAATACGTATTGCATTATTTTTTGAAAAATAAAAGATTAAAATTAAAAATATTTATAATAAGATAGATTTATAATAGATAGATATAAAATATATAATTATATATAAACCTTTTCCTGAACTTCTACTTTCTCCGTCCTTTCGATTTTCTCTATTCTATGCAAAACCTTCTTCTCTCGTTTTTCTGTTTCGACATTCTCCTTACCGCTGTCTTTTTCCTTCACACTTTTCACACTCCTCTTCGAGGATCTTTCTTTACCATCTCGTGACAAGCCCTCTCGATCGCCGTTCCCACCTTTACAAAGATAACATTGTTTCTTGACTAGTTTCTTAAGCTTTCTTGAAATGGCAAAATTACAGCCAATTTATGTATTGTATATATTTCTTAAGAATTTTCATGAATAACCTTTTGAATGGACATCATATTATTTCCTTTTATTAACTTATATACTTATACAATTTAAATTCCTCACAATATTATTTATAGAATCTAATACTTCAGATATTTTTTTTTACAGACCTGCGTTTCCATTGGTGGTCGAATGACTGTTGCTGGATGCAGGTTGCTGTTGCCCACGAAGGACCCAAGTCAAAGAGATTTTGGGGCGCAACAGGGTGCTTGGCCGTTGACCCATGCTCCTCGGGGGTGCGAGGGGCGTCGAGGGCGTCGCGGGTGTCGGCGATCTGGGCGGTGACGGCGACCTCGACGAAGGCGTCACTACCTGCAAAGGACAGTCCGCCACCAGGTCCACCGTCTGCACCGAACACCCATGTTCCTGTAATCGTTAACGATAAATCAAAAACGAATTTCAATTTTTTTTCAAATTTTATAACAATTTTTAATTCTTCGTTAAATCAAATTGAATCTTTCAAATTTTTTAAATCACATGTCTTGTTATTCTTTCAAAATTCTTCTAAGAAATGAAGTATTGAAGTTTAAAAAAAATAGTGTAACTTTTATGAATGGAAATTATTAGAATACAGAATTTGTATAGATTCTTTTAAAAGCTTAAAATATCAGAGAATTCTCTTTAATGAATTTGAATAACTTAAATTATTGATAGTGTTAGTAAAAAAAAATGATTGCTAACGAAGGATTAATATTTTTATTTATTTTTTTCTTTTTTTTTTAATAAGTTAAATGAGGATTTTGAATAAATAGCACGAAACAAGCATCACTTCTAACGTGAATGTAAATTGAAGTGCTTGCACGGGAAATGAGCACTATTCAGGAGACTAGTTTGCATTACAGAAGTGCACTTCTCTTTACAACAGATAAATAGAATGGCTGCCTGAGGTTCGTGAATAATCAAAGGATGTCTTAGAAGCAAGTTGTGTACGTAGATGATTCAGAAATTGAAATAGGAGTCTCGTTAGAGCCGTTGTTAAAGTAATTTTGGATGGAATGGGTAAGTGAATCGTCGACTTGATTGCAGCAATTGGAAATGTGTGTATCTACGATTGAAATCTCTTATTTGTTTGATAAAAAAAATTTATAAATATTATAAATATTACGAATACACTTATTGCGTGAGATTTATAAAAAGAATATCAAGTATTAATATATAATCTTTTATATTGATATAAAATCATAATTAATTTATTTGAATCTTTTATGTTATAGAAAATATCTATTAAATATTTTTAAAAATTTATAAAATATTAAAGTATTAAAATATCTAATGATACAACAATCAAAAAACTAAATTTAAAAAAATTAATTTAAAGTTTTATTGCAAAACTTGATTGCAAATGAAATTAATTATTTTCAATATTTCTTATTCAAAAAATTTTCAAAAAAAGCGACATTTAAATAGTTTATATGATAATTTTAATTATAATTTACATAATTATATGAAAATTAGACTTAAAATTCTTATATATATTAGACATATCTTTTTTTATACAATATCGAAATTTTTTAATTTTAATTTCATGATAAAAATGAGATTTTGCTTTAGAATTTAAATTAAAAAAAAAAAGATATAACAAAACAGATATAATCTTTTTACATCATATATTTAACCATGTTCATACAAGGATTATTTTATGTTCTCACCCGCATCTTTCGTTAATTTATTAAACGACAAACACATTAATAACGATGTAAAAATAAAATCCAGACATTTACTAAGGGATGATTCGTTTACTAAGGATAGAATATAGTATATATTGCGTTTCTTTGAGTGTGATCATTTTGTTGAATCGATGTAAATCTTAGCTCTTTCTACAAAGTGGATTATTAATTCGTCTCATAGGCGTTCAATTAGCCCGCGGGTCCGGCGTGAAATGAATTATTCGTCGACGCATGCGCGTTCTCGGCATGTTTTACCGCGCAGCGGAAATTTACTGCTGTCGCCTCGTATAAATAGTAGACATGGCCACCGTGAAATTTACGAACGACCAACCGATTGTCTCGTAAAATTTCTACGTTGCTGTCTCTTCTTTTCGTTTTGGAAATTGTTCATTTTCATAGTGAAACAATAAGACCCGGAAGTGAAGAACTCGTATCTTCATGATGGACGTGAAATCTGTGCGAAGAATTTTGTGGTTATGGTGGTTAGACGCACTTTTCATGATTGAGGATTAATGTGGGTTCTTTTAGAAAATTATGCAATTTTCTTCTTTCCGCAAATTATAATTTACTATGAAGATATTTTATAATGTTTTTTGTGTGAGATGAAGTGATTTTTTCATGTCAGTAGCATGTTAATCGCAAAAAAATTTTTGAACTAACATTAAAGTATACATTTATATCAATAATATATCACTTAATACTTAATATATTTACTTTTTTGAAAATGAAAAAGTATAATTCTAGAAGTACAATTTTTTCTTATTTATGTTATAGAATAAAAATAAATTAAAGGAATTCAAAATTAAAAATTAATATAATAAATACATTATATTTTTGAATTTCAATTAGAATTCTTCTATAAATGATTACTTTATAAATAAAATACTTTATATTTTATAAAAAGCTAAGAAATATTTTTAAATGTTGGAGATCAATATCATTTTTATTATAACCTACAAAACCACATGCTTATTCTCAAACCAATGTAATTCTATTATAACGATTCTTTTGCAAAAACAATACACGTGTATTTTTCATTAAGAAAAGGATTCTTTTTTTAGGATCCCTCCACGTTATCTTCTCTTTTGCACGAGCGTGTTTTCCATTAAAACGAATCGACTCTCGCGACTATCCGTGCAATCTTTCAACAGCGTTTCATCTTCTCCTGCGTGTGGACCGATCTTTCGAAGACATTCCATGCTCATGGTGGACCCGGGCTGCAAACGCGTTCCTATGAATTATTGCACCATTAACGTGAGTAATCGCGCCGGCGGGAAAATTATATAGTAATTTGTTCACGGCTGATCGAATACGTCGTGAATTTTATATTCTCTCTTTTGCGAGAGAGAGGGAAGGGGGTAATGAAGCGGGTTAGCCCTGGGGTAAAAACGCAATGTTGCAACCCCACCGTGGACTCGTGGCCATGAAAAATGAAGACGTTTCACCCGGTCGGCTTTCGATTTTACATCGGCTGAATGGACCGGTTAAGTAGCTATTCTCATACGGTTATAATTTATACGTGTACCCTTTTGTGTTATGCGGCGCGATGATTCTTCCGGTGATCGGACGTACTCGATCGAAACTTAGACCGGTCTTTTTAAAAAATGCTCGTTTAAAAGGAAGTTGTTAAAAAAAGTCTGTTGTTTCGTGAGTGATAGTACTGGAGATCTTTGACCTTACAGGGAGAGATGGAATCGAAAGATATATTTCTTGCTATAGAAGAAAGAGATTGAAAACTTTTACCTTTTGAAGATGTGATCATTTGATGATGAAGAAATATTTATGAAACGCTATGGATTTTTATAAATACATTTATGAAAAATATTCAAAAATATATAAAATGTGATGTGTAAAAAGATATAATCCATCCAATGATGCAACATCCAAGGTAAAATAAACATTACGATACTTAATAAGAAATACGAAAAGATCTCTATTTAAGATTCATTTTTCTATTTATATCTCGTATAAATTTTAATTTGTACAAATATTCATAATCCAGAATTACACGAATGACAATGCATGTATGAAGAAATTTGAACTGTAAAATATGAGAGTAAAATATTAAATAAAAATATAATATTGGAAACTAAATCAAATGGTATAATAGCAACATAAAATTCGTGGATCCCATAAATTCGATAAAAATCTTGCGAAAATCAGCAGAAAGTTGAGTTGTCTTCGTTAATTTTGATTTCAATAACAAGATTTCGAAAAAGGAAAGAACAAGAGCTAGTTTTGCGGAGTAATTAGGAACCTACGAGCAATAGTGCTAATCAAGCAGCCAGAGAAAGAAATAAGTCTGAGGAGATGGAAGCTGAAGAAGGGTCCGGTTTAAGTGACAGAAAGGCTGGTCCGAAGTGGCACGAAGGTACACGCGAGGTGGTAGCCTCGGGTGACAAGTTAAAAAGGGAGGGACGAGGTGGCGGCGCGAGCCAGCCTTCTCTTCTCTCGGATCATGCTAATGAAATTCTCAAGATATCTATCTTGCGCGCCACTGTGCACAAGGCATTAGTTTAGCGTCTCGCTCGCGGCCACCTCGATCTTATCTGTCCGCCTTCAGACGCACGGTATCAATTTCCCTGGAACGTGAAACATACGGGCCATAGTTCGTCAACCGATTCCGTGTTTAACGATTCTTGGCTATCGGTACACTGTTCACAGTTTGGATTCTGTGAAAATTAAGAGGAAAGAAGAGATGACTTTATAGAATGATATTTTTTTAAGAATTGGATTGACATTGGAGGAGAGGGTATGAGTGATTTTTTTCATTGCGAATAGATAGATAAAGATATGGATAAGAATAAATAGTCAGAGGAATGAGAAAATAATGATATAAGAATTATAATTTTCATTACTTTGACTGGAAAGGAAAAAAAATGGATTGTTTAAATAAGAAAATGTAAAATTGGAAATAGAAGAGAATGACATTAAAAATTGTGATTAAAAAGAAATAAAAAAATAGAAGAATGGAAAGAAATAGAATTGAGAGAACAATTTTCTCAAGTTATTTGTAATTATTCTTATTTAAAGATTGTAATTAGATGGTTTTAGAATTACCAGTATTCATAATGTTTACAATTCGCGTACAATTTTATTGCCATTTAATAGATTAAATACTGTAAAGATCGATAGTAAGTATTTCTAATCCTTGCTTTTGGCTTACGATTACAAGAAGCCATATTAATCGTCTTCTTGTACGAAAAGAATAGCCTTGCTCATTCATCACCATATATCCTCAGTCGATGATCTTTGAATCAACGTGCCGCGGTATTCCCACAATAACGAAGCTGAAGATGCAGAAAATGGAATCGGCGAGTCACGGCATAAAGATGAATATGAAGACGTTGCCACTAACTTATGCACTTCCCAAGCCATTGAGATCCTTTGATGCCGCCGAATCGTTCAAGGAATATGACATTAAGGTACGCGGCGCATTAACGAATTTTTATCATTAATTAATTATCATTAGGATTTTCTCGTCAAATTTTAAAAATTCTTAGATCTCTTTCGATTTGATCCAAATTTACAATTGATAAAATTTGTAGAACCCTTAGATCTTTGTTACAACTTAAATCTCGAATTTTTTTTCAATAGAATTTTTCAATCTTGAATTCTTTTGTAATAGTAATCTTTCAAAGTTGAATTCAACAATGATCTTTCAATTAAATAAACCCTTCTCCAACAACAATCTTTCAAATTTAAATCTTTCTTCAACCTCGAGTCCATCTTCAACAGCAATCTTCCAAACTTGAATCCTCCTCCAACTTCGAATCCTCTTCAACAGCGATCTTTCAACCTCAAACCTCCTTTTGCAACACTAAAGGTCAGCGACTCACGCCGGTGCTGGGGCCAAATTGCAACTTGCTGCTCGTGCAACCCTGGTGTCTTCCACCGCGCTGTTGAACAAAGAAGACCGCTTGAAGACGAAAAGAAATAGGACGAATCGGATGGAACACTCGAAGGAGCGTGAGAATGAAGTCTCCCCATCGGCTCAAGCCCCCCGAACCTATGATTGATTTAAAGGTCACGCGTTTCCACGTTTTTACTCGCGTGTTCGCAGGTCGTCGATGGTTCCCAACCCGGAATATTTAACCCGGTTGACCTTTCCATAGTTTCTCCCGTAGCCTCGTTCTCCTGTTGGCCAAAACGTCCATCGAGAGATCCCTCCGCTTTCTTGTTCCCTTTCGTTTCGCGTCCGCCTTTCTCCGCCGACTGGCGCGATGTTAATTACAAACCTCTTAGCTCGAATTACCGTGCACGCCACCACTTTTGCCATTCCATGTCTCGATCCTCTTGCGTTTTCGCTTCGAATCGTCCCGTTTACTCGGTTCGAGGGCTAGTATAAACGTGGAACTTGGTCCCCGTCAACGGGGAGTAAGTGATACACCTGCTATTTTCGCGGATAATTATAAGATCTGAGGTTGAGGTGAGCAAGGTGAATGAAACTCCTCGAAGAGGATGTGTGTTAGGATATCGGGGATAATGATGGATTTCATTTATTTTTATAGCGAAAGAAAGTTTTTCGATTATTCTAGATTTCTCATTCGTTTATCGATGGTACTAAAAAATACTATTTATCCGGAAAGACTATTAGAGATAACATTAGCGAGAAATGTTGCGAACGCGGCCATTTCCATCTATGCGATCGAGAAACCTTGTAATCGATACGGAAAGGAATCTTCCATAACTTACTTGGACAACCCTCGTTCGTTTCAATGAATCGGAATTTCCATTTCCGAGGAAATAAAGCTAGAAGCTAACGAATGTGTAATGAAATTTCACGAGAGAGCAAAGTTATAGAGATATTTATAATGCTAGTGAAAAGATTAGAGGATAGCGTAACTTGATATTACTTTTTGTTCAATCTCCATTATTTCCTTCTATTACATAATTTCATTTAATCCTTAAATGATCTCAGCATGCTCTTCTAATGACTCACAAATAATCTTTACCCTAAACTTTATGATCTTGGATTTATCTTTATCTTTACATTTACGTTTCTATAATATTTATTCCATTAATTTCTATTATTATTTGTAGAACTTTTTTTAATCTATCATTCAAACACGAAGGGTAAAGAAATCGCGGAAAGTTTTAAAAATAGTCCACCTCATTCTCAACATTTATCTTTAATTGGTACGTTGTTACATATCAATCTTCCCGACAAATAAAGATCACAATCTTTTTACCGCATTCCCGACATCTCGATATTGTTTACTTTAACCGCCTCGACGCCCAATCTGTCCATGTTTGGGGCTTGTTTCCTAAAGGGTAATTACAACGTCTAGTTTGATCTCTGAACGGTGCTCGAATAAGCGGTTGTTAAACCGTTTATACCTTCGTTTATTCGCGGAACAGAACAATCTAGGATATTACGACCTATCTTTTTGTTCCCATGAGGGCCGCGCGATTTTGACGTTTATAAAACATTGTGCGGTTTCAATATACCAGCCCTGTAATTTGTCCTCGCGAATCTGCAATCTTATTAACGGTAATAATATCGTAATCCGTTTAGAGTGACCACGAATCTAAAGAAACCGAATCTGAACATTTTCTGAATCGGTGAATTGAATGATTAGCTTCTCGGAGTAATAATTATAGGATTAAGATGATTTATGATAATGTTGAATTTTTATCCAAATAAAAATATAACGATAAGAAAAATATTTCATTATTTTGTACAAATTTCCATTGGAAATGTTTTGAATTTGCTATAAAGTGAGTGAGTGAACTTGAATATCCTTTCAATCTCCTATACAATTTTCCATAATCAACCATAAATATGATTCTCAACAAAAAATCGAAGAACATCATAAAAGTATCGTTAAGAGTAATAAAGTGAATTCCAACGTTACGAACATACTCGTATTATAAATATCACAAAACAAACAACCCTTATTTTCACGAGACTATTTTACTAAACAGCAAGAAAGAGAGAAATGTTTTAAAAAAATAATCTTAACATTCCTTTTATATACTCGATCAAAACAATTAAAAATATTTGTGTAAATACTTTTTTTGAATTTTCTTCTTTACATAAAATAAAAATTAGATCTCACGATAAACACGTTATACATATAAGAGAAAAAAATTTCGTTTTGTAAACGAAATTCTAAAAATTGTTGAAGGGTTGAAAGATCCAGGATCCAAGATCCATCTTCTTCCATAAAATCCAATTTTATTTTTATCACATCCACGAATACCTTTGCGTTCACTCGATACAATGTAGGTGTCCACGAGGAAGGTGGTCCACGGGCTCGTAAAACTCTCATTCGCGCGACTATTCGCGGAAGAACGCGCGCGTTTCCCTCCTCGCCGCCCCTTCGACCGGATTATTATCAGCCATTTACACGTTTATGCTCTTTGCCGCGCCACGCAGATGGCCGCGACTCGTATGCTAACGGTACAGTGTCTGATTTTCCGGTACAATAAAGTCCCTTTGGCGAAGGGGGCGCCTAGTCCGGCAATTAACGCTCGTAAGTCCAACCAGCCTGCCTCCCTTTGATTTAAATAGTTGGCGTTTCCTTGTGTAATTCTAACTGAAAAATCGAGACCCTAACCCTGGCATTTATTACACAGTATTCTTCGGCTACCTGTGCCGCAATTCCCTTTGTGCGCGAGTTGTGCTTTTGAAAGCGAGGGATGTTTAATGGAAGACGCGAGGCTATTGATGTTCCGCGGGTACGCCGCTTTGATGTGCTATCAATAAAAATAGTTTTAATGGGGACGTAGGATGGAATAATGCGAGACCAAGTTAAACACTTTGAACTTGTGCCGCTTGTATTGGCTCGCATTATCTATTTCCTTTGTTAAATATTGCGAATCGTATATGTACGACAATGTTCTTAAATTTAAATATTTATCAAACAACAAAGAAATTAAATATTGCTATGAAAATCATCCCCTTATAATTGTTTCTCATTTCTCTTAATAATATTTGAAATTTAATTTTTCCAGATTGAATATCACGTCGCAACGTAGGGATAGTATAAATAATATAGAAGATCAAATATACGGAATAATTCATACAAAGGATCAAGTTCTCCTTATGGAAGATCCTTTAAGACAGCAAAAACCTTTCCTCTATCATCTTTCATAACCATATCTCACACGTTCCCCCCCTCGCCAAAGAAATCTCGCGCGCGTTAAAACGTGCAATTACCCTCTCTAAATCCCTCTAAAAACATCACGCTAGAACCAGGCTTACGCTCTACAATCAACGCGCCCTTAAAATCCTATCCTCCGCAAGACAATCAGTCAATCGCCGATCAATCCTCCCTCCCCTCTCGGTAGTCGTCCGCGCGATTCCGCGAACCGTATCGTACCGACAAAGCATCTACATAAACCTCGGCGCATCTAGTCGTATTTCGTGCGCGAGAAATCGGCCGGCTTTCTTAGAAGCGATCGCGCCTCCGCGAAGCAACAACCCCCGCTCGAGCAGAAACTCGAACAGAAGGCAAAAGACGGACGAGGAGGAAGGAAGAGGAGGAAGGGTCGAGAAAATCGCGCACGGTCAGAAACCGTGGAGGCTGTTTCACGGCGATATTTTTAGAGGAGCGTTGTTACAAGCGCGAGTTGTTCGCCGTTTATGTCGAGCGTTCCTCCTCCTCCTCCTCCTCCTCCTTCGGGTTTCCTTTCGGTCGCGAGCCGTGGAAGTCGTCCTCCAGAAGCCGTGGAAGAGCGCCTCGCGTGCTATTTCATGGCGAAGGATGGCGTCGAAAAACGGAGATCCACCCTGCGCACGTATCGATGCCTCTTTATTTGGAAGAGAATTTTTCGGCGCGGCGGGGTGGCTTCTTTGCGGCGCGGCGAGGATTCCGACACGATTTCCGCTTCTTCTTTATGGGGAGTCGGTTGTGGATGTAGGTATTGGGTGTGGATATGATATGTGTAAGTATGAGGGGATTGTAAAAAAAAAAAAAAAAAAATGAGGAAAAATGTGGAATGAAATTGTTTCGTTTTTTAACAGTGAGGTTTTCGAAAAAGTTGAAGTGCAATTACTTAGGATATGGTAAGGTTAGAGAGAGAGAGAGAGAGAGAGAGAGATCTCTTTAGAATGTTTTTTTCTTTCTGTCATGAAAATTTAGAGATTTTATGGTAGCTTTAATTTTATGGTTCGTTATAAAATATGATTGCAGTCAGGTATCTATATTTAGAATTATTAAAAGAAGAATATTATTCAGAAATTAATCCTATAATTGCATTGTTGGAAAAAGAATTTTTCAAATTCTTTTTGAATAAGATATGTAATTAGATTCTTTTTTTTATAAATGTTATAAATGTCCTGTAAATTATTATGGTGTCTTCAAAACTGACAAGTTATAAGTTAGCATTTTCTATTCTTCTAGAAGATATAGAAATTAATGAGACTTTTTTTACATCCAACAATACAATTATAGATAAATATTTTATTTCAAAACGATTCTTATTATATTTCTTAATATGAAAATGAATCGTTTATCATAATAGAATAAAAAAAAAATTACAGAGAAACATGATTACAACTATTAAATAACTTGATAATAATGAAAGTTTTAAAGAAGAGTTATTTAAAACTCGTTTAGACGTCAATCAATATACGTGGTGTGAAACGCAATACTAAAGAAACTGCTTGATGTTTTAGCTGTAAGAACTGGGCGAAGGATGGGACTTTTTACGAGGGCCATATCGCAAAACCGAAACCGCCAGGGTTACTTAGGCAAAAAGCGACTCGAGGAGTGTAGCGTGAACCACTTTTCTCGTGGGAATGATAGGAATACAAGGGACCCATGGAACGAGCGCAGGCCGTTTAACCAAAATTACGTTTTATATGCAGAAGCGGATCATTGCGCGCGAGACGGTCCATGCGTAACGGCCGTGGTGCAACGGTGCATTTCCTTTTACTACTGTGGCCAGACAACATGCACCGTAAAACCCAAGGGGCCAGCTTTAACAACTACAACTGTAGAAATCGTGGCGTGTTGTTCCAGAGACAATGCATCCCTTTCGAGTTCTAACATCAACAACGATATTACTCTTCTCTTAAAGTTAAAGTGTCTACTTTTATTTTTTTAATATTTTTTAAGATATATTTAAAGCAATATTTAAAGTTCCACGTATTTCTTTTACTTTTTTTTTAGAAAAAAAAAGTGCAGTTAGAAAGTTGTATGTAAATTTTGGGAACCTGTAGAGAGATTTAAAAGCAATTTAAGCTTATCGATTATTTTATGATTATGATTATTTGTACAAGTGAATGTATCGATATATCGAATGGATGTTTCGTTAGAAATGATCGTTTCCAATAGAGAGAATAAAAATGCTAATGCAATTTGATTGAGAAATAGGGAATCGTGTTGATTGGTGCTGGTGAAAGGGAAATGTTTCAAAATCTTGAAAAATCAAATGATTCTCTATCTTGTGATTTACAAAGAGGAAAGATCAATATTTTATTAAAAGTTCGAAAAAAAGAAAGAAAGAAAGAAAGAAAGAAAGAAAAATAATAATCCTCCGCTCCGAATTTTACGAGCTCGAATTATTATTTGTTCAATGTTCGGCAGAGTTGAAAAAAAAACAAAGTTGCCGAGTGAAATTGTTATTCCATACGCACGCGTATAAATTACGCAAGATGGCCGATCGTGTGTAAAATAATTAAATCTGCCTCCGTCTAAAGATCGCTAATTCGATCCACGTTTCGAGGCACATAAAAGCCAATTATCGACGTCCCCGTTTTAATCGACTGATTCCCTTGAATCGGTGCAAAAATGCGACGAAAAAAAGGGAGGTAATACCATTCGAAGCAAATACAACGCTCAGAGATAGTTAATTACTTCTCGAAACGGGATTTCAAGTAGTTGTGATTTCGTGGAAACAAAAGGTACATTGTTTATATCAAGTGTGCATGGAATTAAGGCATTTGTTTATGTAAGTAATGCACGTGTTCCACGAAGAGATTTTCAGGATTGGAAGTCTCTTACCTTGTACGAGACTCTGTCCTCGTCGTCCGAGGATGGGGCAGCGGGATCTCCTCCCGGTGTCGCTACGGCTTCCGTTTCCGCCGGCTGGTAATCGATCTCACTGCTCCACGAGTGTCGCCTCTTCAGGTCCCCTGAAAGAGCGAAAAGTATGTCAATACTATTTTTTAGAATTTTTTGAAATTGAACCTTGAAATTCTTTAAATTCTTCAACTTGATTGGAATTCTATCATTCTTGAATCTTTGAGATCATTCAGAAAATTTCAAATTTTGTTATTCTAAGATTTCTTCAAAATATCGATTTCTTAGAAGAGGAAAACTTTGGAACTTTAACTTTGAGTTCCAAATCTTAATATCCTACTTTTAAAATCTCGAGCTCAGATCTCGAAATCTCAACAAACCTTTGAAAATTTCTAACCTTCAAAATTCTAAAAAAAAGAAAATTACCCCAAAATTTCTCTAAACATCCACGATACGCGAACACGAAACGCGAGATCATCGAAACGGATGGCAGGAAGATCTCGAAAGGGGTAGTAAGCACGTGCCACTACAAGCTCCGCTAGGTAATTAATACGAGTCGACTCAATCGGGTAGCCGCTTAATTAGAATTGTCACTATCATTCATCTCGGCGGCGACTGTTTAACGTCAACTTGCCAATCGAAGCGTGGCTGACAAAACTGGCCGCTACCACTTTTTGCTCGCCGCCGTTCGACGTATAAACCAACTACCGTGTTCCGACCAACTCCTCTTACGGATTCTTCTAAATTTCTAACTGTCGAGTTATCATCGTGGCATCGCCGGTTTTCGAGCCGGCGGTTATTAATTTTCCAGATCTGGTGGCCTGAAACGGAACGACAGAAATCGCGTTCACCCGTTTCACGACCAGTTACAGCGACGATCGGCAAAACAATTTTAACGAAGCATCGGATGAGCGACTCGATCCGACGAGTTAGAAAATCGCACAGCGTGTCGTGGATCCGCTAACCGGTACCGCTTCTAACGTTTCACGAGTATCTAGGCCGATTGGTATTTAAATTGCTATTTAAATATCGAGTGGAAGGATTCTTAGATTAACTTACAGTTTAAAGTTACGATGGACAACATTATTTTGTTTCTTCTTCTTCTTTTTTTTTTTTTATTCGAAAGAAGATTCGTTGGAAATTGCGTTACACGAGATCCGGGAAACTCGATGATGGAAAAAGAATATGATTTAAATTCCAGTCTGACGTTCGAGCATATCTCTTGTAATTACCGGAAGATGCAGCGATGGCGCTCGTGATGGCTCTCTTGATGGTTTAGGCTGAGATTACTCGCGGAGTTTGTTGTGCCTCGTAATTGAAACACTTTATCAGAATCAAAGTACTCGCGGGTTATTCGATTTAATCCGCAAATGAATTTCGAGATGTTGGAACGAATGTGAAAAAAGAAAAAGCTGATAAAAGCGTAATGCCGTAATTGAATAGGTCTCGTTAAATACTTCAAGTTTTTTTCTTTTTTCTGTATTACACTATAATATAATCTTTATACATCCCTGTTTCCGAGGATTTGTATTAAAACCGGCATATTCCGAAGGAATTCTATAAGATATTCGAACGTTAGATTACATTACACTCGTCTAATCTTAATAATTTTTACAACAGAATTATAAAAATTCTCACTATTAAAATTCCTCTTAAAAAACATTCTTACTTCTCAACTACCAAATTCCCTGAATATCTTCGATATAGATATATCGGATAACCTCTCTCGTATGAAAACTTCAAATTAATTAATATTAATTACCCAAACATCTTTTCACCCAAAACGACAAAACACGATCAAAATTCGAAGATTAAAATCATCTCGAATCCACGGACAATCGAATGGAACAAAGTTAAAATGAATTATTATTTCGATCGAAAGAAATCGAAATTACGACGTGATGATCGAGGCTACGGATTTCCATCGATGATCCTCGCGAAAACATTTATCCGTTCGATGGAGCGCACGCACCCGCGTGTATACACGTGTATAGAGAACCCGAGCCGGGGATAACGATCGGCGATAAGCTTGCAGGTTAAACACTGTATTCGAGACGTGACTTATGGGATTCGATCGGTTGGTGGAGGCGCGGATTCTACCTACAAATTTACTCGTTTACTCGCTTCGTGGAATGCCACGGGCTCCTAAGAAAGGGGAGATGCGCTCTTGGTCGAGATCACGAGCGGGGAATTTATCGGTTCGACGGTCAAAGTGTGAATTACGTCGATTCGAGCGTGAGCGGCAATAAAATATTTCCCAAAGCTTCATCGCATTGTACCCACGGCGTAACCGCTTATTTGCATCGGCCGTATCTCACCCCGCGTTTCGCGGGCATTTTAAACGCGCGCATGCGCCCCTCCGCTTTAATTAATGATCGACCGAGTAACAGACGTGTTCTAAACACCGAGATTTATCGAAAGACTTTCTCTTTGGTATCGCCAATTTTATGGACGTTATGAAGTGACGTTGTTCGTTTCTGCGTTTGAAAATGAAATTGGATAAATAATATTGGAAGAAAGATGATAATTATTTGAATATCAAGTCATGCAAAGCGATTCTCTTCGTAAAGTGAGAAGATAAAAATCAGAAAACAATCGAGAAGAAAAAATAGAAATTATCGTCTTCTTTTATCTCTTCCTGTTTTTTTTTTTTTTTAAACAACCCAGAATTTTCCCATCGCGCTCAATGCGAAACACCATGGAACGCCGCCTCCACTTTTCGCACCGCCATAAAATATAATGGACGCCAATTTGACAGGGGCTCTCTGAGAGAAAGAGAGAGAGAGAGAAAAAGAGAGAGAATTACGAGCGTGAACCACAGAAACTTCCTATCGTTTCTCGAGCCACGCACACGCTGCGAGAATTTACAAGTCACGTGTGTACACGCGTGCACGTGGCTTCCGGGCCCTCGACGCGCGTAATCTCTCTCTCTCCCTTTCTCTCTCTCTCTTCCTCGCCTCAGTTCCATGCCCTCCACTGCCACGATCTATGATGATCGCGCTTCGTACACTACGCTCCAGCGCAGAAACCGGAAAAGGAAAGGGGCACGCGATGCAATTAGCCGTTGCGGTGAACGACTCGGAGGAATCGAAGTTACGAAGGGGGAACAAATTTAAATGGGCCAGGCTAATCGTCCAGGATAAACGAGTTTAGAGATTCTGTCAGCGGATTAAGTTAAGTTGCATTCCATTATCTCTTATCGCTTATCTCTCCGCTCTTTCGAATATATTTTCCATTCCATCCGAGTAAATTTCTTGATCGATCGAGAACTTCGATCTTCGTATCAAAAAAAAAAAAAAAAAAAAAAAAAGAAGTTTCAAAACAGAAAAAAAAGAAAAAGAAAAGGAAGATCGTTCTTTAAATCGTCCACAGTAACTCGGGTAACTCCAATTTATAACAATTTGAGGAGAATGATGATGGGCGGTATTTCCGGAATTCGCGTACATCGGACGAGGAATTCTAATTGCAAAGAAACGGTCCGTGCCTCCGGGGAGACGACGGGCAGTCCATCCACAGTGGTAGCATGATGGAAAATCGTTTCTTGCCGCCGTCTCAACCCGAGGAATCCAGATCGGGTTAACTTGGCAAGCGAAATAGCTAATGCGCGTGCACTGTTACACGCATCATCTGCTCCCTGCAACCGATCCGATTTCTTACACCGCGGCCTGACATACGACGTCTCAATCGGGGGCATCGAGCGAACGAAAAGAAGAACGTTACCTGCGCCAGTTCTTTTACTCCGATGATCGACGACGATCCATCCGCGGCGACGATCTCGCGGAAACTCATTAACATTTAACCGGTAATCAGAGCGATTGATTAACGATGGCCAGGTACTGCGGCGGCGGTAACGATAACACGGCGCACGAGGAAACGTACGATCTTATCATAGATGATCTCACGGTCGTCGGACGTCGTTAACAGTCGCCGGGGATCCATGAATGCGGTTCGTCACGATCCAGTGATCCATGCCGCTCTTTTCGTGTCATCGTTTCTTGCTTGCTCGAGTCCAACGTATATATCCGATGCTAAGCGCATCCGGCTCCTTTACATTTCCATTTTATTTACGGTTATCGGTGGTAACTAGCTAACTATCCCGATCATCGATGATTCTCTCTATTAAACTTGTCGGTCCAGTGTCGTATAGTGTTCCACTTGTCCCCCTCCCCTTCCTCTCACACATTCCTACGCTCCTGAACCCCGCCTCTCCTTCCTCTCCTCTCCACACGTAGAGGCCTAGCCTTTCGATGTCACGCCGTTTCCCTCCTGGATCGAGGTATTTTTATTAAAAGCGTCCCATTGTATATATATATATATATATACATGTACACATACGCACAATTGCTCGTTTCACGTCAAGAAGACCACCGACGTGTTATTGTTCGTCGAACGTTCGTATCGCGCACTCGATCATCCTCGTGGCCCCGACAAAACATCCATCGACACGATGATACTCTTCATGTTCACTGACACGTGCGAGATCACCGGAGAGTACGCGAAGAGAGATAGAGAGAAAGAGAGAGAGAGTACGTTCATCGAGTTATTACCGAGGATGGAACAGGATATTTTCTTCTGTTCTTCTTTTCTTTTTCTCTCTCTCTCTCTCTCTCTCGAGGATAATACTTTGAAGGAAGTTGCACTAGTCGTCACGGACGTGGTGATCGCCAATAGGGGGTGGATCGAAACGCAATTTGCTCGAGATCTTGGCTCGATCGTTGGAGAGAGAGAGAAAGAGAGAGGGAGAAAGAGAAAGAGAGAGAGGGAGTGTGTATGTATAGAAGTCGAGAGTGGAGAGACACTCTACTAGATTTCGGATTGCAGGTGCACGCTACAGGTTCACTCACAGGTGCAGCTCTCTGACTAGACTAAAGGCGGGAGCGTGCTCGTTGCCGGCAAGTACTCTAGGAGAACAGAGGAACGAGAGAGAGAGAAAGAGGAGAGGCATACCGGTGCTTCGATTGGTCCATGCTTCCCGCGAAAACGACCCAGCCAATCACCGTGACTGCGCCACGTAATTGCCGGGTATCACGATTCACAAAAACGGGGGAGGGATACCCTTTCGAAATTCCCCCGAGGTAACAATCCCCCCTTTCCTCCTCCTCCCACCCCTCTCTCTTTCTTTTTTTATTACGCCAGCCGCTTCATTTTGTCCCACGCCTCGATTTTTTTCAACTCTATATCGATCGTATTATCGTATCGTGGAAACTTCGATATCCCTTG